GAGAGAGAGAGAGAGATTATATTTCAACCTCTCAGAGATTCTTTGCATTCCTCCCACCAATGTTTCTTTCGCTCGTAGGTGTACGAGACGGAAAGGGAAAGCAGACGGACGGACCTCTAGCTAAGTAAGGCTATTACTAGTCGTAATAGTGCTTTTGCGTTATATTTTCAGAGGAGAAAATAGAGGCAAGGGGAGAGCCAGTCGATGGTTGGGTGGTTGGTTGGTAGCTAAGTGTAAACAGGGTATGTCGTCGTTGGCGCAAGCCCTTCCTTGCTCTGGCGAAGGAAAGGGAGGGAAAAGAAAGGACTCCCCTTCCCGAGAATGCTAGCGAAATCGAAAGAGCAGGCCAGATGGAGGGATTGTGAATGGAAGATTGTGAGTTGGAGAGTCTGAAAAATATGAAGAGAGAAGAGAGAGAGGAGAGAGAGAGAGAGGAAGGGGGGGGGCGGATGGGAGATAGAGAGCAATCAAGCAATCAAACAATCAATCAACTAAGCAATCAATCTAGCCAACTCCCGTTTGCAAAAATAGACAATCAGAAAGTGACGCGACAAAGAGACAAAATATCCAGGGGGTCAATAGAAAGAAGAGAGAGACAGTGTGTGGGTGTATGTGTGTGTGTGTGTGTGTGCAAACAATTCCCCATTGGCAAAAAAACAACTGTATGTACTATGTGATCTGATTAAAACCCAAGCCAGACAAGCAGAGGTCATCAATCCATCTATCATCAGCCAGAAAAGAGACGAGAGGCAAACCCATCCACCTATCCACCCATCCATCCCAACGTATTCCACAATCCCCCACCTCCGGTATGATGCATCTCCTCTCGCTCAAGCAGATCATGTCCTCTTTATTTCCCAGAGAAGCGTCATGTTCTGTTTGCATGCTAGGGTTGGGACGGGGACTACAAGACGGAGAAGTCGTAGACGGACAGAATCGCAGCTGTGTAAGAAGGAAGGAAAAGGGTTCGTGATATTTTCATCGTAGCACAGAGAGTTGGAGATCCTAACGGGCAGAAGAAGAGTAGGTGGGCGGGGGATCCTGCAAGCGGCCACTGATGCATGGAGGCGTACATTGCGGCTGAGACAGTTTTGACGCAGGACGCAGCTTGCTCGCTTGCTCGCTCGGTTAGCAGCCGCGAGTAGGTCCGGAAATAACAAGGCCATGGTTTGAAGGGAAGAAGAAACGCAATTGTTCGCTGAACTTAGCAGTATTCGTACAAGGAAGGTGTCTGTGTATATTGAGCCTGAGATGTTTGTTTGGTTGGCGGTTTGCGGGTTGCGGGTTGGGGTTTGGGATGCAGTTGTTGGCAAGAGGTGAGAGCTGCTGCTGCTGTTGTCAGTCTGTGTGTATTCACATTGGGTTGCAAGATAACTAGGAGATGTTGAGCAGAGATTTTTGAGCAGATTTGGATGGTCTGATCTGTACCTTCTGTCGCTTTTCACGACCCCCCTTGGGGTGAGAGCAGCTGGCTCATTACCAATAGATATCCGAGATGGATAGGAAGGAGCGAATTTGGGATGAAGGAGCGATCATATCGTGTATAAAGATAGGACAGGAAGGACAATTTGAAAAAGAGATACTGACTTACAATTCGGAGTACAGGTCAGCTACGAACAACTCAAACCAGGGAGACAAGCCAGCAAAAGCGAGCAACGAGAACACCCCATCAGACCTTGTTGGTGCATGGGCGGCAGGTCTTCAATCTGCAGTATTTGCACTCGAAGATGTACCAGTGGGGTCCTGTATGGCACATCGCGCAGGTCCATTGGATCAGGGTCGACTCGGACTTGAGGAGGTTGAAGCTGTGGTGGCAGTAGTTGGGGACGGACATGGTGTCGGCTTGCGTGTCGGTGAGTTTGGTTATGGAGGTGGAGGTTTCTACGAGAATAGTTAATACAAGTACCCAGGAGGAGGGAGAGAAGGGGGAGTAGGGGTGGAGAATGTGTATACCTCGTAGAAGTAGGCGCAAGAAAACGATGCAGGGTCGAGATCGAAGTTGTTTGTTGGTTGGAAAGAGCAAAACGATCTAGGTCGCGAAAGAGCTTCCCTTAAGTAGCTAGATTCCCTCGCTTTTCAATCTAAGGTCGGTCTGCTGATACGCTAGCTGGGCTCCGGTGCCAGATCAAGGGTGAATGGAAAGCGAGTAGGAAAATTATGTTTGTTACTCGGTATTTCCCAAATCCCAGACTCAGTGGGCGACGAACACACTTTAAATCAGCAGCAGAAATCCCAAAATGCAAAAAAAAATACCGATTATCCCTCGTCCAATCTGCTCTCTGGTCATCTAAGAACGATGTCCCAGGGTCACAGATCGAGATCTAGTTTGCGTGTAGATGCCGCGAGCAAAGGATAGAAACATCACAAGCAAGCAAACTCCGTTCAGCAATCACGGAATGACACACAGGCTCCAAACCGCCTTCTCTTCTTCGTCTCCTAACTCCTCCCGCCGTTCCAGAAGAACGAGCGGAGGTGGCGGATGCCGCGTGTACGGCGGCTTTTGCGTCGGGGAGCAATATGTACGTACGGTTGAATGTTTTTAGAACAAGAATATGGACTGATCATAGATATGTACGGAGCCAAAGCATGCAACCGGAGAGCTGATCAAACTGTATATACTGGATTGGGGTTTGCCACATGAGAAAACAGATGGGGAAGCGACCTGACGGCGAGCAGTGTCAAAGGAGGTTGAAGCTGGCGCCGCCAGAAGAGAGACAAAGTGTTCTGTAAAGAGGGTCTTGCAAGGAAGAGATTCCCGGATGGAGGGAAGCAAGGCGGATGGAGAAGAGAAAGGTAGAGCTCTGTAGTTGCGACGGCTCTCCCGCCCTCGCGGAGGTCGATCGATGGTGGATACTAGTGTGGATACGGATCTGTAGCTATTAGTTTTACTGCCGGGTGGGTATACATGGTCCTACGCGGCGTTTAATGCGACAGAAGCCATGGTCACGTCACGACGATGAGAGAGGAAGAGGAAGAGTACGAGGACGAGGAAAGGTAAAAATTGGGAAAAAGGCAAGGAGGAAGCAGATGGAAAATGAAAGTAGCAGATATTGCAGCTGGGTATGGATCGGAACTTCCTGGCAGGTGGCGAGGAGGGCCGTATCGAGGTACCAGATATAGTTCATCCCAGGTTTATGTTGTTATGTCGGTAGCGAGAGAAGAAACAAGACGTCCGACAGGGGCGGCCCCGTGGACAAGGCGAACATCGACGTCTCAAAGTACTTCTAGAAGCAGACGTCACTTTCTTACGTACTGTAGGAGACCAGGGCATCTCAAAACTTGGCCGCTTCGAAATTTCCTGATATATATACTTCTCCTGTATCCTCCATGCCAACGCCCCAACGCCCCACGCACCAGAGTGAAAGTTGTGCCGATCGATGCCTCTCTGTATTCGCAGCAGCTCGGAGAATTCGATGCCACCACTACTGCCAAATAACCTTTGGTGCTGTACGGCGGTGGCTGTTGGGCTTGGGCTTTGGGCTTGGGCCAGACAACTTACGTGTCTTGTCCGACTGCGAATTATTGGCGTTGGTCGGCGTGTTACGATGTGCCTGGCCCTCATTCCATGATGTCGCGGATATCGAGAAGTAAGTAAATAATAGGAAGCGGACTCGTCGGAGTCGTCAAATCCGGTCTCGCCTCCACGAATCTCTTGTCCTCGGCACTTCGCAATGCATTGGGGTCCGAATGACAAGGCCCAATCCCAGACCCTAATAACTTACGATTCCGAACGGTGCGCCGGCTGACCGCTACCAACAACATGTAGAGTACTAATATATACTATATATATATACATACACTCCCCTCTGGTGAGCTGGGCTCGAGAGACATTTGATAGCCGCAGCTGTGATGGTTGTTTACATTTAAAATCCATAAGCGGGACACGAATATGCAACCAATCTGGGGGCACAGGAGCAGATACAGCAACAGCGAAGATCGAGTCAGCTCTGTCGAGCGAGTCAGCTGTATAATCCCAGACTCATCGTCATGATTGGGATGTGTAGAAAGTGGCACCGTATCGGCGATTTGAGTAGGGGCTGTGCACATTAGCTTTTGTGGCGCCTGCTGTCAAATCCGTATAGAGACGTTGACCGTTGACCGGGGTCTTGTTCGGATATCATATCACTGTATCAGAAACTCCTGGCCAAAGACGACGGACAAGTAGAATGAATGCCTTGCTATTGCCACTATTTGTTTGAAGTTGGGTATATCGCGTATCCTCCGTCATCCTCCCCCTCTCAGCACTGTATCTCTTCCACAATTCCACAGCAGAACGTGCGTATATCGAATAACACCCGCTCCGTAGTACTTGCTGATGGTCGGTCTTCTATCTGACTTTCGTTTACTCACAGGTGGGACTCTTCCGTCTAGAAGGACAGGGGTTTCCTTCGTTCCCAGCAACCCAGGGCGTAGGTTGTCGGTAGTGGGTACCACCCGCATCACGCATCACGGAGCAACTTCCCGAAATGGGAAGGGAGAGCGGCTTGGGCTTGAAGATCTTGATTAATAACATGTTACTTAAGGCATCTAAGGCGTCACCCTGGCTGGCATTGTCGACTTCAATGCTGTTACTCCACACCGTCGAAGAAGGAGAGCAGCCAAGGAACCTGTTGATCACGCTCTAGTCTATCTTCCTTCTACGGACAGTTTACCTTTACTCGAAATCTGACTTGAGAGAAGAGAATCAACATCAATGCGTAAAAGCTGCATTGCTTGGCGATCTTATCGAGACCAAGCGAGGATCCTAGACCATGCACCACGCATCAGCTGTAGTCTCGGGCGGGCAAGATGGTGGACGCAGTTACTAGTAGTACGTACTACTGTACCTAGTAGTTGTAGAAGTTTACAGAGTAGGGCGAACCTGCGACTAAGGTCGGGATAGGGTTAGGGTTAGGATGAGATTAGGGTTAGGATAGGATTAGAATCGGGATAGGGGATTCCCGTCTGTTTTGATGCAATATCGAGATAAAACAGGGGCTCGCTTATTATACATATACCTCTTCGTACAACCACAAAGCTCGTACTTATGCTACCTCCATTGGCTATGGGCTACAGGCCATGACGGAGACATCTCCGTCTTCACAGTACATAATAAGGACCCTACCGTCCCCGTCCCCAACCGTGTCCCTCTCATCTCGCTCATCTCGCTCATTCCGGCTCAAGCAACATGGCCCTCCTTCGCCCTCCCCGCCCCCTACATCCCCCAACTACTCCGCTCCGTACAGCAATGCTCCGTACGCAGTACATAAATGTAACCCCACGACGCGCACGCCATGCACGGAGCTGCATTTTGATGACTCTCAAGAGCTCAATTTCTCCTTCGTAGCCTCGACCAATAGCTGTAGTAGTCGGACCAAGTGCGAGCTCGAGTTATGGTTTATGTCGGAAGAAATACCGTTTTCAGAAAACGGTAGATGGGATGGATGGATACAATTTAGCACGCACCTACCAGCATATCGCAATCTAATATCACACCACTTACTCTGGCAAGTAATAGGTAGTGGGAGTTGAGCTCGCCATTCTGGGGCCCTTTCCTAAAGTAGGCGACAGAAATATGTTGGTCGTCGTACTTTTTACAGTATAATTCGTTTCACAAGAGATATTTGATGGTAGAAAATTGATACTCTGATATAACGATATTGCCAGTTTTTAGCTTCAATACATAACACGCTAGCTTATATATGTATCATTTTATTCCAAACACAGATTAAGCAGAGTTTGGTGTGTTAGAAGTTAGCCGTTCAAATCGATGAAAAACCTTTCAAAAGCATGTATTTCGAAGAGTAAAAATAGCGGTAGCAAGCAACTAATCTTAAAAATAGAATGCATTAATAGCTCAAGCTTACGCCGATTTGAATAGGTCTAATTTTGTTTTTGCATCTTTGATTCGTTATTGAGTTATTCGATTGATAACCTGAAAACTTCATGATTTTTCGCGACTTTTGAAGCTGATTTTGGCATCTCCGTAGAAAACGACAGGCAGACATGGTTTTTTTTGCCCACTTTAGGGACGGGCCCAACATGGCGAGGTCAACTCCTACTATTGACACTAAGCCAACGTTCGTTAACCGGAAGTGGAAGATGCTGCTGCTGCTGCTGCTACTGCTGCACAAATCTAGGCTGTGCATTCATTTCAATACAAGCAAACGAAACGACGGGCCAATTGTTTCTCATTCCTCGACCTCGACTTTTACATTATCAATGCTGACGGAGATGATTTCCTGAGATGTTCATGTTCATTAATCTATGGGAGAGGGAAAGGCTATGCGTACCTATAGTCTGTTGAACGGTGCCACTAGGGATACACGCCATCCTAAGTATATCTCACAGCAACAGTAAGTAAAAAGCCAGCTTAGCTACGTAGCTCGCTATCGTAGCTCTTCTTTTCTCCCTGAAGGTAGGTACGGTAGGGCTTAAGTGATTGATTGATTGATACAGTACCTATACCAGGCAGCCAGTGGGATGGAGTGGCCCAGCCATAACTCCAAGGACAAGTACATCGTAAGTCTGGCTAAACTCTGCATTCGGCATACACATATACATACATACATACATACATACATACATACATACATACATACATATATATATATATACACACATACCTACACACGCACGCACCCAATAGAATGGGATATGGATGGGCTGAGTAAGTGCTATGTATGTACTTATGTATGGGCGCGGATCGAAGACGGGCGGCACCTGGATTTTCGTAAGTACAATAATCCTGGGTCTTCGAGAAAGCGGCAACAGCGAGCGGAACGTTGATGATGATATCATGCGAAGGTTCGATCTTGAGAGATACTCAAAAGGGAGAGAGAAGGTCGAGTTGTGATGAACTGCAGTTCGATCTTGGAGGCTGCTTGGAAGGTTCGAACCAAAAAGTAATTACATACAAAAATTTCGAAGACCTGCGTCGCACCACTAAGCGGCCATAGTATATGACATTTCGCTCTCATTAGCCAGCTAGTTGGCGGACAATTTTTTTTTCCAAAAAAAAAAAAAAAGAAACTACGGAATCATCCATTTACTTTCTATATATATATATTACATACAACTTACCAGCGCCATCAGCTAGCAAGCGACGTCTAAGAAAACCATCCCGACGCTTTTCATTTTTCAGTCCAGCCCGACCACAATGCCCCGTACTTTAACAATGGTTGGAAAACTGTCCGCGAACCAATTTTTTTTTTAAGAAATGTGCACGGCCCCGAAAAGTTCATCTACCCATTCCTCGAGGCCTCTTCTGGGTGTGGAAGTCTCGGCAACGTATCAAGACTGCTAGGAGTATTTGCGCTATTTGCTGGGATTGTATCGAGACTCGAGATTGCTAGCTTACTCGCTACCACATCTCCTTCCTGTGGAATTTGAGCTGGTGATTCGGTCGCAGGGTGGGAGTCGGAAGTATCAATCCTTGTACTTGGAGCTGCGGTTTCACTATCTTCTTTTTTGTGGAAGGTGTGAGACTCGCTGAGGTTGACTGCTAGGAAAGACTTGGGAAGTTTGACTCTATTGAAACCTTACTTAGTATTGCTCTGCAGCAGACAGCGACTTGGAGGGAAACAGGAAAGGGGTGGAGAAGAGAAGAGGGGTTTGGGTCTTGAGCTTACTGATGGAATTTGGCTCTGAGCGTCTCGATAACCTCCTTCCAATCCATGTGACTCGTCAAGCTCCGCCGCGGCGCACAGCTGATACAATGCTTACTATCCAACTGTACATCCAGCGGATCAAAAGTATGACAGCCCGGACTAATCGTAATTCGAATCGAGTACGCATACTTCGCCACATCCTGCACCCCATCCGGCGTCTTATTCTCACTTTCGTACAGCTCGAAGCACAGTTGGGAGAGGTAGTCAAGCTCGGGGATGGCGCTGCGTTTTATCTTGGTGGTGATGCCGCCTTCGAGGATGCAATTAAGCAATGTGTAGATGTGCGACTCTTTGGTGAAATAGATGAAGGATTTTGCGTCATCCGAGGCCTGCATTTCTTCGAGATCTTGCACGATTTCCTTGAGTAATGGGAGTGAGGTTAGAAGGCCGATTTCAAGCTTCTCGGCATCCGTCATTCCGTACTCTTGGGGGCAAATGTAGTCGAAGAGGACTTTGGCCATCTTGTACAACTCCCGCAGCTTCTCAAGCCTGACGTCTGTCTTCGCCTTGGTCTGGCTGTTTCCTGTGAAGAGTCGGAAATATTGCTCGGGTGTTTCTTCGGCGGAGCTCTTGCTTCCAGTACCTGTCATGACAGAGCGCCGTCTGAACATGCGTCTGTGAAGACTCTTGCTGCTCTCGGACTTGTCAAACGGCAGCGTTTGGCTTTCAATAGCCTCTTCGGGCTCTCTAGGCTGGGCTTTCTCCTTCTCGATGCCCTTGGATTCGGCAAGGATGGCTTCCTCTTCTTCGGCAATAATAGTTTTGCTTGGGGTGAATACCCACTCCAGGAATTGACGGTTGTGAAGGGCATCAAACTTCATCGTGTCGTAAAGCTCGGATATCTTGCTCGGGTCAACCTTATCAGCATCGCAGAATTCGCTGAAAAGCTTCTCCCATCGTTCCTTGAAGAGATCAGCATCCTCACCGCAGCACCAACGAGATTGGATATTGGTGGTTGCCGTAGCTTGGGACGTGGCATTGCAACTTGATTCCGGCTTCTCCTTCTCCTTGTCACCCGGATGGGCGATTGCATTGAGCGAGGACGAGGCCCCGCCGTACAGCTTGCTATAATTGGCACGCATGACCCTCCGATGAAACTTCATCAGCTGAACCACATATCTTTGAACGATCGATGGCTCTGGCATGTTAGGCGGCCATGCAAATTGCGGCGGAGCTTCGTTTCCTTGGCGGAGAAGACCCTTCAGCTTCTTCTTGACCTTATCCATCTCATCTTTAGCAGCATTAGAATCGTCGAGAAGATCTTTCCGAACAGTGATGAAATCCGCGGGAAGCTCCTTCTGATTGGTAAATGCCGATGCCCAGATCTGCGCACTCGTAGTGACACGTCGCTCGGAGCTGCTGAAAACATGAACCTCATCCAGAACCTCCTTGTTCATCAACATCAAATCGTTGCGCATATTCTCCCCAAGCTCATGGGATTGGTATCTGGCGGAATGAGTGGGTTCTCCTCCCCATTTTACAATGAGTTGAAGCTTGTCTAGGATGAGACTATTCTCTGCAGCGGTAATTCGTGATAGGGTGATGCCGGACAGGGAGTCCTGTCGTGTCGGTGACATTCCTATGGGCCTCGCCCCATCGCCCCCTGCATCATCGTTCTCATCGGTCTGCTGTACTTTGCCATCCTTCGGTACCTCCGAAACCCCCATCTCTGGCTCATTGACAGGTCCCAGAGTAGTTACCAAAAGTTCTTCTAGCTTTCGCTTCCTGAACATCGGCTTGATTTGAACCTTCGTTCCAGCCCATCCACCTTTCTTGGCTAGCACATTCTTCAAAGTGCGAAGCTTTTCACGGTCTTCGACGCCTTCCTCCAATGCCTCTTCGACCGCAATAGCGACACTACCCAAGGCAGCTTCTCCTATGAGGAGGACCTCTTCTTGATGGCCCTTGAGTAGCTCAATGAATGGTCTTGTATGGAAAGTGAATTTATACTTCTGCTTCGGTGTTCTGTCGGCGTGGCGAATGACTGAGACCATCCCCTTCAACTTCCAAGTATGCTTTGGAGCAGGTGGTGGCGGAGGAGCCATCTCGCTGTTCGTCACGCTGGCGGCATGTGTTGGTGTTGATGGGACGGTCGAAGGGGCAGTCGATGGGCCGCTGCTGGTAGGTTGTTGACCCAGAACAGGTGGTGGTAACAGAGGCTGTGGAGGGATTGCTGGCAACTGAACGCCTCGATCAGCTCCCGGAGGAGATGTTCTCGGTGTTGTCGCAGCCGATGCCTCTGGTGATGCCGTTTTCTTGTGATGTGGATGCGCATGCGCGTGGAGCTTCGACATGCTGGGTGACTTGTCAATTATCTGTTGCAATGTGGTCCGATGAGTCTTGTCACCAGTATCCCTCCGTGTGATGGGGTTGAAGACAACATCTGGCGGGGGTGATATAGGAACTGAGATACCCATTTGTCTTTGCTTATCCTTGATAAACATGTCCTTGAGAATTCTTGCGCATTGCTCGTAATACTCATCGTTGTCCTTGACAAAACTCCAGCCATTGACGTCAATGACAAAACTCTTTCCTTCGGCACGGAGAAGATCGAAACCACAGACTCGTTGACCGAAGCTTGTAGCAATTCGACCAGCTATTGCTGTCTCCACTTTCGATAGAGCCGTGATGTATCGAATTTCCTTGCCGTGGGTGTTGCGTCTGACTAAACCATCTACGACTGGCGACTTTCGCGTTTCTGCATGACAGTACGATGGTCCAACAGTATATGCTTTGACATCCTCGGCATTGTCGACCTTCATGAACTTCTCGTAGACATAACTGCTATGAGGTTCCAAGATCGCTCGTGGGATGTTCATATCCTCGACCCACTCCGAGCTCTTGTTACCAATCTTACGGAACAGCTTCCTAGCTCCTCCTCCTTGACTTTTGGGAAAGTAGATGCATATATTGTGGTCCTCTCCGCTGATAGGCTTCTCGACGAATGGTTTCGACAACAGTTCTCCATCGACACTCAAAGTATCACCATCATCGAGGAGTTCAACCTTCTTGGGAGCTTTACATTGTCCGCCGGTGCCATCAGCCGGTCCTTCCAGCACAACCCCCGTCGTCTCCTTCAAGTGCTGGGCCATTTCTGCAGTGAGAATGCTTGGTCCACCGTCGCGGTTGACTTCGATTCGCTTAGGGGTTGGCACGTCGATCTTGTCCAGTATCATCAAGCAAATTCGACGGTCCCATAGAATTTTCTGCATTGGCACATCATTAACACAGAATGGCTTGCGGGCTTTGACATAGGCGATTGCCTTGTCCAATGGAAACCCATCAGAGTAGAAGGAAATGAGGAAATCGCAGACAGGCCAGTTCTCTACGTCCTCATCCAAGATGACCTTGTCTCCAAACACAATTACTTCAAACTCTCCCTTGGAGATCAATCGATTGAGGATGTTCCGACTGGGCTTGCTTCTAGCCTTGACATCCAAGGCACACACACCGATGATACCAATTGGTGCGGCCTTCTCTTCATGCTTTGCAAGTCCCCTCTCGCTACTTGGACTGTGACTGCTCGCGCCTGTGCTTCCGCTGAGCCGTCTCTTGGCCCGGCTTCGGGATCTTCCTGGTGGCTGGGTTCTGGGACCGGTTTCTCCTCGTTGGAGAGCATTACGCTTCGCAATCTCAGTGGCATTGTGGGGCGTTTCCCGTGGTGTAAGTTGGTGTCCTGCATGACCCTGACTTCCATATTGGCTTGTCGAAGAGGTAGTAACGGAGACCGCAGAGGTTCCAATCTCAGCCTGCGACCCTTTCATGCTTGGCGAAAGCGTGCCAGAGGCTGATCTCGTCCCAATGGCCGCTCCTTGCTCTGATCCGTTAGCAGACGTGACCGAGCTCGGCACTCCTCCTGCTCTCGCAGAACTCAGCGAGTACATAGACGACACGGACATTCGCTTCTGATCTACTTCCGGCATGGAAGGCCTCGGCCGAAGGGCCGGGTCGGGCAGCTGGGAATGTTTGGTCTCGTCCGCCATGTTTCCCGGTGATAATCTCGGCGTGTCGAAGTCTTCCACGGCACAATCGTCCCTGCTCCTTCTCCTGCCTACTCCGATCAAGCCCGGTCGCAGATCTGGCACAGAGCTACGCTGACTGTATGTAGAAGACGTTCTGGATTTAGCTACTGAGGGCCTGCGTTGGGGCGGGGGCATAGAAATATTAGCACGATCTGCATGGGTATCTGTTGTGCCTGGCTCCGCATATCGGCTCTTTCTGGTGGCCTGGGGATGGAGGCCGGCCGCAGACGACAAGCTGTGCGAGGTCTTGCGCGGTCTTGACGTCCCAGAGGTGGAGGCGGTGGAGGCGGTGGAGGCGGCAGCGGCGGCGGCGGCGGTGGCGGTGGTCGTGGTGTCGCTGTTGATGTTGGCCGTGGTGTTTGTAATGGCTTGACTTGAATGTTCTGAGTTCTGGTTCACTGCTGGTGCGCTGGGATCCTCAGTCGACAAGTCTAAGTCCATTGCGCCGGCTGCGGGAGTATGTCTATGGCGACGGCCTGTGGCGGTGGCTATTGCTATGGCGACACGAATCAGGACATGCTTGCTGGACTGTTTCGGATCGGGGTTCCAGATGCTAAGGAGAACTTGTAGGTAGGTCGCTGGGCAGGTAACGAACGAATGGTACCTTGGTTGAAGGCATCATGTTCGAAGGCAAGATGACATTGGTGGTCGCTTCCACAAATCCTTCCTACTAATAATTAGAAGCGAAGGGAGGCGAATCCGAATCGTCGGTGCCTGTGTACGGAGGTGTCGGGTGAATTCATGTTGGTCCTCCCCTGGCCCTGCCTTGCTCCCCTCCCTTATCAGATATGACATTCTTTGAAGCCCGACGAGGCGCCGGCTAGAAACCATCAGGGCGGGCTGGAGCTGGAGCGGCCAGCCGACAATTATTGAGAGAAACATTGGAAATGCAGCAGAGGAAATAGAGGAAAAAGAAATAGGAAGAGGAGCGAAGGGTGGGAACAGGAGATGCAGACAAATCCACAAAATTCCTCCTGCCATTCCGTCTGACTTGCAGGGGCTCGGCGCGGCTCGGTCTTTCTTTGTTCCGTCTGCAGGAAAAAGTTTACGAGGCTGTGTCGCCCGTCAGCACCACGGTCCAGGAATTCAGAATCGGGATATATCCATAGCCACAGCGCTGTAGGACTCAGGATGCCCTCGCAACTGATCGAACGAGGACCACATGGTCCTGTCGCGAAAAGACAGAGGCTCAATCGAGCGGATGCGCCGCGGACAACGAGGCGAGCATCGAAGCTTTTCTCCCCATTCCGAGTATGACATCTCGAGTCTTGGGGATGAATGCATCATACTAACAACACTTTGCAGACAATCGGATTGGTTTCTTCAACCGCAGTTCCCTTTACTTCCGTCCCACTGGGCGGAAAGACGTTCCAGATCACAACTTCCGTAGGAAGGTGTCTGCAGACCTACGACCTCAAGCGCGGACTCGGCCTGATCTTCCTCACCCGGCCGCAGACCCCCGCCGATATCACCGCGACTTTGGCATGGAGGGAGTTTGTATTCGCTACGTGGGGCGGGGAGGGTACCCAGCCAGGATTCTGGGTCTTCAAGCGCGGCAGGCAAGTGGCAGAATTGGATGTACCTGCAGACCTTGAGGAACCGATCAAGCAGATTTTGATATTCGGCACTTGGATAGTGGGATGCTGCTCGACCAGAATTGAGGTGTGGAAGTCAGGCACGTACGAGCATTACACCACATTGTACCCGACAGCAGCCCCCAAGGATGGAAATGAGTTGACGGGAGGTATCACGAATATGCCCACCTATTTGAACAAGATCTTTGCTGGAAGGAAAGATGGTGCCATCGAGATATGGAATGTCAGCTCTGGCAAATTGGTCTTTACGATCATGCCACCTGCAGCAGATTGTGGTGCTGTAACGGTCCTCCAGCCATCCCCGGCATTGTCTCTCATGGCAATTGCGTACTCCAAGGGACCCTTGATCATACACGATGTCCGGACCGACAAGACAATCATCAATCTGGATGGAGGGAACTCGCCTATCACATCGATATCCTTCCGGACGGACAATTTAGGTGCTGGCGAGGACGGAAGAACGGCAGGAGTCATGGCTACAGCGGGACCGAACAATGGGGATGTGACATTCTGGGACCTCAACAAGGGTGGAAGAGTTATGGGAGTACTACGAGGAGCACACAACCCTCCTTCTGATGCTGGAGCAACTATCGGAGGCGGAGTGAGCAAGGTGGAATTCTTGTGGGGACAACAGGTTGTTGTGACAAGTGGTTTGGACAATTCTCTGAAGACTTGGATATTTGACGAATCGCCACACTCCCCTATCCCGCGAGCTTTGCATGCCAGAAGTGGCCATGCAGCTCCCGTCACCAAACTTCTATTCCTAGCTTCCGACTTCGACGGTGCCGACGGGGGAGGGAAATGGCTGTTGAGTGCAGGAAAGGACCGAAGTCTGTGGGGATGGAGTCTCCGTAACGATTCGCAGAGTGCGGAACTCAGCCAGGGAAACATTCGAAAGAAAGCTAAGAAGTTGGGTCTATTGGCAAGCACCTTGACAAATCAGTCAAGCACGTTAGAGGATTTGAAGGCGCCTGAGATCACATGTATTGCCATGTCGATGAACAAGGAGGGTGGGATGGGAGCACATGCAGGTGGTGGCGCGATTTGGCAGAAGGAGGCCAGCCGAAGCAAGAAGCCTACAGATGCAACAGCAAGCGGGGCAACCGGATGGGAAAGTGTGGTAACTGGGCATCGGCAGGATAGCTGTGCCCGAACTTGGTTTTGGGGACGAAGGAAGGCCGGTCGATGGGCTTTGGAGACCGGAGATGGGGGCTATGTCAGCAGCGTTGCTGTGAGTCCTTGTGGGAACTTTGCGGTTGTTGGATCAGAGACTGGTGGCATCGATACGTTCAACTTGCAATCTGGCAGACACCATCAGCGATACCCATGCAAGTTAACAAAGGCGCAAGCTAAGAAAATCCAGCTGCAATTGCAACTAGAGGCAGCAAGGGCTGCGGACCAGCCCAGACCTGGGACCTACCAACTGGGGCTGGGTAGGCACAGAAAATCAGTCACAGGAGTCGTGGTGGACCAGATCAGCCAAACCGTCATCAGTTGCTCCCTGGACGGCAAGATCAAATTTTGGAACCTCGAGCGCGGAGCACTAGTCTACGAATTTGAGTCCGACGTCGGGTTCACCGGCCTCAAATACCTCGCCTCCAACGACCTCATAGCAGTCTCCTGCACAGACTTCTCCATCAAAGTCCTCGATACGGCCACCAAAAAGCTAATCCGAGACATCCATGGCTGCACAGGGCCCGTCAATGACTTTTGCTTCTCCAACGATGGCAATTGGCTCGTTGCTGCCTCTGCAGACTGCATCATCCGTGTTTGGGACCTCGCTACAAAACACTTGATCGATGCCATCAGAATGGAGACGCAATGCACAGCCCTATCATTTTCAGCTACAGGACAGTTCCTAGCGACGACCTGCGAGGGCGAAATCGGCGTCAACATCTGGAATAACATCACGCTCTTCAAACACGTTCCTACACGGCACATCTCCGAAAGCGAGATCGCTGATATGGCTCTCCCCACGGCCTCCGGCGAAGGCGGGCACGGTATGTTAGGTGGTGCATTCGAAGAGGATGACGATGTTGGTAATAGCCCTGAAGCCGGCGCTTACGACGCGATCGAAGATCTGGACGACCGCATGATGACGATGAGTATGGTGCCCAAGAGCGTACTGAACGGCCTGCAATACATCGACGAGATCCGCGCGCGTAACGCGCCGAAGGAAGCCCCCAAGAAGCCTGAGAAGGCCCCGTTCTTCCTGCCGGGTATCGACAACACAATGCCGGTTACCCATGTCCAGGATACGAAATCTACGACGGCGTACGAGAGATCGAGGATCATGAAGCTGGGACCGCAGACTGAAAGCCCATTTACCATTACCTTGCGCGCGGGTAGCGAGTCCGGCGACTGTACGTATTTCCCCTCCCCCTTCATCTCCATGCTCGCAAGCTTCCGGGTACGCACACCAACTGACGAACCCCCAGACCTCCCCTTCCTCACCCACCTCAGCACCCTTTCTCCCTCGACCATCGACCTCTCGATCCGCTCCCTCTCCCCAGACCCGTCTAACAACGAGCAAGTTTCCTTCGTGCGGGCGCTCACGAGCCGCCTGTCCCAGAACCGCGACTTCGACCTTGTGAACGTGTGTCTGCGCCGCTTCCTCGAGATTCACAGCGAAGACCTACAGAGCGCCGAGATGCGGGCGGCGCTGGGCGCGTGGCGGGACGTCGCGGCCCAAGTCAAGGTCGGCGAGTTGGCCTCTTATGGGCTAGGCGTGTTATCGTTCTTGCGGAGCGCGGATTGAATCATGAAATTGAGATTACTATCAAAAATCAACGTTTTAAGATCCAAATGAACGTAGGCGGCCTCGTTATCATCTTCTATATAGATATCTAACGTGCTTTTTCCCCCCCTTTTTTCTCCCTTCTGATATCTAATAGTGGGACTTGACGTCTCAACTTTTAGGGCCCTTCCTTAGGTAAAGTGGGCGAGGAATAAAGAGATGTGTTTTGGGGTTGGGGGGGGGAGACTACCAGAATCAGTCAGTCAGCTTGAGAACTCGCCCAAGGATCGCGAGATTTTCAATTTTCAGTTTGCTACCTACTCAAATCAAATAACCTAACAACTTGAATCTTGATGTAGATCCTAGATCCTATATCTAAGAAAGACATATATATATATATATATACATGTAAAAATCGAAATTTCAAATTCGACCGATTCAAGCGGGCGCAATCCATGGATATCAACGCGTACATACTACCTACTCTCGGAAGCCAATTAGTTTTTTCTACCTCTTTGCTTGCGATTTTGTATCGCTGGGGATTAAGGTGTTTGCGTGTTTGCGTGTTTGCATGTTTGCATGTTTGCACGTGTTTTTCTTTTTTTACTTTTGGGGAGGGGTTTTGGAGGGGAGGGGTGGGGGGCAATGTGAATATAAATGTAAAAGTGAATATGAACATATCTCCCCATTCAAACGAGCAAGAAAAGGGGATCTGAATCTCTGAATTCCTCGCGACGAGACACCTTCTTTCCCCCTTTTTATTTTCATTTTTTTTTTAAAAAAAAAATATTGTTTCAAAAAGAAAGAGAAAGAAAAAGGGAAAAAAGGAAAAAAGGGGAATAAATAAATAAATAAATAAAAGATAAAGAAGAAAAAAGATCCAAAATCATCTATAATCCAAGTACCGACCCTCTCGAATGAGAAACAGATACCGTACCGTATGTACCGGTAGTAGATGGGCTCCAGCTCGGCGTAGTACGTACCATACATATATACACATATCTCTCTCTCCCTCTCTGTTTATAATCGGGCGCGAATAGTTAAAAAAGATCGGAATACCCAAACAATTAGCCATCGTGCTACAGTACGTGCTATAAGACGAGTGATATATCACTTAGGAAGAGTACGACGGGAGACATCGTCCCTTTTTTTTTTTTTCTTTCCCCGCCCGCTTTATGTAAGAAGAGGAGGGCCTCGAAGGTCGCGATGTCAAGTCCTGCGATTGTATATAGATATAGATATATTTAATTTTTTTAATATATGTTCATGTTAGTGCTTAATTATAATTCAACTAGTCTTGGTGGTTCCGTTCCGACTTGCCATCCTTGCACGTCGGAACAAATCAATTTTCTCTCGAATCATATTCAAGATAACCGACGATTAGTAGGGTTAGATTGCAATTGATGGATTATATTAGATTTGTTTCTTCTTCGTGCCGTTTCAGTTCAGGTATTTGGATTGCTTTCGTAAGTAAAGGCCTGGAATCCTTTTGCGTAGATAGGTAGTCGGAAATTATCAAAGAGAGACGTTGAACTCCCCACCCATCCGGCGCCCCTTCCCCAACCTTCCAACCCTCAGCGCCCCCTCTGTGCTCCTTTCGTATTACTACGAAGCAAGAGCATGTACCCGAACTCAGCTGTGGTACCCAGCAGAAGTGACTGACCCATCATCACATGACCATTGACTTTCCGTCCCTCAACAACGACGCCTCATGATATGAGCTGTAAATAGAAAAGCTTGCGTCAGATCGTGGTAGCGATTTTCGCCCCCGTGATCCAATGTCACCAAGCCCCCCCCCCCCCCCCCCCCCAAAAGAAAACCCCTTTGCAGCGCATCCCAAACGCACGCCTACCAGAATCGAAAAGTTCCGCGTGACTCCTCGCCCTTCTTCTTCTTCGTCGCTTCGACAACCTCGTAATCCTCATTGCGCGACACGACTTCCCAGTCCTCACTTTCCAACTCATCCATCTGTGATTCTCCGTCGTCGATGACATCCAAGTCGCCCCCGACGTGAGCTGCGGCGAGGATGATCGAGTCGTCAAGCTGCGACGCGTTCACTCCGCTTTGCTTGCTGGGCGGGGCGATGGTCACGGAGTCGTCGAGCTGCAAGGCGATGTCGTCTGCGACTCCGCCGTTGCCAGTAGCCTTCTCGCCGCCTAGTAAGGTGGCAAACACTGCAGAGCCAGTTAGTAGGCCTCATCGGTAGGGGATGCGGAGATCAGAATCATACCTGGCTCAGAAAAAGAAGGCGGAGTAGCTCCCCCGATGTACATGCAGTCCAGCCCCTTCTCCTTGCACGTCGTACAACCCGGCCGGAGCGCGTCGCAGGTGATGCTCACCATGCGACAACCACCGCATGCGCGAGGGGGCTGTGGAACGTCGGAGTCTTCCTGCGCTGGTAGGACGCCCGGGTCTGGAAGTTTTAGCGATGATCAGAAAGAAAGAAAGGGAGGAAGAATATAGAGCCTTACCAAGGATATCAGCTTCACTCAAGGGCAGAGCACCTCCAGAAATGTACATGCAATCCAGCCCCCTAGCCTGGCAATTCAAACAGCCTTTCCTCGCCCCGTCACATGCCAACCTGGCCAGTCGACAACTGCCGCAGGACCGCGCAGTTTTCAGCGCGCGCTCAGTCTTCTCGCTCTCCTCGGGCTGCTCGTGATGCGCACATGTCGTCTCCCCATCAAAACACGCCAGGCACGGGATCGCGAGCGTCGGATCTCGGTCCTGGATCGCCAGCGCCGCTACCATCGAGCTAAACACACCGTAGTCCACCGGCCGAGGGTGGAAGGCACACGCGGTTTGTTGATCCAGACACGCGAGGCAGGGAGAAGGAGGCCGGACGGAGAAGGCCGCGCCGAGCAGGGTTGGCGGGAAACTGGGCATGATGGCAGAGGGTTGGCGGCCGAGCCGGAGGTCTTCGAGACGGGTATTGACGAATTCCAGGAAGCGGGGAACTTCGGAGCTGGACCCGGATGCCTTTTGACTGAAGGAGCTGTGGCGTTGGCTGTGGCTGCTGGTGCTGGTGCTGGTGCTGGTGCTGGAGCTGGTGTTTCGGTGCGGTTTCAGGGCCCCTGTGACACTAGATTGATTATCTTCGTCTTGGTCTTGGATACCGGTATCTCTGTTTCTGGAGCAGAACTGTTTGGCGTCGCTGTCAGATGACTGCATATTGGCTTCTCTGATCAGCAAAGTCAAACTGTAGCTTTACTGGAAAGGACCTTCACTTACTTGCATCTCTATCCATGTAGCTACAAGCGAGCCCCTTTGTCTCTCGACACGCAGCACACGGTGGAAGAGCATCATCACAGCCGCGCTCATCAACCCCGCACCTGGTAGACGGCCTGGTGTCATACCCCGTCCGGGTGAGATAGTCGGCAGCCTCTTCCAAGTTGTTCTTGCTGAGCAAGAGCGCCATCTGGGATACCGACACCGAGACGGATGGGAACAGCTTTCTGAGCGGCTCGGCATTATGGCGCAAGGCTTCCACGAGCTCGCTGATGCTCATGAACGGGTCCATATGCATGATGTTCTCGACACGGCCGGCGGAGTCCCACCCGGACTTTGGGCCTCGGCATCCCGAACTTTGAGATGTATTCTTCGTGGTGCGGATGGTGGCTCTCGAAGCCTCACATGGTGCGCAGAAGCTCGCCAGACTGCCCGGGTCGAGCTTGGGTTCAAAACAGCTGATGCAAGTGCGCAGCACCATCACCTGGCCCTCTTTGCCACTTTCCTTGCCAACTTCGCATCGATAACATTGCTCTTCTAGTTGGCCCGTACCAAGACACTGAGAGAAAATGTCACCGCAGCCGCTGCAGTACGTATGGAGCCGAGAGCGACCGGCACGTCCAGGTTGAGGTTGAGGTCCAGGTTCAGGTTCTTTGCCACCAACATCAACAACCCTCCGGTCCTGCACGGTCGGCGAGCTCGAGCTCAAGCTCTCGCCCTCTCCAGCCAGCGACGGCACAGACACCCAACCGATGCCTCTCGCCTTCGCCTTCGCAGTCGCGCATTTCTGGCATCGTCTGGGCGAGGCCTCGGAAACGCAATCAATGCCCCTCAAGGAGCACCTGTCACACTTGGTGTTGTACATGCCATGACACTCCAGGCTCGCGGTGCGGCAGTTGCGGCATTCACGTCTGATAACGTGGCCGTGGTTCAACCAGTGACATTCCACGCACATCTGGGAATCGTCACCGTGAACACTGACGGCGACTTGGCATAGCTCGCAGGCGGGATTTACGCGTCGACTGTTGTCAGGCGGGAATCTTAATCGGGAGCCGTCCATGGTGGTCTGGGTGGTCTGAGTGGTCTGGGTGATGTGGGTGATGTGGGTGATATGGGTAATCTGATTGACCTGGTTGCCCTGGTTGACCTGGTTGATCTGGTTGATCTTGTCGATCTGGGTCAAAGAAGGGTAGGAGGAGGAGGAACGGGAGGGATTAAAGGAGGGAAGATGGAAGATGGAAGATGGAAGATGGAAGATGGAAGATGGAAGATGGAAGATGGAAGATGAAAGATGGAGGATTAGAATGGTTTAGTAAGGTAGAGATAGAAGTTTCGTTTGTATTCAGCCAGGCCTTGCTTTGTCAGACCTGAAGATAAGGACGCTGACAGGAACTGCTGTCCGTATAATGAAGGGGAGAAGATGCAGCAGATGCCTGCCGTGCGACCTGAAAATGCCACTGACTGCTGACGGACTGACTGACTGACTGATTGATTGACTGACCGACCGACCGACTTGCTGACCGACCATCGATACATCAAAAAGAGAGACGAATACCGATAGTGACTGCACGTACCCAGGCTAAGGCTCCTATGCGATGCAGGTGACTGACATGTGAAGATGGATGTCACGTGCAGATGCTATATCATATAATTATCGATAAGCATATAAATCATGAAGATTAAAAAGAACATGTCGATGATTCACTTAATCCAGATCGAGATCCAGATCTATATTAAAACAAAACAAACAAACACGTCTTCAGATCAGGTACCAAAGTAAACAAACTTACGGACACATGATATGTATCACATTCAACGGGAGATGAGAGACAAAGCGAGCAGCCCGATATCCGGCACTCAGGCGCCTACCGGTAGACTGACAATACCTACCTACCTCTATTACTATTACTACTACTACCTGTACTACGTAGAAGTAAGTACGACCGTACCGTACCATACGCGTGCACGGGACATCTCGGCCATTGAGATCAAATCACATGAGAGACCGAACGAACTTCCTTCCCCTCTTCTCCAGCCGAGACTTGCGACGCGCAACAAAAAGTCAACTGGTCACGATGCGACGTGCAACAGATCGTCCGGACATGTCGAGTCGGAGCCAATGGGAAAAGGGGGGCATGGGGGTCGGGGCTGGGCAGAGAAAGGGTCCCACCTTATGCTTTGGCATCTTGGCATCTTGGCATCTGGCACACGGGCTCTGGTCTGGCTCGTGACTTTGCGTCGGGAAGAAAGAGTTGCGAGAGTAAGTACTGTAAGTAAGTGAATAAAATAAACACGTATGTATCTTTCTCATCGTCGAGTGATTCTCTATAGCGGTAGGGCGTACGGTCGCCTCTATATACATGCACACACTATTTCGAGGATCGATCCCTATTCCCGCCTGTTTGTTGCACGTCGCCATCGGTCGGGCCAGGTCTCTGGGATGGCCTGCCCCGCCCATTCGTTCGTTTTGATAAGTACAGTATGTGCGTCCACGTCTTCCGCTCTGTTACGTAAAACCTTACTATCCCTCTTACTTGTACTACTTATGAATACATATCGGACCAAGTTTAGGCCTATAAATCATCGAGCGGTGGTTTCTGAATAGCCCAAAGCCCTATTAACTCCATTACACAGACTTAAAACTGACCTAAATATACTTCTCAAGGCTGGATTCTTATAAGTTGATTGGTTTAAGCCCTGGTAAGATCCCTTGCGAAATTATACTTTCGACATGTATTCATGGGGGAGGATAGTATGAGGAACCAATCAACTTATAAGGATTCAGCCTTGCAAAGTATATTTGAGCCAGTATTTAGTTTATACAGTGGGGTCGATAGAGCTTTAAGCCATTAAGAAACCACCGCTCCATGATTTATGGGCTTAAACTGGGTCCGACATGTATTCATAGGGGGGGAGTAGCAATCCGGAACGGAAGTTCTAGTAACGATACTACTATATAGCCGACGTGCATAATCATAAATGGCTATTAAGAGATCGGCCAAGCTACTACGTAGCTTTACGGAAAGCAATTCTTTTTTTTCCTATGTATTAATGATTCTAAGATATACTAGCTATGGCTAGCTAAGCGTAAATAGCCAAATTTCAATTATAAATATATTTAAAATGATCTTCGACTTAAAAAGTGTCAGAAGGTAGCTTTGAAGACAGGCAAAGAGAAAATAGTAGGAGTATAGAAGTATGTATCGGTACTGAACTGATCTCTGGGGCTCTCAGGAGCACCCTCAGATCAGTATTTATAATTCTACGCTACTACTTCTACTAAAATACTACGTAGGACTCTTTAATGCCCTGGACCTAGATACGATGCGAGATTATGATACGCATTATCAAAATCTCTAACTTATCGGATCCTCATCTTAATTATAGGTGTAGCGAAGGCTTCCTGGTAGTCAGACGGATACTAAGTATCCGAGTAGAGTATTCCTGTCGGGCGTGACATGGTAATCCTGTAATACTACCGGTACGTGGCTTAGAATGCTCTTAAGTCAGCGACTACTAGGTACGTACTACTACGTAGTACGTCCCAGGCGTAAGTACCGGTATTACCCCTCGAGGGTAGGGTAACCAGAGGGTTTAAAGTGGAAACTTGAATTTTGAGGCACCCTCGAGGGGTAATACTTAGGCCTGTACCGTGGTATTTGATTCTCTATGGTAGTACTACTACTATTGTAAGTACGTACTACAACTACCAGAGAGGCTCAAGGTCAAGGATCAAGGTCAAGGGGCACCAAGGACAGAAGGATACCCTGGCCGATTTCCCCCCCCCCCCAAAAAAAAGCAAGAAAGAGAAAAAGATGTTGAAACTGTAGTACCGGTAGTTATACTACCGTACTACCGTACTACCGGTATATATATGTCTGTCTGTCTATATATCAATCTGATCCTTTCGCAACTCTGACCTGGTACCTATCACCACAAGCCAACCATTCCAATTCACTTCAATCCTATCCAACGAACTACTCAACAACCTATATCTTTATCCCAAGCCTTGCTATCTATCATACTTAACGCCTTTCAAAATGCAATTCTTCAAAATCGCCTTCCTCGCTACGATCAGCGTCGTTTCTGCTATTGCGATCCCCGAACCTCAAGGTGGTGGTGGTTGCTCAGCAAGTCAATACCAATCATGCTCTGATAATGTAAGCCTATCTTGGATAGCGATCAAACACGCCGAAATCACGTTAACAAATGTCAACAGTGCTCGTTAATTGGACAGACAGCTGTTTGCTCTATCGCCGGATGCCAGTGTATATAGTGCGGAGCATTTGGCCAGTCAGCTTTTTGCACTAGTACCGGATGCAACTGCTGCATCCTCTTATCGTACAACCCGTGCGCACGATTATGCGACGATTCGTATGCATTTTGCGATGGATTGTGAAGCACGGAACTCTGTTGGAAAGGGAAACGAGACTTTAGCGCGGTGTATGTTGTTAGATGTTGTCTGATGTATCGTTATGCGAGCAATAGCGATAAGAAAGGTCACTTCTATCCAAAAAAAAAAAAATATTAAAAAAAATGAAAAAGAAAAAAAAATGAAAATTTGAAAAAAGTTTGAAAAAAAAGGGGGGCTGCGATTCTTTACCTGTACGAGGTGCCCCCTACGAACCTTCAGCTCTCTTTCTCTCTTCTTCTTGCGGTAGAAAAAGAGATAGAGAGTCTAGAGAGCCGAAATTGAATCATCGATATGCGACGTCTCTTCGAAGATATTTTTTTTTACTAGCGGTTCCGAACTTCCCTCCTGTTTCTTTTCGAACACCACGCCGACTACGATCTATACCTGACGGGCATACCGACTAAAAAGACCAAGAGGATTTGCGATAGAGGGGGAACGGGTATAAGATGTGACGACAAGCCAGGTCTCCTGGGCCTACTCTCACGTGCGCCAAGCTACTTCCTTCTTGTCCTTCTCATATCCTCTCACTTCTCTCATTCCCCTCTTTTCACCCGTGAACCTGGCTCACGAGTCCTTGGCGCTCCCCACCTTCGTGTATATAAACCTCAGCTCCCTTCGACCTCTACACTCGATAGCCGTTGATTCTAAGTTATTACTTTGAGATCTTCCTGAGCTCCGTGTGAGCCCCCGCGCTCTCGTGAGTTCCTTAAGTAGTCGCTTTAAGTCATCACATAAGAGACGGGATGGGAAGGGCTTAGTTCGACTGATCGAAAACACGGCATTGCGCCTTCGAAAGAGCGTTTTGCAAACATACCGGCTTTATTTAAAAGCTGCGAACGCGAGCCTATTTAGCTCTACGACGAAAGAAAACGATGTTTGTAATATGCGGATCGAGGCCGCCTGTAGAGCCACACGTATTCGATAGTTATCGAGAAAAAACTCGATGCATAGCACTATAAATTGCTTTTAAGAAGTTTACAAGTATTTAGCTACTACGTCGCAGGCGTAAGTATTCCCCCTCGAGGGTAGGGAAAACAGGGGGTTTAAAGTGGAAACTCAACTTTTGAGGCACCCTCAAGGGGTAATACTTAGGCCTGTACCGTGGTATCTAACGAAAGCTTTTCTTTAACGTGGTTTTTACTCTTAATTAAGTAGTACTTTATATATACGTAGTAATTCCATTGCTTAGCACGTCGCCGTACCTTATAAGAGGTCCCCAAGGTCCAAGCACTGCGTTTTGAATACCCGTCCGACGTCAATAAATACAATAATAACAACAACAACAACAACGACCTGGTATTACCACTTCGTACCATGTGATTATTTGGTTAGTAATCATCGTAACCCAGCATCGGTGGAGGTTTTTTTTTTTTTTTTTTTTCCCCCTTGGATTCCAGACTGTAGTACAAAAACACAAATATACGCAATTTTAACAACAGTGAAAAGTGCTAAAAGGAATTGCGTTCGCCGGGAATCGAACCCGGGGCCCATCGAAGCTGCTCTCTGATCGCTCAGAGATGGCAACGATGGATTTTACCACTAAACCACAAACGCATTGTTGATATATCAGCTAGTATGCTGGTGTTTTGGTGCATTGATATAAGTCCATAACATTTTTATTTTTGTGTGGTAGGGCTGCCAAATTCGCCAAGCGTTCTCGTTCCCCGGTCCCTTTTCTTTGGCTTGTCTACAGTGAAGGATATACAGCCCGTCATTTTCACTCTTATGGAACCCTTTCCTCACACGAATCGCTCTGTGTTACCTATCGGTTCCCAGCTCTGGCCCAGCCACGTGAGCTAGTCAGCTGCTCGCTTAGTTTAGTCACATGCTCGCTACGCGAGCATGTAAGCTCTGAACTTGCCCTTCGTCAAAGGAAAAGTGCGAAGAAAAAAGACTAACTATGACCAGAAACCTCCCCCCCCGTGTTATCCTATGAGCAAACACCCGTTTTCACCTCTTTTGTTTGCAATGGGATAAATACCCTTTCCGAGTCACCGCGCAATGCCTATAGAATACCGTCGGTCCCTATAGAAGTGAACCGACATATGCGGCAAAGAGGAAAGGATGGGGCGTGTATATCATGAATTCCTACTCCTGTCACACCCCACTGCAAGTCTTCTTCGTGACAAGCGGGCCGGTGAAAGCAAAGATATGCATTTAAAGTATATGGTGGGTGTGATATACAGGATAGCTTGAATTCTATCTATTAACCCTGTAATCTGCCATCGAATCCCAATCTTTTCCTTTCCATGTATCAAAAACTTCACACCTCCAGTAGTCTCTGCGCCCTTCGCGCATACAAAGTTGCTCGGTCGCTATGCTTCCAACTACGTCTCCGCCCGCCTTCTCCCCTCCACCGTTCCACGTCCACGACGGAAGGAGCACAGGGCCATCTCTTCGAAACCATATACGATGCTGTAAGTCTTCTCGTATCTGGGCAGCAAGCAATAGATGACCGCATAGCAATGTGCCTCCCTCTGTCTCTCACTGACCAACGCTCTCAAGGTTTATATAGTTTAACCTTGCGGCAGCCGGATCAAACCAACATTCCTTTTCTTCGGACTGACTCCATTACCCAAGCCCAGGATTCCCTCTTCTCGATCTCTCGATAAGGCTTTCAAGTCTACAGCTTGTAACAGGAAGAACTCATCGTGTGGAAGCAAGCCTTCCATCCACCTTGAGGAGGCACCATCGATCGAGTTCAGCCGAGATCAGACCCATCCATCCCCAACACGGCATTCGATAGACCTCATCAACCTCGGAGCTTACACATCTGTCACAGGTCTCACTTTCTAGACATCGATCGCTCTTGGACGAATATCCAGAAAGAGAGGATGCTGATGGCATCAGTCGATGGGGCAGAACAAGCCCGAGCAGAGCAGCGCACCAGGATTAACCTCCGCTTGGACACCTGGATCATGCCGCTCATACAACTTACGGTACTAGTAATTCGACCTGCCCACTTGGAAACGTGGCTGGATACGCAGGAATCGGTAGGTCGTGCCTAATCATGCCTGCGTCTTTTCTTTCTATCTACAGTAGGTACATCCAGGTTGTCTTGTTAGGTCAGGATGGAAAGCTGGCTATATTATGGAAGCAAGAATGAGAGAGGCGGGAGAGAGTCAGACGTAGCGTCGGAGAAGCTGGTGAGTACCTAGGTACCAGTAGTAGATGGGTGTCGCGAGACGGACGAATTGCTATTCGCCGTCTCCGCTGCTGGGCTGCTGTTCGTGATCTGCTTCTGGATTTCACTAGCGAGGTTGGCGGTGCGCGCGAGACATACGTAGGAGAACGGCATCGGTGCCGCCAGTATATAGTAGTATTATACTTGGACTCCGCCGTCTTGCATATCGTTCGATGGTATTAGAATTCAAGAGAGGGTTACAGTACAGCCTTTCAACCGCGCTAGCGTTCCTGATGTTCGTGAAGTTGATCTGACAGCTTTGCTTTGCTATAGAATCGGAAGCCATCAGACCGGTCTCAACGACAAGAACATAACCCACGTTGCAGCAAAGCTACTCGATAGCCGTGAAGGAGTCTATGTACTATGTACTATGATTATTCTCTATTAGAAGCGAAGTAGAGGTCTGTCTCCCGCCATACAAAAAGGGCCCGCCCACCAGCTCGCAGCTTGGACGAGCGAAGACTCCCTTGTGCTCTCGGACAGATCCACGAAACATTTTGGCTCTTCAAATAAGCATCAAAAAAAAAAAAGAGGCCAGTGCTTTATTTGCACTTCTCTACCTCTCGTACCACAAACGTAATACGCTCCGTAAGTGCTCGTGCGGCCAGCATCCCTATCTGTCCCCATGTCGAACATCATCCCAGATAAAAAAGTCAAATTTTCACCCAGCCAACCATGCAAAAATGCTGCCATCTCTCCCGCCGAGTTGAAAGAAACCAACGCGTGGGGACAGATACGGTAGGTATGCTGGCCGCACGAGTACGTGGTCCCAAGCGAAGATTAGGCCAAGGACTCTGCGGTCGTCGGAATTTTTATTTTTTTACTGCGGGAATTCCCGCCCGTCGAAGATCGTACAAACATATTCCTTCCAGATGCAGTCGAGTTGGCAGAACGTTCGTAGAATCTCATGGGAAGGTGGTTTGGGCACCGTCTCCTTTCTGGCTCTCGCCGAACGGCACATCCTGCGTCGTCCCCTCCACGCTGACATCCACCGTCTTCGTGATGCCCATCATAGCAGCGTCACCCCTGCCCTGCACCGGCAGAATGATATCCAAGCTATCTGCGTCCCCTTTACTCTCGACGTCCTCCTCGCTATCGACTCGCCCTGGACTGGGCGAAATGGTGGACGTGCGGCTCTGTTTCGACGGTAGTCCCGCCGCGCTCACGCGGACGTGATATTTTTCTTTCCGCTGCAACTTGTCCATACCGAAACTGTCATCTTGGACATAGTATCGACCATTCTGCGCCGAGGAGGATTTCCCCATGCGCGAGTGCAGTTCGAAGAAGGTTCTGAACAGGGGACGTAGAGTCGGGAGCGACGATGCGAGGATTCCCGTGTAGAACTCGGCGCTTCCCCACATGAAGAAGGCGTCTTGATGCCAGGCGTTGGGGTTATCCAGGATATGGACCTGGAGACTCGTCTTGATGATGGCACAGGCGCAGGCACTACAGGTGACGGTTAGAATTGCCTGTCGACGTGTAAGGAGGGAGTGGAGCCCACAAGTATCCCAGCGACAAGATCAAGACGAGGGAGAGCTTCGCTTGCGTGTTGACTTGGAGCTTCAAGATGACTGGAATCGGGAGCGTTGCGAAGAGGACGTCGGTGAGGATGTTCACGACTTTCAGCTGTCAGATTCCATTCACAAGCTGTCAACCAACCCCAAGAAGAAGCTTACTGCTGTTGGTAAGGCCGAGAGCCGTGAACGTTTCCTTGCTGAAGCACTTCGCATCAGGTTCACCCATTCTGTCCCAACTTGCTCGGATCGGTGTGCATGAGAATACAACTACCTGAAGGGAGGTCAGCATAAATTACTCATTTTCATCGGCCATGTTTCTTCTATCTAAATCCATGCTTATAACTTCGGCATGGCAGTGACTTGACAGTAGTGGTATGGGACTTACAGTAGTACTGGCTATTGTGAAAAGTACCAAGAATGCTACGGACAAGACCGGTCAGCCTTCATTCATAGGTGTCGACACAATAGTAGATCTGACTCACTAATAGCGCCGCATAAGAACATCTTGAACCTTCTTCCCGGCACCAGTCTGAGGAGGAAAAACGCCACCGAGAATTTGACGAGAGCGATGCCGACGGTGTTTGCGATCGAGTGGTAAAACTCCCAATGCAGCATTCTTGCCATCTCATCAGGGCTAATATCAACGGTATACCTGCCTCTTCCATTCTTCGTTCCTCCAATATAGCATGTAAAGACAATGGCGCCAAGAACCTAGACCAACGTCAGTAACAGTAAATCCGACGACTTTCCCACACCTCGATGGAAGGGGAATCTCAGCCGCGCGGAGGGAATTTACCGTTGCCGCGATGATAAAGCAATCATCAGTCCCCACCGTCTTCAACATGACAGCCCTAACAAATATCCTCGCACTAACGACAAGAACTGTCATCCCGCAGAGAATGCCATTGATGGCCAGATTCCTGCCCGCATACGAGTGCCGACCAGTACCAGTGTCACTCATCGTGAGGATCGATGCTGATTGTCTAAACACGGATCGGATGGTCCCCGCAACGCTTATGATCTCGTGGAGGGGGACATTGGTGTTTTTGACCTGCACCTGAAGAGAGGCACGGCCAACTGATGAGCTTAGAGAAATCGACCAGTCACGTAGTCGGCGCCCCTGCTCTTACTACTACTATCCCTTCCCCTTCCCTCCCCCTCCCCTCATAGTACTAGTAGTATGTACTAAAGGCAGACCCAGTACCCAGTTTACAGTTTCCAGAGTATACAGCGGTTGTGTAAGCCGACCCACCTACGGAAACTAGCTTAATCGAGCAATACCATTGCGCTCCCTCGCATAAGCTTCGATCAATTGCGTGCGGCTGTCAAAGATGCGTAGGGAAAGGTCGGCGAATTTGAATTCCAAGCGCTTGTCGAGGTTATGCCGGGGCGTTATAGGGCTGTAATCAAGGCTGATAAGAAATCTATAAAATATTAAAACGATGATCCCTTTCTTCAATTTCTATAGCGTACATATTGTACGTAGTATGATCGCGTTCAGCGACACGAAGCGGAGGACTGCAGAGGTACTGCCGGTAATCCCCCTCATAAGAATAAAAGTCGGACCCAGTTTCGCTCCATAAATCGTAGAGCGGTGATTTCTGAATGGCTTAAAGCCCTGTCAACTCCATAGCACAGACTGAGTACTGGCTCAAAGATACTTTTCAGGGCTGAATGAATCCTTACCTATATGTTGATCGGTTTAAGACCTGATAAGTCCCTTGCAACAGTATACTTTCGACATGGAGGGTACGGCTCGATTAAGCTGGTTTCCGTAGCAAGTCGGAAGTACTACTATCACCGCTGTAGTAACTCGGTAGCCTCGTAAATCCTAGCCTTGTCAACTCAAAAATTTCCACGCTGAGTCGTTGTGAGTTTATTGGTTAAAGCTTCGGTACAATCAAGAAGCCCTTGCCAATTTATGCCTTCGGGGTGGGGAGGGGGGTAGTACTTCATAGCTGTTCTTCATACAACTTTTCTGTACAGCTACGTAGTACTTTACAACCTGCGTAGCTGTGGGTTTGGCCAATCCATATTATCTTCAGGTCTTGGGAGACAATTGATTGCGGGATGTCCCGGGGCTCCTCCGTGGTCGGGTGAGATTATGCTTCTACAGGCTTTTACCAACCGGAGATAAGTAATGTCAATTTTTTAGCGATGGGATAAGCGAGCGGATTAACATCAGATCAGGGAGGGATAGCCTTAATTTGTTGACCGTGCATCTTTTGGTCGACGGGTGCTATGCGTACCTAGTCAACTGTCATTCAAGTTCATGGATTCCTTTCCGTCGTCCTGGGATTCTTGGACAGGGTCTTTACTGTACTGTGTTGTACTGTATTGTACGTACTACATCGGATGAGAACGCGTTCTCTCCTCACAAGCCTAGCCAGGCACAGCGTGTTTGTCTCCTCAATTTCTGATTACCTTTGGGTTACGATCCTGGCGAAAAGACTACATATACCTCGTCCGGGCAGATACAGAATATAATGGAAGTATAGGGGACAGACAGAATGAATACGGTACAATAGATTCGCTCACCCGTAAAAAGGAGTTTGGGTACTAAAGCAAATAAATATTCGCTTATCTGTGTACGGCTATCTATTCTTTTCTCCCCCTCTCTCAAAGGATTCCCAAAGCATGGCGGAAGTGTAAGCTCCATTTTTATCGGGCCGATAGTTCATCGTGCCTCGAACATACTGCAGCTGTACGGAATAGTTATACTTAGAGTTGTTGTTTGCATGCCTAGACCACCCAAACATTCCTGCCACTTTATACTGCGCCATCTTAACCAATGCGCAAGGCGTCGATAAAGATCCGTAGCTGTAGTCGCAGCCGTGGGAAATGAAGCTATCTAACACGTCAAATCAAAAAAGAAAAGCAGAATAGTTATGGAAGCGATTTGTCATAAAAACAACTCTCGCTTCGCGCGAGTTACGCCCAACTCTGTTAAGCTTCCGCCATACCTCCCCTATTTCTTCCCCCTTCTTTTAATTTGCTTCCGATTCAATCTCGAGCTTGAAGAAAAGCATGGCACGGCTATTACCGATCTAATCTAACACAGTCTAGTCAACCTTAACCGTGCGTACATTCTACTCTCCCCCCCCATGAATAAATGTCGGACCCAGTTTAGGCCCATAAATCATAGAGCTGTGGTTTCTTAATGGCTCAAAGCCCTGTCAACTCCACTGTATAGGCTAAATACTGGCTCAAAGATACTTTTCAAAGCTGAATCCTTATAAGTTGATTGGTTTAAGCCCTGGTAAGATTTCTTGCGAAATTATACTTTCGACATTTATTCATGGGGGGGAGAGTAACGGTTAGCATGCATCCTTTCCTTTTCCGCTTTTACAACTTGCTTTTTTTGTAAGGCAAAATACTACTACGTACGTAGTAGTAGTATTACTACCTACTAGCTCTTATTGACTGCGTAGAAAAATCTTAACGTACTGCCGACCCACTCCTAGATCTCTCGTTACGCAAGCAGCATAGAGCGGCGGATAGGTTCAAATAGTTGATGCATGCCGGAAAAATATAAACTCCACTACTACTACGTATATTCGACGCATGAGAAATCACCGGCCCTGAGATTAAGCTTTATGACCCGCGCTCTGACTCGCACTCTGTAAACATTTACTCTACCCCCAGTAATTAAATGTAATACTAGGTCTTTTGTGGGCCGATTCCAAGGGGTATAGCAAGGCGTAATAGTGGCGTACGCAAGGGTTTAAACGAATTGAAATACTACGTGTAGTAGTACGTAGTACCTAGTACGTACTGTAAAGGCCACTTAACCTTACTTACCCTTCATCTTCGCTTAGAGGCTTTCTTTTTGCTTAGGATTCTTGTGTGTTCGACCCGTTTTCCATCTCTTGATAGCTACAATTAGATATCAATCAGTTATTGAATTAACCGACTCCTTCACAAATGAGCTTTTCTACGACTTTTGCGCCTTGAACACCGAAAAAACGACGTACACGGTCGAAAGAAAACTAATCCATTCAAGAGGAATATTTCCTATCTGTTTATAACCCTTAATCGATCATTTTTAAGAGCCTATAAGAAATCATATCGAAGGCTTACTACGCTATTCCTGATGGCTACGTAGTACGTAGTACTACGTACGTAGTATATCGGATCTTTATACTAACCCTTATGGACCCTGTTTAGCTCCATAAATCGTCAAGCGGTGATTTCTGAATGGCCTAAAGCCTTGTCAACTCCATTGCACAGACTAAATACTGGCTCAAAGACACTACTTACTTTACAAGGCTGAATGAACCCTTATGTGCTACGTAAGTTAATCGGTTTAAGACCTGGTAAGATCCCTTACAAAATTATACTATACTATACTTTCGACATGTACTACGTATTCATGGGGGAGTACGAGTCGTGGTGAAGGCGTTGTCGAGCTATCATTGATGCTCGAGGAAGGCCAACTCTATACCAGATAGAATCTTAATCGATTGATACTTTCTTTATTCCGATTGGCTTAAAATCCTTGTGTACTCCATTATTACCCCTTGCTATAACCCCTGGAATCTAGACCCAGTATCACAGTACATTTGTTTAGGGGGAGAGTACAGTAACAACAGTCAGTGTGCTGCCTGAAAATCTGCGGGCTGGTACGTAGTACGTAGTAGTAGTATTTAGCCTGCGCAATAGAGTTAACGTTATAAACAGAACTCCAAACTACGGAGTACTACTACTACGTATTAGATCATACTACGTAAGCTGCCGTCTTAAGCTTCTTGTAATACAAGCACGGTATGTACGTAGTACGTAGTATTTGGCCTGTGCAATGAAGTTGAGGTTGACGTTGAAAGTTGGCCTTTGACGAACTGCGGGACTATCCGCAAGGGAAGACTCCTGTTCAGCATTTTTAATACTACGTAGTATATGAAGTGAATCGCCGAAGCACCGAAAGTATCAAACACGCGCGGGATCTTTTGACAACCTGGGATCTTGCTGGTACAGTACGTACGTAGTAGGTACTACTAGTAGTACGGTAGTAGTATCTTGGGATCAGACCTAAGATTTTGGGTTCTCGGGCTCTCGGGCCCCTTGGATGTCGAAACAAGGAAGCCAAGTAGTAGTCAGCTTGCGAGATTGCGGAGGAGAAGGGTGTCGTGCAGATGGCGAGTCGGGTAATATACTACTAGTAGTAGTCAGTGCGTGGCTACTACTGTACAACGAAGTATGGTTTCTGAGATCGAGGAAATGAATCAGGCATTGCTGCCATGTACGTAGTATGTAACGTAATACCTTCTCCAGATGATGTAAATTTCAGGTCGCGAAAGATACAATGCCGTAAGCGCAAAATTGGAAGAAGTTATCTGTGTATCACTACTGACTGAAAAGCTGCTTTTACCTCATAACAAATGACAATAATTCATCCATTTGTATGTTTCCATCCGTTAATTACTAGGATGAAGAAAGGAAGCCGATTTTTCTATGTCTCTGCGTTTTTAGAATATCACCATTTTCGCCTTGCAAATGCTACACTGTGAACACATCGCCAACGCCATCCATATGCTGCTTGCTGATTCCACTTCTCCCCCGCCCTCCCCCCCCCCCCCCCCCCCAAAAAAAGAGTATCTCCGAAAAATCGTACAGAACAATCGTACAGATGGGGAAAGGATTGGCCCAATCCATCCTCTATATGCAGCCCCTGGCAACTGGCCCAATCTACCTAACCCCTCCGGACTCTCTTGTCATTATGACTTCTCGAATCCAACCCCTCTCCATCGCTACGCCTCTTGCGGCTCCCATCATCTCTATTCCCACGACCGTCCCTACGATGCTCCTCGTTTCTCATATCCCCGTTCCGCGTATCCCTGCTACCCCGACCGGAGCCACCTCTCTCATTTCCACGGTCTCCTCGCTCGCCATTCCATCCAGCTGCGTTAGGATCACGACCTGATGAATCTCGATGTCCGTCTCGACGACGGCTTTCTCTCTCTCTATCCCCACGCTCCCGTTCTCGCCCACCGTCCCGCCCGGCGTCTCGAGCTCCCATCGAGTCTCTAACGCCAGTTGACTCTCTCCCAACCATCAAATCCCTAGCGGGGGCTGGTGATAATCTGCTCTGGTGTCTATCCTTCTCCGGTTCTCGCTCGCCAGTCCGACGATCACTGCGATCACGATGTTCGCTTCTTGGTGGTCGTTCATCCTCGTGACTAGCGCGCTTGGAATCGCGCTCTCGTCCTGGACTTCTGGAGCTTCTGCGGCTACGACCAGATCGCTCTCTCCGTCCAATGCGCTCTTGGTCATGATCCTTGCTTGATGCCTCTGGTCCAGTGATCAGGTCAGCACGGGCAGGATTGACGAGATCCCGAGCCATATCTCTAGCAGGCTCTGCTCGAGGTGGCGGCCCAGGTGGTGGTGGGGGGACGGGCATCAATGGAGTGGATGGACGGGCTATGAGCGTCTCATGGCCCATGCCAGACATTCTCCCACCACGACCGCGGATATTTGTGCGATCGGTGGTATTTTGTTGAGCGCCTTGTTGTAGCATAGTATTGATGCCAGCAAGCTGTCTTCTCCCACCCCGTGCTGCACGCTCATTTGCCGAAGAAGGGCCAGTGGGAGCTGCAAAACTGCTCGGAGGAGGATTAACAGGACTTGATTGGTTCATCTTGGGCCCAGAAGGTGGACCTGGAGTTGCTAGCGGGGGTAAAACGGGTCTCGAACGAGGCTTGTTAGCCTGAGGGGGTAGCTGGGGGTTTATTGATTCCTCATTACTGAAGGCTCTTAATCGATCAGGATGAACTCCAATTGGTATTTGAGGAGAAGGCGGTGGCTGCACGGGCGACAGAGTGACCGACGCGCCGAGATGCTTCAGTCTATCTGGGTGGATCGTAGATGCTGAGGGTGAAGTCACAGTGGGAGAAACGGCGGCAGTAGGACCTGACATGGAACCCATCTCAGTTTGACCAGATGCAGAGCGTTTTGGAAGACGACCAGATGGGCCAGTTGGAGGTTGTTGCTTCTCGGGGGTTGGAGGACGTGGCATCTCCCTCGTTCTCCCATCTTGGCGTGATGGCGGCGGTGCATTTCCCATGCGACCACCACGATTACTCCTATCGCGAGGCCCAGACGGTATGTCAGAGGTGGACGGCGCTACGAGACGACCAAAGTTGGGATCTGGCTGGGATCTAGACGTCGAGTTTAGTCTGCCGTGATCGGGATCGAGAGTTCTGGGAGGAGGCGTTGGCTGGAAATTGGCTCTGTCATTAGGGCCACGTTCTCTCTCCGCAGGTCGATCACTTCTGGGCCCAGCTGGTGGCGGTTGAATATCGTCTACTCGACTCCTGTACATATCCGGAGGGCCACTGCGAGGTTGCCGGTCATCACGCCTAAGATCTGGGCGCTCCTTATCAGCGCTATGTCTCCTAGGTGATTGCGATCTCAAAGAAACTCTGTCCGCAATTTCCTCTCGACCTCGTCGAGGGGACGATGACCGCGAAGTCTCGTTGTCAGTAGAAATAAGGGCAGCTCGCTCTGGATTAATAAGATCTTGTCTCTCCATAATTTGAGCGGGCACTCTGTCGGCAATCGCATGAGGCGTACCTTGAGGCGTACGGTCAGGTGTTGCTACTGCTGAGGGTCTTGGAGGGGGCATCTCGCGAGTCAACCGGCCAGTATCAGCTTCTCGGGCGTTGGCAGATCTTTCAATCTTTTCGCGAGCAGATTCGGCAGACCAACGAGGGGGGGGTTCTGGTCGAACACGTTCACGATCGGAGCCTTGGCTTCTATCTGGAGGTCTCGCAAACTCTCTAGCTGTAGGCTCATTGACACGTCTGTCATTCCCGGAGAAGTCGCGTAGCCGGTCTCCAGATCTATCGCCAAGTCTATCTCCAAGTCTGTCACCAGGCCTAGAACGATCCAGTCTTGGATCAGGCAAACGAGGGTCTCGGCCATCTCTGCGATCGCCATGACGTGGAGGGTGTCTTTCAAGTAGATCACGACTCGGGAATTGAACGTCAGGACGGCTTGGTAGAGAATTAGGAGGCCTGCTTTCGACCGGGCCCTGGCGGATCGGCACAACCGGACGGGGTGGCGTCGATTCGTGGGCCTTTGCTTGTTGAGCTTTAAATAACTCCCTCTTCTCAAGAAGTTCCGATTTCTTTGATTCCAATGCCGCAGCGGGGGAAGATACACGCTTGAAGTCCTGAGGGGTAGCCGCGTTATTGCTAGGCGCAGTGGTAGGAATAGTCCGAGCTGAAAGTTTGGCGTCATCGACTTCCCCGTCTTCGACTTCGGTTGAAGGGTGAGGCTTTGTAGCGGGCGCACCTGATGGGCTGTATATGATTAGTGACTGGAAGTAGCAGAAAATAGATAGTAAACATACATGGCTGCTGATTTCGGCTTGAAGTCTGGAGCGGTAGGCTTTAGGACTGACTTCACAGGTGGCTTGCCATTTGCGTAGTTGATATTGCCGGCACCGAAGGCTTGTATCATGACCCAACTTGGTTCTCTCTTCTTCAACTGAACGAATACGGCGTTTCCAGTCAGAGCAAGATCTTCTCGAACACCCTTCTCGCGCTTTGCAATACCTTCAAGCAGCTCCAGAAACCTGGCACCCTGAAAGTCGATAGCAGGAAAAACTTGAACAATGGATTTGAGAACCGTTATAGCATTGCGAATATGCATCCACTCCGTCCCTTCGAAACAGTCCCTTAGGGCAGAGTTTAAAGCTCGGTGCCATTTGAGAAGTACACCTTTGAATTCATCGTGGCTGAGGAGGGTCTTGGGTTTGCTGTTTTCTTCGAGAATTTTCGCAAATCCGGGGAGATTCTTTTTGGCACCCCAGGCTTCCTTTTCGTACATTTTACCATCCTTGTGCCACTTGCTGAGATCCACGAGCACGAGCTTGAGAAATCGACCTAGGTTCTCTGCTTCGCGAACGGTGCAGGTGAAAATCATGGCCCGCAGCCGATGCTGTCTGAATATTTGACCGTACAGCTGCAAGGTCCGAAAGTATGGAACACTGTTGTCGTGAATGAATCTGATCATTTTGAATGAGTATTCGGCGTCGCCGGGAGATAGAAGTAGGCGAGGCAATAAACACTTTTCGAAGAAAGCTTCGTTGGCATTTTCCGGCTTCACAGTTTCTGGAAACCAGAGTGCCTTGTTTCTAAGTAGCCGTGCCTTTCTCTGTGTAAAGGCGTTTACCGAGTCTTTGAACTCGGCGAACAATTTCTCACGTGTCGTATTTAAGGCCTTCTTCTTCTCCTCCTTCTTCGCCATACCAAGTCGACTCATGTCCGAACGATCATTTGCCAGATCTTTCAGTTCATTAAGTAGCCGCGCAAGTTCAGCGTTGTAACTAGGTTCTGGAATAGCGAGATCGCCCAGGCTGGATGACCAGAAGATGGTATAGAAGTTGGGAGTAAGGTACTTGAAGGAACCATCCGGGAGTGCAGTTTGCACGCTTGAAATAATCGGTTCGAGGATGGCATTGAATGGATCCGAGGCGATAACTGGTGGGCTTGATTCATTGGCGTCGGGCATCTGGCTGCCTTGGTTCGTGAGGTCCAGCGCTTCATCACCAGTGATGACATTTTTGTTTCCACTGTCCATACCAACATCTCCATCGGCATCGACGCATGTCGCTACTGGATCGGTTACTCGTAAATTGGCCTTGGATCTGCCGTTCGACATGGGGGATACAGCAACTGCCGCTCTAAGGTGCGCAAGGCTGGGTCGTCCGATCAAGAATGCGAGTGCTGGATCTAAGCCGAACTCTGTTAGGAGCTCGGGGATACCAGGAACAGATGCATCAAATTCTTCTACCGTAAGATTGCTTCGAAGCAGCTCCAGATACTGTGTGAGAGCTGCCTGAGTGTCGTCAACAATAGTCGCTAGTAGCTTAATGTGTGCGTCGGTGTCAGAAATTTTGAAGATGGCTGCTTGTCGGTATTGCGCAATCGAAATCAGAAGCTCGCCGGCCAGTTTCGAGTAAGTCAAGGCGTTCATGAGCCTGTTCGATGTCTTCGTAGACTCGAATCTTTTGTCTTGTAAATTGATGAGGGTTTGTCTTTTCAGCAGTTCCCCACCTGTCATGGCGACAATTTGAGCATCGTTATAATCAAGGTCTGGAACAATCCCGGACATCTGTGCGATGAGCTCCTTGAGAATAACCAGGTCTGTAGAGTTGCCTCGGTAAATCTGGTCGTTAATATATCGAAGGATGGGAACAAGGTTCAAATGGCTGTATCGTTTGTAGACCTTTCCAGAGAACCTTGAGAGCGCCATGAGCCAGGCACTTGGGAGTAGAGCGAATTCTGCATTATTCCGATTTCTACCCTTGGCACCGAGAGAGCTCATGAGTGACCAAACAAGTACGTCGTAGCCGAGAGGAGTGAACTGCTTCCCGCACTCGACCACAACTTCCGTCAAGTTGGTATATGCTTCAATCTGGCTAAGAGCGATGTTGAAGACAATACCAGGAGCATGGTGAGTAATCTTCCCCAGCGCCCTAGCCATCGGCACCACATTGATCTTGCTAATTCGCTTCATAGTGCTCAAGGTTTCGAGTTTGGCTCTTGCAAAAGCGATCTTCATTGCTGGCTGGCGACTTGTCGGACCCTCATACCACTCAGCATAGATCGAGTATCGGGTGGCGATTGGGTATAGACTCAGCATGTCGTATATCTCGTTTGCCAAGGCTGAGTTGGAAACAGTCATACTGAGAGCTGGAACAATCAGCCTCTTCAGCAACTCCTTCCAACGATCGAAATTCTGTTGAGAACGATCGACTTGAAGGCTGTGATTTCCAATCCTAGCAAGCTTGGTCAATAACGTAGCGTCTTTGCCAATGCTCACACCAGAAAGGTTGAGGAACGTATTGCAGAGAATGAAGAGATCATCTACATTCCGACAAACGGGAACGTTATCTGCCCACTCTTCCCAATAAAACCGATAGTTAATATTGGCATTGGTATCGTACTTGTCCGGAAATGGCCACCGTAGCATGCTTCGAGTAGGTACTGCTGTAAGACGAACTTGGCCTTTTGCCACTCCAGACTGATCTGGTTCGGGCACTTTCCTTGCTGGGCACTCTGCATTCTTTTCGGCTTCGGGCGATACACGGGGGCGGATTTGGTCGTAAACATCCTTTATCGAGTGTTGTATGATCCGATTAAGGAGGGGCATCAGATCGGGGTATGCCTCAGGGAGCCATGGGAAGCGACCAAGCATGAAAAGCGCCTCGGGGATGGCACCAATGGTGAGTAAGCAGGTTAGTAGCTGGACCTTTTGATCTTCCGGTTCGCCTGATTTTCCCTCCGTCTCTGCTGCTGCCTTACTCTGGTCAGATTTGGATGCCGCCTCACGGTTTCTGCCGCCGCCCGGGACGGTATCGTCAGTCAGAGCGCCAGCGTTGGCCAATGCATTCGTCAATCCACCGCCAGGACGGTTCAGTCTTTCCTTTTCCGCCAGTTCTGCAGCTCGCTTTTCCCTCAAAGCCGGCATGGCGTCGTCGAAAGGCCACAGATGTGGGTACAGATCTCGAAGTGATATAAACCCGATTTTGATGAGTAGAGCGGTCAAGTATATGAGATTTGGTGGAAGAGTGTCATCCTCATCGCGGGCAGCGGAGATATAGAAACGCAGCTTGAAACCAAGTAATTGGGCAGCAACACGATTTCCAGATGGAGGGAGCGTGCCTGTTTGTTCGATCCAGTCGCGATCGCCATCAATATCTCTATCGCCGCTGCCTTTGCTCGCGAGGATACGACTCTTAGTCTCTTCGTCGAGAAGATGTCTGCCTCCAAGCTCAAAGAAAGCGTCCAAACCGACTTCACGTGCCCGGTCCCAAAAGAGAATATCCCTCTCAGCACGTTCTTGCTTGCCAACAAAAACATCTTCCTCTGTTGGCATCCAATGCGGAGATGTCGGTAGAGCCCAGTTTGGGAGACCTCCATGTCGTTCACCCTGCAGATTACCATTTCGGGGCCACCAGGAGCTGACTCGCAAAAACTTTACGAAAAAGCGGAACTGTTTGATCAATACCGAGGCAAAGACGTCCAGTGTAATGTCCAGGACCCTTCCAACGTCCAGATCGAAGGTTCCTATTAATCCCTTTACCCTCTCAAACGCATCCTCCACAACTTCGCTCGACGGTGGTTCGCTTCCACTCGTCGTGAACAACTCAGTCACAAGCTTCGAGTACCCTTCTGTCTCTTCCCGCAAAAGGTTGTAATTTGCTTGTCGATAAAGTTGGTTTGTAGCTTGCCGAATGCTCATGCGACTGAAAGTTTCCCGGGTGAGTCCAGTGTCTGAAAGAACCTTGTTGTCCAGTTTTTGGCGCATGATATTAGGTGATATTTCTGTCGCGACCATGAGAGACCGGAGGGATGAAATGTTCGGACTGTCGTCCACTTCGAGTACCATGGAAAGAATATCGAGGAAAGCAGTCGGTGCATCGAAGGTAGGTTTTGATCCATCTGCTGGCGCAGTGTCGGGCCCTAGAATCTCCTTTATGCACCTACCAGCGGAGGCGGGGTCCATACGCCCATCCAGAGCCGCACGAATGAGCTCTTGGAAAATTTCAGAGAGATCTGTTGTGTCCTCGTCCTCGACGGCTCCACGGCCCTTCTGCGTCACTTCCTTATGACCAGTGCTGTCCCAGGCGGATACACGGTCGTCTGTCACGAAGACATAGTCGAATGGCGCGGAGATCGGGTTGAAGCCTGAGCTGGGGATTTCGAGAGTTGGTGTTGGGGTCTGGGCGGGCGTTGGAGCTGTGCTCGCAGGTCGTGGAGGGGGAGGGGACATTGGACCTGTGGGGGTCGCTCGTCCATTTCTCTGGATGTTGAGGTTGTTCGGATTGTCGCGAGCATCATTTCTTCGGCCTCGTCCTCCGCCTACTCCCCCCTGACCTCCGCGACTCGACCTTCGGCCTCCGTCACGCATCTCATTCCCTCTGTCATGCTGTGCCATATTTGTATGGTGTGGGCGATGCGGCGAGGGTCTGCCTTCTCCTAAATCAACTGGGCCTCCGGGTCTCTTCCTCTTACCGGCCGGCGCCATCTCCGTCCCTATCTTGGGGTTGCGATCAGCGTCCGTACATATGTCGCAAGCTTGTTGTCGGCGGAGCTTGCCTGGATTGCTGCGGACGTGGGTATCAAGGTGGAAAGAAATGAAAATTGCGCGTTGCGATGTGGTGTGATGAAGATCACCAAGGGTGTTCGCAGTATGTAGAAGAAAAGAAATTGTCGAGCGCGATGATGTGAGACTTGAAGGAGAGGTGGTGAGGTTTAAAGGTACGAGTGAGAGAGCGCGGTTGCGGCTCTTTGACGATGTGTAGTACCGTGTTTTGGGGTGAATTTAGCAAAAATAGAAAATCTGGCTAAATTTTTCCTCGGGCCGTCGGAATATCTTATTGTGAAGGTGCATTTAAGAATTCCGTCAAAGCTCCTCAACGATGCTTAATAATCAGTTTTTCGCTTGGCCACCCACTTCAGCCACACCCTCTCTCTCACTAAGAAAACACCTGATTGATGAGGTAGCTCTGTCCGAGCAAGATTCATCAACTTCTAAAGCTATTTTCAGACCCTTCTATCATTGTATGAATCTTGCTCGGGAATTTAATAGGTAGGTGGCTCTTCTATATTTGATACTCAACAGTTCGAGTCACGTTTTCAATTGAATTCAGTGGTCTCTTTAGCTGGACGAACGCCGGAACCGGAGAATCCCAACCATCCGATCGTCACGATGATGCAATCCCGACCGCCCTATGCGAGACACAGACAACATCACAGACCCGGATACACTTCCCACCCAGCGTATTTCACTATTTCAGGACTCTTCTTCTAACAATTCAGAATGGGCAATGATTCTGAGACCAATGGCGCAGCCAAATATGGTCAGTAATCAGTAGTTAATCATACCCGATCCAAGTTCCCCTGTCCGTGAAAGAAAGATCACTGAATACGTCCAAGAAAGAACGCAACAACAGCCCGAGAACCCATTTGCAGCCCTGATACCGGATCAAACCATCGCTATAATCCCCTCTTTCACCCTTGAATCGGGCGTAACGCTGTACAATGTCCCGTTGGCATACAGTACAAGAGGAACCCTCTGTCCGGACCGGGATAATGCTATGGTCATCTGCCATGCCTTGACTGGCAGCGCAGATGTTGGCGACTGGTGGGGTCCTCTGCTAGGAGGCCCTGGGCGAGCATTTGATATATCGAGGTTCTTCGTTATCTGTATGAACAGTTTAGGAAGCCCCTACGGGAGTGCCAGTCCTGTCACTTGCAAAGATGGGGACCAGAAGAACGAGAGATACGGCCCGGAGTTTCCTCTAACCACGATACGGGATGATGTCAAGTAATGCAACTCTCCGTCTTCTGGCAACTACGCTAATGTTATTTAGTCTACACAAACTACTACTGGACGAGCTAGGAGTTCGGCAGGTCGCCGCGGTCATTGGAGGCTCTATGGGAGGCATGTTAGTCTTGGAATGGGCATACTTTGGCAAGGACTATGTTCGGTGCATTGTACCAATCGCCACATCAAGTCGGCATAGCGCTTGGGGGATCAGTTGGGGAGAAGCACAGAGACAAAGCATTTACGCCGACCCCAAGTACGATGATGGATACTATCCATTCTCGGATCCCCCCACCGCCGGCCTAGGAGCAGCCCGTATGTCAGCCCTACTCACATACCGAAGCAGAAACTCCTTTGAGGCAAGGTTCGGCAGAAACACTCCAGATGCGTCCAAGAAGCAGACTATCATCCAAGACCAACACCCTTCAAGCCCGTCGGAGATCCATCTAGCTATCCACAATGATGGCCATCGGTCGAAACGCGCTCCACTATCTAGACCAGGAAGCTCTGCTGATATAAAAATCTCGACCTTACCATCAAATAGCAATTCCGCCGATTTTGCAGATCCTCAGTTCCACGGTGCCACGCCCTCTGTTTCGCCTGGGCCTACAAATCCAATGTCAGAGCGTAAGCGAGGAACTTCAACATACTTCTCAGCACAATCATACCTCCGTTACCAGGGCGAGAAATTCGTGAAGCGCTTCGACGGCAACTGCTACATAGCCATTACCCGAAAACTAGATACACATGATGTCTCTCGATACCGTGTGTCGGCGGACTCCACCACTCCCATAGCCGACGCACTTGCTCAAATCCAACAGCCAACCCTCGTTCTTGGCATCGAAAGCGACGGTTTGTTTACCTTCGACGAGCAAAAGGAAATTGCAGCATCGATCCCTGGTGCCAGATTGCGAAAGATTGATTCGCCAGAGGGTCACGATGCTTTCTTGCTGCAGTTCGAACAGGTCAACAAGCACATCTTGGAGTTTTTGAAGGATGTCCTGCCGGATATTATGGATGCGCCAGGCCGAGAGGACGCTATTGCTGAAGATGGAGTCGGTGCGGTGATGAAAAACAGTACGTTCGGGGAAGCCGAAATAGAGGATATCACTGCGTGGTAAAGGCAGGGATTCAGATGGTGTTACTCTAGTATTGCCAAAATCCGACGAAATTGATAGAAGCTGTCGTTCCGCGCATGAGCCTTGGTCAGACTGCAACCGTTGTTGTTAAGGTTTAGTCTTTTCTCAGCTCTTGTACTACTTACCATCCAGCCTCCGACTCTCCTATCATGCAACCAAGTGTTCGCCGTCAAGGATGGCGTGCATTTTGTGGCCGTAGCAGGGATGCATGTAATTGCCATCTTCCAGCTCGTCGTCGGGGGCGATGACTTCCACATTTTCTACGCCGCCTATGGCTTTGGTCCAGCTGATAAGGGAGTGGATTTGGGCGGAGGAGATTCCGGTCTAAGACCATCGGGTCTTCTTTCTGGTGGGCGGAGCCGTTCGCGTTGCGAGGTAGGTGCTTGAGGGCTGCGTTATTGGGGCGGAGGCTCTCTTTGTGCTGCCCGGGTTGGCTGTTTATTGTGGTCATTGCGTACCGAACGCGAAATAGGTACTCAAAGCGAAATCCAGAAGTAAATAAAAGTGAAAAGTCTAATAAGATATTGCTCCGAATACTCCTGGTGAGGTAAGGTATCCAGACTGTACTGGATGGGGAAGCGGCAGGGTCTAAGTTCTGATCGGCGGGAAGTCCACAAATCTTGCTGCAGGCAGGTTGGTAAGTTGAAGGAAACAACGGGAAATCTTTAGTTTAAGAAGAAGAAGAGTGATCGCCCAAAATCTCTTCGGGGGGAGGACCTCGGAAAAGGGGTGCGGGGATGGCATTCAGTAAGCGAACCTTACGCAGCGAAAGTCAACACGATCGTAGCGCAGTTCGTCACAATCTCTCGGTGCTTACTGGCGCTTTATTGATATCACAAAGCCAGCTCGGTGAGAATTTCAATGTCTCACCGAAAAAAAATCTATGCTTGTTATGATGTCAAACAAATAAGTTTGAACAATTAATACAGAACGATTGGCGCAGTGGTAGCGTACCTGATTCCAGTTATATAACAGGGGATTCCAGGCGGTCACCCGTTCGATCCGGGTATCGTTCATTCATATTTGCCGCTGGTATTCATTTTTATTTTTTTTGGCGGCCTACCGACACTACCGACAGGTTTGTTCTTGTTTTCACTTCAGCGAGGGTGTTATACAGTCGCAGACTGAGACTCCGAAAACATTCACCACTATTGTTCACTGCCTCTTGCCTGTTTTCCGCACTAGCCTTGATGGTTTTCTTGCGCGGAAATCTCTAGAAGGGAAGATTTTGAATGGAAAGGGTGAGTGATAGATGCAAGAAGCCTTTGACACATCCCCTTAAAATACGCAAACTCAAGTATCAAAACCAAGCAACGTTGCCGCTAAACTCTGAGGGACTTCCAACTCCACCTTCCAATCTCAATAAAACACTTCTTACAGCTTTTCGAATCCTATCACCTCTCCTGATACACCTAGAAGATACCAACCGACATATCTATCTCCGCAAAACTTGAACATCGCTCGTAAGTTAACCCACCACACAACCTCTACATCTCACCCAATATAGCATGGTTTCACCCCCAGAATATTTGGAACAAGAAGTGGTACCGGTATCTCTGGGACTGCTGCGAGTGTGGTAACGTAACTATAGACTCGATGTATATCTGTGCACACTTCCAGTGCATCGACCGCATCGGCTGTTACTGAAGCAAGTCCTCATCCTATCATGCGCTGCTGACACTAGGGCACATCTCAGCCCAGGAGCTAGAACGGGGTGATGGCGGCAGGGTACTTTTAGGTTCATATATGTATTTCCGTAGCTAGATGACAAATATCGTTGTCTATCAAATCCCGAGCCTCGAGTGACTGTCCTACACTCTGGCTCTCTCAGTCTTCATAGAAGACATTGATTCACTTCTTGTATACCGATGAATAGCTTATCTTTACATCTCTCTATCGAGTCAAAGCTGGTGTTCAAAACGCGTGGAGTATATCGACGCTTAGAGTGGGTTCCCAGGACTTACATGACGATTCGGTGCTTCTTAGAAGCTTATAAGTTACAAGTTGGCATGTGACAAACAGGATATGAAATGGTTCTTTGAACATCCGACTCATCGTAGATTAGTCGATACAAAGCTCCATAGATCGTAGGAGAAGTACATGGGAAAACTACCCTATCAAATGAGCATCTAAAAATCAGACTTGATAGCTCGCTTTCAACGAATTCAAGTAAGACTCTGCTGTACTGGGAGCAATGACTCCTGATGTACACTCTTGATTGACACTGGCTATTGGTTAGCAGCAGGTTTTTGGAATTGACAGCCGCAAAAATCAAACAAATTCAAAGAGAAAAGAAATGAAAAGAAGAGGGAAAGGAAAAGTAAAAAGATCACAGGATCCAAGAACAACAACAACAACTTCTTCTTCTGCTTCTTATTCTCTTTCTTTCTCCCACCTCTCCCACCTCCCATTACACCCCCTACACCCTCTAAATTCCTACCCACCCCCCGATGAAGGTTTACGTTTGTCAGGTATATACAATATATCCATCCATCCATCCACACCCAAGCTCTTATCTCACTAAAGGCACAGCCATCAAAATGTAGTCAAGTTGCCAGCAAGAAAGTAAGTAGCATGCCCTTCCCTCATGGGCCGTTGTCCCCAACCAGCGTCCTATGTATGCATTTCCTCCAAGCCGCCCTTTGCCATGTGTCGTACCCGACATCTAGAATTTGTCTCTTGTATGCACTTTCCAAGCTTTCCAAGAAATTTCATGCCCGCCGATGGCTATACAGTCCACTCGCCGCATGTTCCAATGGAGCTGGGGTTGCATCGATCCCTCACGCAACAGCCGTCGCAGCCTTCACCGCAAATGACGTGGGCGCCGGCGCACTGTGAAATTCGTCCTTCTCGTCAAGATCATTAATGCCCAGCTTCCCCGTCTCCATGGGCACCTTTTCGTGCTCTCCCTCAAGCTTGGCAGCCTCGAGATCCTCCATCACGATAGGCTGTTCGGTGTTGGCAATGGCCTTCTCAAGCTCCGGTCGATTTTCCTCGAATTTGGATGCTTTCACAGGCTCAATGCTGGTAGGGATGACTTCGACGCTTTGTCTTCCCACACCAGCGAGGTCAAACTCCTCCGAAGTCGATTTGGCTAGGCTTTTACCGCTACCTCGATCAATCATCTCCGGTCTCGCCTGACTCCTAGGCGGCACAGGCGGTGGCGGCGGTCGCTTCGGGATGTTGACTACACCACCCCTAGCTTTTATTTCTGAAGGGGTGATAACCTGAGCTTGAGCAGAGGCAGCTTCAAATATTACAGGCTCTTCCTCCTCATAATCATCATATTCATCATCGGTCGCGCTCAGGTCAGTAAGGGAATCGGAATCGGAATCGGTATGGGTATGGGTTGTATGAGTTGTGTCGACTGAGACAGTCCGACGGCCGGTAGTGCTGCGTCCACGGGGACGGTCATCATTTACTGTCGTACCATCAAACTCGTCACTTTGATTGAGGCGGGTGAGAGGACTGAGGTCGATTTTCGTGTAGTCGATTTCTTCTGGTTCCTCGATGATTGGCTTTTCCTCCTTGAAAATCGATTGACCCTGGTCGCTGCGGCTCGGACTTGTGTTTGGCGAAAGCCTGTCGTCGGTCTGTGTACCCGTCTCGCTTGAAGGTAGTGCTTTATCCGTACTCGTCCGAATTCGGTAACTTCGGTTCGACATGTAGCTCTCTCTATTACTCCGCGTTGTCATTAGTGTGTCAATACTTTGGCGGTTGAGTTTAGGGTAGATCGGGCTCGTCGGACTCGGGTTGAATTCGAACTGTGTACTCGGAGGTCTGCTCTTCGACCCTGCTTCCCGAATCTCAAATCCCTCCGCCTCCAGAGCCAACACACCATACGGGTCGGGATCGTCCGGCTCGGGGATACCAAATATGGGGATTGGGCCAGTCGGTCCCGGGTCTTCGATATTGACGTCTCCAGGCGCAGGTTGACCTTCGAGCTCCTCCATCATATCCTTATCAATATCACTCCGACCTTCCGCAGCTTTCAACGTCTCCATGAGCATCTTGAGCTCATCCGGTGGCTTCCGCACCTTTCCGGCCAGAATTTCCGCAGCGCCAAGTCTTTGGCCGTAGAATCGTTCGTTCTCGTCGTTTCGCTCGATGATTACCGTCCCATCGACCTGGACTCCAGCGTAGAAGCCTCGAGATTTGAGGTAGGTGAAGACTGGGCGACTACTGCAGATTAGCTCCAAGTTAATAAGCCAGCAGTCGTTCAAATGGCATACTTTGCCTGTTTCCATTTCCCATCGTTTTCCAAGAGACCCCCCACACCGACCGGGCCTGCCACTGCAGAAATCTCACCCCCGAGCGTAGCCCTGATCTTCGTGAAAGCAGCAAGCGCCTTGCGATTGTTGATCACAACAACACAATCATAGATATCCACCCCAACCAGGAATCCCAGACCAGCAGTATGCAACATGATACCAGAAGGCGGACTCCATTCCCCATCTTCTTTCCGAGCAATCAACACGCCCGATCCGCCGGCGCCGGAGATCCACAGGCCGGTCCGCATCGTCGTGAAGATCGCCAGCCCAACTGCATTTTGTATAACTTTCTGAGGGATCTTCTTGAGAACCCGCTGCTTGCCCTTCGGCGCGTTGAGTATGGAAGGGCGGTCTTCTTCGCCGTAGAAGCCATCCTCTGTCCCTCTTGTCAGTACTGTCTCCTGTGCGGTTTCCACTTCCTGCCCGGGCGTCACCTACTGCAGAAAGACCTCAATATGCGCGCCGCCTTGTCTGATTCCCTATCCAGAGTCGTAGGCCAAAAGGCCTCGGAGCCGATCTTGTTCGAGAGGCGGTTCACCGGTGCGCCGACTTTATTTTTTTTCACAGCTGTCAGTTTCGCATCCGCGACCCCAAAAAAGGACTGGCCGACTCCTGAGTCTTGACTACTCACGTTTGTCCGCCCATCCCCAAGCTTTATCGAATCCTTTCTTGCTGCCCGTCTTTGTTTTGTCCCAGGAGGGCAGGAGGGAGGTGACGCGCTGCATTGTATGTAGCCGTTCGCCCGACCGAGCGGTCCAGCTCTCGGCGAGGGCGAGGGTGAGGCTTTCTGGATTCCGGGTCAACAGTCGCTCGCTGTCTTGTCTGTATGCGCGATAGGCGATGGCGGGAAGGCCCCGAAGCCATACCTGGTGAGATTGAGGGAGAGATTACTTAATATGACGCTGCTCTGTGGCCAGGGGAGCACTCGGCTCTGGCGCATGCAGTTCAATGCAATGTAATGCACCAGTTCTTGTTCAATCCCATGCACCGCCGGATCAGGTTGATTACTTTATATGAAACGAAGCAGGAGGTCGGGTAGGGTAGGTATGGTAGGTAGGGTAGGGTAGGGCAGTAAAGGATAGAGAAGCACCTCGTACTACGTATGTAGAGGAGTAGAGTAGGAGAATCGAGTAATATAATGCGAATATGCGACAATGCCCAGGAGGGGGGGGGGGAGAGGTGGGCTTGTTGCCAATTGCAATTGCCTGCCGATGTGAATACATAGTTGTACTAGTAATTTGGTCTTTGGTACGGACGCTATGGCGTTTTCGTGGATAGCCGGGCTTGTCGATGACTACATACGGACAACACATACAACACCAATTACCTTTACTGACTGACGACTTTACCCAAGCGGAACTCCTGACATCATACTCAGAGTTTTACACCTCCATGAGACGAGGCGGTCCGCATGTTATTTTTAGTTTATACTTATGCGGAGCAGACAGACAGACTTCAGTTATTCAGTTAGAACCACGATCAGCTGTTCTCGCGTTGCAAACTTGCCCTTTTGCCTTGCCCTCTTGCTTTGCTCTCTTGCCTTGCTCTCTTGCCTTGCTCTCTTGCCTTGCCCTCTTACAAGTACCTTGCTCTCTTGCCTTGCCCTCTTGTCTTGCCCTCTTGCCTTGCTTCCGCCCCCCTTGGTGAGACCCGGTGAGCTTGGCAGCAAGGTGTTGAACTCCCCGCTGCGAACGGCTGTGGGAATCTTTGAGGAGAAAGTGGCAGGTCGCATGTACCTCGGATCCGCTAAGGTAGCATTACCTACCGACGTACTACGGTACGGTACTAGTACCGGTATCTGGATGTGATAAGGAAGAGAAGAAAACTTTCCATGGAAATCCCTACACAGTGTAGACGCAATCCCCGGCACCCAGTCCCCAGTCCCCAGTCCCAGTCCCAGTCCCAGAATTCTGATCAGCCTTCCGTCTTCACAAATCTTTTTTTGGCTCACTTTTTTCTTTTTTTTTTCTTTTTTTTGGCAGATGCAATACATTTTGAACTCTCGCTGTCATCCCATGCCCTGTTTGCCCAGCTCATTTCGTCATGCAAACTGTCAAAGCTCCCCAGCTGTCATCCCACGTCGGCGTTTCAAGCTGCAACACCTAAAAAGCCTTCTTCAATTCGCCGATCCCTCCAAAGCTCTCCGCGACTTCAGTGGCTTGCTGGTTTCCCTTGAGGTTGTCTTCAAGGCGCGATTAGCTGGGAGCTCCAGAGACGACGGACGACATGAAACCCGATCAAGGTCGGTCCACACAATCACCGGAAACACATGCGGAGTATGCATCGTGGACCATGAGATGGCACACGTACCAGAAACAAAATTCTCGCCCTCTTTCATACATTGCGCTTGCAACTTCTTCTTCTCGGCCTCTGCCTTCGCCTTGAAGAGCCAGATACCCATCTCCTGGGCAACTGGATCCAAAACACCGCTCATATACGCAGCTCCAAGGGCAACAGCGAGGAATGCAACAATTGCCGAGATGATGATGTGCGTGTCGACCATGGTGACGGTTACCGATTCTTGATTTTGGAAAGCAATTGGCAAGATATATTCTTGGCCGTGAGGAAAATCGACGAGTAAATCTTGCACGAGGAGGGAGAAACAGAACTTTCGATAACTTGCGATGGATCGAAGAAAGAGAAAGAAAAGACGTGTATTTGTCTCTCTCGGAACCCAACGATTTTTGAAATGACGCTCAATCCCGGGATCGTGCATCTACAAAAGCAGGATTGAAGACCCGACATACGGAGTACCCAGCAAGATTCATGCATGTTGGAGTAGACTTCTACCTCCATCCACTGGCTTATAATAAAGCCGCGGGTCAAATATAAATTGGCCTGCATGAAGAACCGAGTCGAAGGGGAGAGCCTGCTTTGGCGATGATGAGGATCGAGGCCACCTGACGAGGCAATACTCATTAATCATGTGACTATGTTTATCGAATGGCGGTTCTGGCGGTGTGCCCTTGAAGTCTTTTCTTTCGAATCATCGTGTGTGATTTGGCTCAGGATATCCGATATCGGCTTTTCAGACTTTGATTCGTGGGCTATTTGTATAGCAAGTACCGTCTTGAATCTCGCAATGCTCTCGCTCATCATTTGCGACTACCTCTTCGTCACATTCAGTGTTATCTGAAATCATAGCAAAACTCTGACTATTTTTATTATTCGAATATATCGTCGCCTTGGACACCCGCTGTTGAAACCTCCAGAGAATGTTGATATGGATGAAACGCACCGGATCTATTTTCTCTCTCTTCCTTTTTGTCATCACTCGCTGAGAAGAGATTTTGGCGTCTCGGGTTTGCTCTCTGTTACATTTTCTGAATGCTTCGGGAATTCCATGCTGGAATTCAGTGTAGCGGCACTTTTACAGTCAGTCTAGCCAGGTACAGACATCGTTGTCTACGTTTCACAAACGGATATCCTTCCGAATCGAAGAATGGATACCTCTCGCCCACCCATCGATTAAGATTAGGGATTCATTTTTCGATGCGAAGGAATAAAGAGCCTTTCAGCATGTAGAGTAAGCTTATGTCTTGGATCTTGATATACATGGGATATATATCAAGCAGTATCTACACTAAATACTCTGCATATATTCTCCCCTAAATCTTCAAATCTAAGATTATGATACTGAAACTAGGAAGGTATGTCCCTCTTACACTACACACTTCTCTGCCATCTCCGCAGCTGACAATCCTCCAGTTCCGAATATTATACATGATTTTAAGAAGTGATAATGCCACTTACTAATTAGTGCAGTGTCAACGAAACGGCACTTTGTAAAATCGTCGCAACGGATACCTTCACTTCGATTCCACCTGTATTGCGTAACGGGCCTGTTCCGTCTCTTCCAGCCTGGCCTACGTCGCTGATGCCGCACAGTAGACCTTTCTTCTTACGAAGTACTTCTTATTTTACTGAGTACTTATTAACACCAAACTTATTCACAGCAAATAAATATGGACCGGGATGGTATCGACACCTTCAGCATTATCTCCGCGCGCGATCTCTGGGTTTGCACTCCGTAGAGATGTTGGCGCTGGGGGAGAATTTGGATAGGCTTGTCCGTTCAGATTCCCAGGGTGGAGATTTCGACACCGTATACTCCGTACGGTGTCTGGGGTAAAGTAGTTGGTTGAGCGAAGGGAGAGTAAGTCAGTCACGTTGTGGAGAACGGTGTTAGAGCATGTTTTCAAGTAAGAGCAGTTCCGTATTGCCGAAAAGCCTTCTTCTACAACATGGTGAGAAAACTAGAAGATTGGCAATTCCATTTGCAACTCCCTGCGTCTTCAGCTCTTTACTCCGTATGTCTGACCCCCACCCCGATATTGTAGCTGGCTGTATTTGAAAGCATCCCCCAGTGGAGACTATCGATACCTAACACGTTCATGTTTTTTCTTTACACTTACTCTGGGGAATCACGATGTACGTACCAATCACGTTGTTAGTACCAACGAACTCTGAGACTGTCATGTTCAAACACGTTTCAAAGGCGTGCTCCTGCCTTGATACACGGCTCTTACTAAGGGCGGGCGCACTTTCATAATTCTCCGCCCCATCTACTACGTACCACGTCGATCGTCTCGAAACCCCAAGCTCCAGTAAAACCAACCCAATATGACATCGCGAGTGCTACCTAGTGCTCCCCTTCTACATCTACCTAGACCACCTCGAGCGATCGCTCTGTAAGCTGCCATAGGTCCAGCCAGTCTCAACCCATCCAGTACATTACATTAATTAATCTTGCGTTCACTTTTTTCAGGGTTATACACTAAGCCAATACTAGCAGACCTTTCTGTCTGGTAGTCAGTCTGTCATGCATCTCGGCTCCTTTTTCGACTTTTGTCTCCGCTGTCGAGTTCATCTGATTTTCACTCAGTTATGTCTTTGCTGAGAACTTATGACCCTATTACAATCGTATATTTTGACGGCTTGTTATCCGCTTGGGTTTTTCATCACGTCGTTTTTTTGGTTTCGTTCTGGAGGTGGAGATGCTGTATTGTTGAGTGATATACGTGGTACTTCCTTCTTTTTTCCTTTTTCTCTTTTTTTCCTTTTCTTCTTCTTTTTTCTTCTTCTTTTTCTCTCCTTTTTTTTTTCTCTTCCTTTTCTTCCCTTTTTTCTCTTTTTGCTCTTTCTCTTTTTTTTTGGACACGGCGTTTCCCGTCGCCAAAAGCTAGGTCAGATGTTTGGAGCGATACATTACACACTACGGAGTATTGGCTTCAGCACTCTGCCAGCAACCAAGAATGCATGTACCCTCTTCGGATGCCTGCCACATTCGGCTCTTCTAGACGCGTGAGCCGTAACAAGGATATGGCATCTCCGCAGAACGCATTTCGGAATCTCTCACAGAACGCATTTGTCACTCACCCACCCATTCACCTACTACATTTTAGCCCCGCAAGTATCCTCTCCCTGTCCATATGCCATGCTATGCAAACATAAAAGTTTACGTCATGTAATTTCCGTCTTGGAACGAATGCGATTGACGTCCTCACGAGCATGACTTGGAGTTTATAGCGTACGGAGTTTCTATTAAGGTTTCCAGTTCCATTGTCTTTCCAAATCCACGCCCGGATGTCTCTTGCCCTGGTCATATAACATATTTTGCCCTTCCGCTCGGCACCATTCCACAAAGCTTGGAGACCGAGACTCTCGATGCATTTCTACTGCTGCCAATGTTATATCTACTGTCAATCAGACGACGGAGACGCACATGGGGAATGCATGGATGTGCAACTGACTGCCCAGGTGACCATCTCAAGCGAGCCCGTCCTCATTCGACATCTTCTTATTCAGGTCCTGAGACGGTGTGGCTTTGTTCACCCATCTATTCCTTTGTTTGTAGGCGGAAAGGAAAGCCTTTGGAAGTATCGGTCTTGCTTCCATCGAAGGTGACTTCAAACCTGGCGTGTCGCCAGCAGTTCTTTATAACTTCATCTCCAGACTTCACCTCCCTATGGAATCTACTGAGCTTTGAGGGTGTCGGTCTTTTTTCCCCGTCGAAGGTGACTGCGACGCTCATCTCCAGCCTTCACCTCTCTATTGAATCTACTTGATCAATCCTCAAGCTGCCCCAGCCCGAGTAACTATATAGATACCAGATCACAGCAGGAGTGGTAGAAGCAACACAGAAGTCTTTGGAATGAATAATAGAACGTACCCTCTGGACAACCATGTGAAGAAGTCACTCTCGATACGACCAAATGGTTCTAATATCTTACGTCAGATTTTCGTGTAAATCACAGAGAAAGATGCAGAACTAAATTTCCTTAAGCTGTCTCCTCACTACCTATCTATCACACGAGTAAGGATAACTCTTCAGCAAGAGAACCTGCTGCCGTTATTGCTTGCACTGTCGATCCCTCAAAATTCTCAAAATTCCACCATTTCAATTCAGCCCGACAAAGCCTTCCCGACACACAGTGGAGCATAGAGGGAGCCGCCGAACGCGAGTAAAAAATGTGCATGTTGTCTATTGAACCCAAACGGGATTTTTAGGTAATGGCGCATACGGTACATACATGACGGTGAGGTGCGAGGACTCTCTTACCTACTTGTACATAGAGAAAATCTGACCCCCACCCCCTCTTCCCCCTCCCCGACCCCCCACGGCCCCCAACTTGTAAAACTTTCAGGTACGGTACCATGGTGACTCAGAATACTGAGCATGAAAGCACAAGCATATCCCTCTCCCCAGAACATCGATACTCTTGAACGGCTACGGTCCGATTCGCTCAGGTATAATTCCGAAAGACATGCCCGTCATCGAAAATCGGCGCGTGTTCTCTCAAAGATGCTGTGGATACGGCGATATCTTTGCACGAGGCTGGGACCGGGATAGAAAGAGGACGGACTGTACGCGCTCGCTGAGGGTTTTCGGGCTCATATGCGCTTTGTTGTTGATACACATTCGCGATGATCTGAATTGACAGGTGCTGACCACCAGCTACCGGTATGTGGTTCGTGTCAGAGGCTCGAGGCCAGGGCTCTACTTACAAGTATTAGCGAGGGGAAGGGGGCTCAGCTTGTGAAGTGTCCCCCTAGTGACCTATACAAAAGCACCGCAAGATTACCCGTACACTTGCAATTCAGCATGCTCTTGTGCGAAACTTATAGGTATAGCTATGACACCTCGCCCAAGGCTGCAGGAAGGGTACCGGACTCTGAAGTTCCAGACCAGCGGCTTTGGTGTGTAGAGCCCAGTCGCATGGGTTGGAGCAGTGACGTGCAGGTTTCTGAGCTTGGTATGAGGATTTGATTGGACATGGAATTGGGCAAAGAAATGAAACATCCTATTGCTGTAGTGTAGTGCTCGAAAATCGTGCCGTAGATGATATTTTGAAATTATGAGGGACGATCTTGGAGGGTACCGAAGTGAAGTTACCTTAGCTGCGAAATGGTACACTTTTTCTAAGAGTTCAGCGGTAAAATCTCTTTTACCAAACTGGATGTGAGATTGAAAATGAAGTCCAATATTCAAAATCAGGCCCATTGCCAGTAAGCCATTCGGCATACTCGCCGATAATTACGTGTCGGGGTTCAGATTCGATTGAGCAGAATGTGAGATTTGATGTACCAGATCCCAGCTCGGTACTGCCAACATCTGAAACAATGCCTGTGCACAGGGATTAAAAGTACAAACTGTTTTCGTCACTTGAATCAAATCTAGCACAATCAGGAAAGGAAAACGGAAGAAACGAGAAGATCATTCAACAGCAAAGTCGAGAATGCACCCACAAGTTACAAGAACACCATCACCGCCTTAAAAAACCAAGCCGTTCTCCCGAGACGAGGGACAAGGAGATCAAGCTCCCAGCCCAAAAGCAAACGAGACGGAAATGTGTACCGGAACAACAACGCTCATGAGCTGCGGCCACGCCCTCCTGCACCGCAAGACGCCGTGCTCGTCCTCTGTGCGCCTCAAAGCTCCCTGTCAGGAGCTCCACGGCCCGACACAACGCTTCAACGACACGTGCGCGAAGTGCCATCCTTCTTTCATCATGTCCGAGATAAACCAACGCTACGATCAATTGCAGGCGGACCTTGTATCGGCGATGTTGAAGGCTGAAAATGAGGAGAAGGGGCAGGAGCTGAAGCGGGCGGTTGAGCAGGCGCACTCTTTGAGGGGCAGAGAGCTGCGCTCTGTGGGGAGGTTGAAGTGGAGTGGAATAGTGGTTTGGGGGCCGAAGGGTTATGAGGGAGAGGAGTAAAAGGTTGATGGTACGAGTACGGGTATGGGTATGGGGGGAGTGAGTTTAAGGCAAGGACAAGTGATGAGTGGAGTTGTGAGGGTAGGCTGTGCGTATTGCCAATATTTGATATTTGACAATGACTCGGAGGCATTCCTTAAGATTCCAGAGTCGAGTGGCAGGGATGAATAGGCACATCATCGACTGCCTTGCACATCTCGCGCGTTGTTCAGCACGGCGGATTTCAGCAGTCCCGAATTTCTGACTTGGTCCTTGCCCCTGGCGGCATCCTCAACCCTCGCCCGCATCGCTTTCATCTCACTCTTCCGCTCGTCTTCCTGAGCTTTCTGCATCGCCCTCTTCGCATCCCGGTACTCCTTGGTCCTCCGCTTCCCAAGCGAGCCGTGTCTTCGTCTATCATCTGCGTTGCGGAGCAAGGGGAGTTGAATGATGGCAGAGAAGGTATCGAAGACCTTTTGGATGGCCACATCATGACGTTCGGCGACTGCTGCAAATGGGAACATTTCTTGGCAGGTCTCAGCTATATCGACGATTCTAGTTGAGAGATTCTGTTAGATCATGAACAGAAATTGGGAGGGATATACGTACAAGTTTGGGGAGTGTTTGCGGCCCATACGTGCATCCGGTATTTGGAACTCGTTTCCTCCCGGCTGTGATAATGCCGGGGTAGGACTTCGCGCTGGTCCGCTCGAGGCTGGCGATCTCATTGTATGGTCGGACGTCCGGGTCACTGTAGGGCTTATGGGTCGAGTAGGGTCTGCAAAAGACCGGCTAGATTCCATCACTCTGGTAAGGGTCGTATTGGGGTTCCTCACCGGATAAGAAATGTGAGGTTGGCTAGGAGGACCTGGCGTGACTGGTGGTGATGTTGAAGCCGATGGCCAAGGTGGGATTGAGTAGAGAGACGGTCTGCGTAAGATGTCTGCTGATGGCAAAGTGCTCATTGCGGCTCGTGGCGGTATTGGAGACGTCAACACACGTACAGAATTTTTCGGGGCTACTGGCGGTTGTGCCGTGACTGGTATTGGTGCACGGGGTGCATTTATGACATCAAGAACCATTGGTGTTGAGAACGAGACTGAAGGGTCAGGTCTAGGCTGCACCACCACCCCTGGAGATGGTTGACGCTGGAAAGTCTGGCTCTGGGTGCTTGAAAATACCGGAGGCTCTCTGAGCGAAGTTCCGCTGCCTTGGCTCTGTCGTGGAGGTGCTGCCATCTGTTCGGCCTGGTGCTGCCATGGCCTACGCCTTTCTGGATGCTCATATCTATTGCTGACACGAGGCTGCTGAGGAGACGAATTCTCGGGAGTCGAATAGTTGGGTAGTGACAGATCCATTGGAATCATTGGGCGAGGAGGCGGTGACGCAAATTGGGCTGAGCTTGGGGTTTCGAACGAGTTCCACCCATAATTTGGCCAGGACATTGGCGCCGGTTGGTTCTGGTCTGAGTATCCGTACATGTCGAAGTTGTTTGGGTTGATTTGGTAGGGTGGGTATCCAGAAGGCGCTCTTGTTGGTAAAGGGTTCGTTCGAGGAGACATCTGTACCGACTCGCGAGGTTGGGCAGATCGAGGACATTCTTCATCAAATTCTCCATCATGCTTACGCTTCTTGCTGTCCATACTCTCCATCGGCAAAGGCCTCCAGGGAATATTCAGGAATGGCCTGGGCTGCAAAGTGGGCAATGAATGATCCCACCAAGCTGTCGAATCGGCTAAGGAAGGAAAATGAGCCGGTGAAGTGTTGCAGTAATTTGGCTCAGCAAACCACGGGCATTGCTCGTTTGGATAACTGTTCGGAGCACATGGAATCGAAGGTAGTGATCCCGCTCGTCCCGAAATCTCGTTCTCATCTCCAATATGACATGACTCCAGCCGGTTGACTACGCCGGTGCTCCTTCTGCGAGGGGGATCCTGTGGGACTGCGTCACAAATTTTCGGGAGCAGGTCATCGATGGGAGGTACTGAAATCTGACTGAGTGGAGATGTGGAATGGGCGGACTCTAGCCTGCTCATTTGAGAATAAGCCCCTTGTGAGGTGGAATAGATCATACCTCTTCCGCCTCTTCTTCCTTCGTCTGGGAGCACAAAATATAATCTGCACATCATCATCTTCAGCCTTGGAAGATTCAGCACGTACTCCTTCCATGGCCGACAGACTCTGTTGGGTACTCTCTCGAACTGCTGACGAGTCGAGTGTAGCTATTTCCGGCACCATGTCTACCTCTGATGGGCTTTGGGTGTCCATTGGCGTTGGAGGCAGAGGAGTTTGAGCTGCTGGAGCACCAACGAGTTCAAGATGCCCAACTTGAGCCATCATAGATTGCAAGTAGTGAAAAGTCAAAAGACAGAAACGAAGGAAAATGGGATATTGCGAAGAGATATAACATTTGGATAGAGAAGACGCACTGGCGTCAAAGAACAGAATCCTCCAAAAGACCTAACACAGATGAAAGAGCTCCTGCGCAGAGACAATGCTGTCTTAAGGAGATTGACAAGGCAAATATTTACATTCATAGCTGTCGCGTCCCTGGACAGTGTGAATAAAGTGGGTGATGAAAGTGAAGGTAATAGAGAAGCGAGGCGAAAAAGGGTATTTGTTGATTTCCTGGCAAGGCTGATAGGCTGATATATTAGTAAGCAATTGAGCAGGGGTTAGCCTGCGCTAAATATGAAGCTCAAGGCTACCACGCCGGATCTGGGCTACAGCATTCGACATCAACAAGGCAAAAGCGACGACGACAACATCAACGACGACCACGACGGCTAAACAGCATTCTCTGGCACACATTAGCACACAAATCCTAATCGCTGGCACTGCTGCAACGCAATCATGGCTGTCAACACAGTTCCAAACCCTCTCGTCTCCACCCAGAAGTCCTCAGATACCAGCCTCCAAGTCGCCCTCCATCCACTTGTTCTCCTGACAATCTCTGATTACATTACGAGACATACGCTTCGTAATCAGAAAGGCCCAATCGTGGGTGCTTTACTGGGTCAGCCAAATGGCAGAGAAATCACCATTGAGCATGCCTTTGATTGTCTACTGGTCGACGTAGATGGGGAGATGCTCTTGGACACGGCTTGGTTCGGTGACCGGTTACAGCAAAGTCAGTCAAGCAATATTCTTTTATCTCAAGCATAATACTGATATGCCTTTGTACTCAAGTGAAGGATGTACACAAAGTCCCCGCTCTGGACCTTGTTGGCTGGTACACTATTCTCCCACCATCTGGCCCGGAGCCATGCCACCTCCCACTACACAAACAGATCCTTCAGTTCCACAACGAATCTGCGGTTCTTTTAGGCTTCCACCCATCAGAGGTTCTTGACGGCTCTGTTGGCGGCAAGCTCCCTTTGACTATCTACGAGAGCAACTTCGAGGTCGAGGAGACAAGCAGTGGTGAAAATGGAGAAGACAAGGAGATGAAAGATGCAGAGCCGCAACTGGCGCTCAAATTCAAGTTTAAAGAACTCCCATATAGTGTCGAGACGGGCGAGGCCGAGATGATTGGCATTGATTTCGTTGCGAGAGGAGGAGGCAACGCTACAGCTGTGGACGTCACGGTAGCGCAGAAGTCAGCCGCAAAGCAGACATCAGACAAGGGCAAGGGAAAGACACTACTAAGAAAGAAGGAAGGCATCGAGTCGACCCAAGCTGAAGTCCAAAACATCCTCTCCCGTGAAGATGAGGAGTTGATTGCTTCCCTTACAGCCAAGGCAAATGCGATCAAGATGCTGAATTCACGGATCAACTTGATTGCGGTCTATCTACAGAACCTACCCCCGTCGTATGTCTCTAGTGCCGATCCGGGAGACGCCGAAGCTAGTGACAAGCAGTACACCCCCGTCAACCACACGATTCTTCGATCGATCCAGGCGCTGCTTGGCCGACTGAGCCTCCTGATCCCTGCAGACAGCGCTGCATTTGAGCGTGAACTAATGTCCGAGCAAAACGACGTTAACCTCGTATCACTCCTGAACACAATCACTACAAGCATTAAAGAGGCGAAGGAAGCTGGTCGGAAGTTCCAAATTGTTGACTCGGCGAAGCAGACGAGGCACAAAATGGACAGAGTCGGACCTGGCTGGCACTTGCCAGCACCTGCTTTCCAGAACAACCTTATGGGCGTTGGGGATCTTATGTAAAGGGCCGGGTTGGGCATCTCGGGGATTGCATTTGCGTGGCGTCTAAAGGGACAGTATTAAAGGCGTTTGCTAGCTGCTATCGATTATTGTGGGAATGACGGTCATAGACTGGGAGGTATCGGACATAAGGACTCGGGATCGGAGATAATGGTAGTGGCCCGTGCACTACACCCTTACCTGTAACTACTCTCCACCCAAGAATAGCTTCCCCCCCTCAGACTTAACAATACAATGAATACCACAACTTGCTATTCGTACCAAATCTCTGTGTGCACACTCTATGTGGATATACCAACAATTATGAAGATGATGAGATAAACAAGGCGAGAACACCATTAGGATTTTGAGCCCATGGCTTTCATTTCCTGTCTGCATCCTCATGTGTTTTCTTCCCCCGCGCTCTAGCTAAGTAGAGTATTGGAATCACTCAGGTAAGTTATAAATAAGTATATGTGTACACACTGATAAATCGGATAAAAGGGTTTTTTAATTGATGATTGAATTAAATGATGATCTATTCTACTAGATCAAAGTTCGTATGAAAAGTTGGTGTGCTCGGCTAAGCCTCGGCACACGATCCCGTGGTCGGTAAGCGACCATGGGATTCCTACCTATTCCAACATAGAGAATCTCTCCACAGGACTTGACTCGTGCTGCCAGCTGCCAACAGCCCTCGCTAGGTTTTAACAATTACTTTAATCACCAATTTCCCCTCATCATCCGCCGTCCTCCCCGCCAACTCAAAAGCCTTCTTCGCCTCCGCCAACCCCTTGAACCTACGCCTAATCATGCCATCCAAACTCAGTAACCTCATCGCGTCCGTCCCCGCCAATAGCCTGATACATTTCCATCCATGTAGGGTGTGAGTGAAGACCTCGACATACCAGCTTGACCTGGCGTGGACTACGCAAGACAGACACGCCAGAACACGGGATGAGGGCTTCGAAGCAGCGAAATGGAGCGAGTACGATGTCAGAGCAGGAGGAATTGATCCCTCGGCCATCGGTCTCATTTTTCTCACATAGGATATTGGATAGCTAAACAGTTTTCAAGGGCCTCGGAGAAATGAGCAAATGATGGTCTTGCCAGGCGGACTGTCCACGAGGGATACATGTGGGCTCAACTAAGTAGTTCATGAAGACCCTCACTCTCGAGACCTAACCTCTCAGACCGACTTTCTAATGTGCTTAGATTGCGGCTTGCAAGGCGGTAGTTGCCAGTCAGAACGTGGCGGCTGGTAATTCTCTGCGACGGAATCATCGAATAAAGCGTTCATCATCGCCGCAGAAAGTTCCAGGGACGGAATCATGCCCAGTGCAAGGATGATTTTGGCGAGAGGTACCGCTGGAGTAGAGAGCCTGATTCACTGCGCTTGCAGTATGCAAGAAGATGGTTCGGCCACGGGCCCGAGTTCCTAGTACCGGGTTTGTGGAATGACCAACAGATGGCGGAAAATGGCGAAAGGATGTTGATTAAGTTGCTTGCTTGCCAGAGCTGAGCGTTGGAAATTCGCATTCGCTCAGGCCGGGTATTTTCACCGGCTAAAGCCATGCAGTTGTAAATTCTTTCGAGTCCAAGGGGTCACAATAAGCTTCTATGTTAAGCAATAGGCAGAGGAATCACTTGTCCCGCAGCGGCTACTCCTCGAGCCTAAATTCTTATTGTATGGCACCAGGACAAGCATTTGGAAAGAGTGGAGCTTCGTGAAGACCTCGGCCTCATCTGAAGCATAAATGGATGTCGTTATATTGTGCGACCACAGGTTTCTCGTTCTCGTCAACCCGCGTTATCAGAACGAATTCGCCTCAGAAGCTGTACGACCAGCAGTAGTACGACTAGTATGTAAATTTCTTAGTGTCTCAATCCACCCTGACGCACGCTGGGCGGTGATGTTGCAGTCGGTTCCTAGTTGAAAGTCTGTCTGACGCGCCAAGGCCAGAAAGTGTACCCAAATCACTCTGGATGAACTGCCTCGGAACTGGGCGAGAAAAGGAGGAGTTAACGCCGCGGATAAATATAATGCGAAGTACGGAAGTAAGATGCTTTTGAGCCTTGCTCCTGCTGGTCCGCTTAGCAGGCTGTGCGCTACAGCTCTCAATACCCCACTTGAAGCTCAAAAATGATATATCAAGGCTCGTAGACCATAGCTGCTGTTATGGACGGCAATCTGTTGTTACTTCACAACGCCCTCGTATGACGTGGCCGACTGTGGAGATTGATCAGCAAGTGAGAGAACTGCGAAGGGGAATTATGAGGGGAATGAAATGATCATGATCATGATTCGAATCATTGCGGCCTCAATAGCAAGCACATGGCAATTCTGATATGCCAGTCCACACCTTGCATATCATTTCATCCGGCCGCGATTTTCACGAATTTGGTATGTACTATCAATGTTACAGATGATGTGGGAGTACAACGGAGCTTATAACAAGGATTCTGCATGCCAAACCACGTTGTCGGATGGGGGCCGACAGCGCTAGAACGACGAGGTTGCGAGGCGAGCAGCTGCATTCCTAGCGTCGACTCTGTCTTCGTCGTCCTCTTCCTTGACGTCCTTAAGACCTCCAGCACTCGCTCCACTGAGAGCTCTAGCTCGATTGGGACCCTGACCTTCTTGCTCGCTCTCCTCTGCGACGTTGGACATGAAACTGCCTGATATGCTTCTATTCAGAGCATCTGGGCGACGAGGCACTCCTGACCCTACAATCAAAGTCAAGTCAGCAACTGGTGGGTACGGCCATCAACCGGGAGGTAGGATCGACGCTCCAGGAGAGGTGGTGGGGAGCAGGTCCGGAACTCGCGTTCCCGGGAAGCACTATGGAGGAACTACTTACAGCTATCTCCATTCTTGCCCTGACTTGTCGCCAGGCTTGACCTGCGCGTTACGGTCTCTCTTCCCAGCCGAGAAAGACCGCCGGAAGAATCGATGGCTCGAATGTCGGGTCTAATGCTTTCAAGAGTTGCCAAAGTCCGTCGTTCTGCCTCGATTTCGCGTATCACGTATTCCCGAATGCTTAGTCGCAAGTCCGCCGCGGTTCGTGCGAACCATCGTCGTTGCTCCTGCAGCAAATTCGCGGTCACTCGTTGAGTTTTACCAAGGAGGTAAAGCTCGTTGCTCCGGGCTTCGTCCAATGCAGAGATAGCCTCGTCGACCTTTTCCCGTCGTACTGATGAGCTAGCCTTCAATCTATCCGCCGCATTTAATTTGCTTCGTGTTAATTGTTGGGACTGCAATAGCTCACGGAGGAGAATATGACGATTCGTAAGTGTTTCCTTCACAATGAACGCATCTTGGGAATGATACTGCAGAGGATCGCCGACCGTAGTCGCCTCGGCTGTAGCTTGAGCGGCGTGGAAGTCTCCTGTGGTCTGAATAGTCTTCCCAAGCTTGCGATACGCGTTGGCAAGGCCCGAATGGGGCTCTTGTACGCTCATGGCACCAATCTTGACGCCAAAATCGGACTCGGCGAGTCCCACACCTACGAGAGTTAAGAGAATATCAGAGTGACCCATTCGGGGACCACTTACCCCTTCGAGCCTTGACCAGTTTGTCAACCTTGTGTCCTGCGTCCATTGTTCCCAGATAGAAAAGTTTCACAACAGGTCTTGCGTCTTGTAGCTCTGGTGTATCATCCGGCGGCGGAGCAAACTGCTTGATGACTCTTCTTCGGACACCTGTTGCTGGTTGTTTCCGCTTGAGCATTGGGCTGTATCCAAAATCGCTCTCGACAAAAAGAATCATCTCATCATCCCGCATCAATACCTCGTTCGCGCAAACGTAGTTCAACCATCTTTGAAGTGATGCCTTGACACGAGCTTCGTCCTCGTCTGTACCAGCACCAGCGGATGTCAACGCGGGCGGTACTGCCGGGACAATAGCTTCTGGATTCGAGGATATGAGATGTTCTGCGAGCTTGATGAATTCGGAATGGGTTCGTCGAACATCGCGGAACTGGGTGGTTCGAAACTTGGGAAGATTGGTCTGTATTATCAGCAGAGTTCTATAAAGTCTCGACAGTAGCCTAGCAAATGCAAACCAACATGAATGTCAAAGCGCAATATAGGATCCTTCCTCCCAGTGCGCTCGAGACCCGTAATCTTTGCTTGAAGCTTGTATTGTGGCGCCTGAGGCTGTTGCTGAGTTTGGCGAGAGGAGTGGTGATATCTTTGCGGTTCTGGTCTATGTGGCTGCGCCTGGTATTGCTGTTGTGCCGGTGGCTGCTGTTGGGTTCCTAAGAATGGCTGTTGCTCAGGTTGACTGGTCGAGTCTGCGGTATTTGGCCTACGCTCATCACTCTCTGCCACTGATGCGATTTCTGCACTGCTCTCAGGTCTCTGATAACCTGCTCCATTTATCGCATCTTCAAATACCGATTTGATCGGGGTGTAGGGCAACGGCGAAGGGAGAGCGTCGCTAGAGCTTGTCGGCGCTTGCTGAGGGGACAACAGCGGCGAAGATCCCCAGGGAGAAGCTCCAGCAGGATTTTCGGCATCGTGTATCGTGGTGGAGTAATCCATGGCTGTCTCTTGGAGATCGCTCTGGGCCAGTTAGGTGTAGGTAGTGTAGGTAATTGCGCGGATGCTCGAATTACTCGAAAATAAAGTCTTCGCAGAGCACAGTGTCAAGAATGGGCTGTCTCTATGATCGAATATAGTAGGTCCGATAATTGCTAGGCGATCGGTTGTGCTGGGGTTTTTTCGGCAGCAAAGTAAGGAATTGATGAGGCTGGGTAAAATCATATGAACCTCGTCACTCGCGAGCCGGGAAAAGAAGCGCCATGTCGAAAGAGACGCGCTAAGCGAGCTCTATCAAACCTAAATCTTTTAAAATTCTTATCCCAATATTCGGAACTCATACTACGGATCATCAAACGACTTGAAATATGAGGTGATGACTTTGCTGGTTTCACAACGAGGATTTCAACTATGGCATCAGCGCCTTCACCTCCTTCGAGCTCTCAAGAGCCATAAATTTGTTCGGTCTTGCTCACGACCATCGCGCCACTACTCGACTTCCCATCTTCCCAACCATGGCCATGATCCCAATGTCCAAACCACTCGAAATATTGGTATAATTGCTCATATCGACGCTGTAATGAAATATCTCTCGCTGTTGGATCCATTGACTCATTTTTTTGCAGGGAAAGACTACTACCACGGAGCGTATGCTCTATTACAGTGGCATCACTCGTCGAATAGGAGGTAAGATGGATCATTTATACAGCCTTCAATCACGAAATATCATATTTTTCCCACTTCGATATCGATCGTGGCAACCTGTTGTCTTCCGTTCTGAGTTCAAATGGCAGACTTTTGGTTGACTGTGTCCACGTGATTGTATCTGATCTGACGCTCCTCAGATGTCGATGATGGATCTACTGTGACGGATTTCCTCCCTGCCGAGCGTGAACGAGGAATCACCATCCAGTCCGCCGCTGTAACATTCCACTGGCCACCCATCCATCATAACGGCGGGCCAAACCCCAGGCCGGACAGGCCAAGGCATCAGACTCCTCACACCATCAATCTCATAGACACTCCCGGCCACGCAGACTTTACATTCGAAGTTCTTCGATCATTGAGGATCCTTGATGGCGCGGTCTGCATCCTTGATGGGGTTGCCGGTGTTGAGGCTCAGACCGAGAAAGTATGGACCCAGGCAAACAACTACAGCATCCCACGAATTGTGTTTATCAACAAGTTAGACCGAGATGGAGCAGCTTTCAACCGAACCGTGAAGGAAATTGGATCAAGATTAAGAGGCTTTCCTGCAGTGTGTCATATTCCATGGTGGGAAGGTGGTAAAGGGAGGTTCACAGGCGTAGGGGATGCAATCAACCTGTGCGCCTTGAAGTGGAGTGAAGGCGGAGATGGGAAGACTATCCAGAGCTACAAGCTCGAGCAACTAGCTCAAGAAGACCCAGGACTCCGTTCGGAGCTCATCACGGCTCGTGCAGCTTTGGTAGAAGGCCTATGCGAATTCGACGAGCGATTGCTTGAGACATGGCTCGAGTGCGACGATGATACTCTAGCTGTCCCTCCTCAGGCTATCCGGGACAGCTTGAGAAGATGTATCTTCGATGGTTCTGGGCGCCTCATTCCAGTCTTCGCAGGAGCAAGCTTTAGGAATATCGGAGTCCAACCACTACTTGACGCGGTGGACGACCTGCTTCCAAATCCTACAGAACGGCCAGATCCCGAGGTGAGCATCGGAGAGAAGAGAGGTGGTCTAGCTGATCTCCTAGACGGCAAACTATCCCTCGCCTCCTCGAGCTGGGACAAACACCTGACCAAGAAGTCCAGTTCCGCGACCTCTATGATTGCACGAATCGAAGCATGTGCTTTAGCATTCAAAGTTGTCAACGATCCTCGGCGTGGTGTTCTAGTCTACATCAGAGTCTACTCAGGATCCGTCAAACGCAACTCAGCACTCTGGAACACCAACCTCAACGTCACAGAGAGTGCCCAGCGACTGCTGCAGATGCAAGCCTCGGACGCTGTAGAGATCCCGCACATCTCTGCTGGCCAAATCGGTGTCATTGCAGGCTTAAAATTCGCTCGTACTGGTGACACCCTAATATCTTACTCAGGCGTTAACCCCAGAAACGGTCCTCCAGCACCCTTAAATATGCTCCAGCTCCGCCCCATCGACGTACCTCCCCCGGTTTTCTTCGCTGCTATCGAACCTCACAGTCTCAGCGAAGAGAAAAACGTTGCCGAGATCCTTTCGAGTCTCCTGCGTGAAGACCCCAGTCTGCACGTGAACACCGACGAAGAATCCGGTCAGATGCTCCTCAGTGGCATGGGCGAACTGCATCTAGAAATCGCCCGAGATAGGCTGGTAAACGACTTTAAAGCAAAGGCCACGATGGGCAATATCGAAATCAGCTACCGCGAATCAGTGCTCTCTGCTACAGCACCGCATCGAGTAGTCTTCGACAGGGACATAGCACGCAAGAAAGGAAAAGCCGGATGCGAAGCCACCATCGAGCCTCTTGTGCACGCCAGCATCAAATCCGACTACACCGTAAGTCGAGATGGCAACTCCATCTCCGTCAACGTCCCCACGTCCTGGTTCGGGGAAGAGGAAGAAGGGAGCTCCTTACCTAAAGACCTGCCTTTAGCCACCGTCCGAGAGGCGCTTGTCAATGGTGCGGCAGCAGCACTTGCGCGCGGTCCACGCCGTAGTTTTCCTCTCCACGATGTGCACGTAGTCCTCAAATTCGAACCCTCTTCCGACCTCTTCGGCTCAGACACATCTCCCGCAGCGCTCTCCTCGGCCGCTAGACTGGCAGTACAAGCAGCGCTCAAGTCAGCATTTGACAAAAACGACATTGCGCTCATGGAACCTGTCATGAGCGTCGTGATATCCTGCGACGAAGGGTCCCTCGGAGCCATCGTGCACGATTTAAACTCCGCTCGGGGCGGTCACGTATTATCCCTCGACACAGAGGATAGCGAGGACCCAACTTCCGCACTGTCAGCTATCGATCCCAAGAGAATCTATGCACCACCAGATCCGTTTGCGTCAACTGGCGGCTCAGACTCTGCGGGACCGGGCCAGGCGAGACAGGTGCATGCTAGGGTGCCCTTGAAGGAGATGGTGGGGTATTTGAAGCATCTGCGGAGCTTGACGGGTGGACGCGGAACATTTATCATGTCCATCGACAAATTCGAGAGGTTGTCGGGCCCGAGAGAAAAGGCGATTTAAGGCGCTTTAAGTATGTAAGATATACACATATAGAACTGTAACTTGTAAGAATACCTGTAGGAATAGCCCCAATGAACAGCCAAGACCCACTTTCTTGATCGGTGATTACGGAGTAGATACTGTTTCATAGCCAAACTTGCCTCCTCGTGCAAATACAGTCAAGCCTTAGTCCAAAGCCGACTTCAATTTCATAGCATCCATTCCGTCGCAAGCCAGCGCACTACACTACTTACCTACTTAGATACAGACAAGTAGCCTAGACATATATCATAGCGACTAGCCGCGACCACGCCGATTGCAACCTAGCAACCTAGCAACCTAGCAACCCTCGATCGATCGAACTCGCTAGCCGATCACAAGGATCTACTTTCATGTTCAACTTCTTTTTTATATCCCCTGTTCGGGCCTACTTACCCATCCCAGTTGTCTAACTCGTCACTGAGAAGGTAGATGACTCAACTTGACTTGTACGGAAGCTGGCAGGCTTGACTCTAGTAGTCACCCTACTGATACCGATACCGGGTACTTGGCTTCTTGGGAATCACATATTATGAGAAGAGGGAAGGGAAATTCTGCCAGGGATGAACTTCAATCCTAACTCGTACCTCACTCGGCGAGAGGCAATGGCTGTTCATGATTACTAGAATGCAACATCCACTAGAACGCAACATCAAAACAAAGGCTCGCCTGGAGGTAACAAAAGCGATGGTATTTTCCATGTAAAAGTTTTTAGACATCAGTGGTAAGGAAAGGCTCAAGCCGCACAAGTTTTCTTCGGTTTACTTTTTTAACCGAGGACAGTATCATAAGACGCGGTATCACTAATCGTACAGAAATTTCTGCCCAGAGTCAGTCTTTCAGGACCATTAGAGTGAGTTTAGTCCGTTGCCGCCTCCAGTATCCAAAATCCTCACACGAAATGTCGATATTGAAGTTCGCTTCGCCGTTTCCCCCCTCATAACGCCTATGGTGGTTACTGGTAAGAGAAAGTGACTTCCTCCTCACCCTCATCCTCGCCATTCAAATCTTCGATCCCATCGCTAAGCTCCGTGAGATCAATGTATCTGGTCTCTTTAGACGTTGGCTCTTCATCATCCGAAAGTTCCGTCAGGTCAAAGAAATTTCCCTCCTTTGCTGGCAACTCCCGCTCCACTTCTGCGTCGGCCTCTACTGGCAGCAAGGGTCTTCTGGCGACCGGCTCCGCAATGACTTCCTGCAGTCTGACCAGATCAAGAGGGTCCAACGCCATTTGAATGGCTGTCATCTTTTCAGACCGAGATGAGTCCATCAAGCAGTTGCACAGTTTTAATCCGCATGCAATCCATGTTTTGGTAACTGATAGGATTACGGGTAGCCGGTGTACGGCGGCATGCCGCAGTTGGTGGAGACTCCGGATCGCCATCTCCAGATGATTCCAGTCAATTTGAGCCCTATTTTCATACAGGGCACGTTGGACGGCAATTTTATGAGGTGATAGGGCTTTAACCCACTTGGAGGAAACTAATCAGCAAAGTTCGGAGAATCAACCGTGAACCATAATGTAACATGTGGTGTGGGGCAATGTTTGTCAAGGGATTTCTCACCGTGTTCAATTCTCCTTGCTCGGGTACTTCCCATCTTAACTCTAGCAGCACTGTATTCACCCATTGGCGGGCCCAGTCGAATAAGGCTATACGCAGGTCAGCACCTGTCTGTCCAAGATTGGGGGAGATGAGTCTCGTGGTTACCTACCATGTTCCGCGAGCTTCTGCACAGTTTTGAACAGCGAATGTTGAATGTGGAATGGGATATCGGGATTTTCTGGGGCGGCCCGAGGGTTGAATATGCTAGAGCGGTTGTTGTTGCTGTTGTGACAGGGGAGTCAGCAGCTGCTATATGAAACGTACACTCAACCAGAACAGGGAAATATCACTGGTTATCACGTGACTGATACATACTCGGGGTTCTGAGAGACCTGATAGGGAGGTGCCGCAGCTGGTTGGCCGGGCCGGCCGGCGTTATTAGGGGCGGCAGCAATCCGTGGAGCTGAAAGTTTTTGAACACGTCCCGAAGCCGGGTCGATCCGTACTGATGTAGCAGCCTTTCTAGCCAGCTTCCGTTCCTTTTTGCGGGCTTTGCGGCCTTTCCGGCCTTTGCGGCCTTCCTTGTATGAAACCGGCGGCGGCGATGATCCTATGAGAACAGGATCACCCTCGTCACCTTTGCCAGCGGACCTTGTTGTCACCCTATTGGACTACTTGTCAGTACGATAGGTTCATTGGGTGGTGAGGTTCTCGACGGCGCGCCGCCATGGAGGGCCATATTGGTGCCTCGATCTGATTATCCCAGGGGACGTGGCCTGTAGGATATGATGCTGATCGCACTTACATTGGAGATGTATTGGGAGAGAGATCTTCTAGTGGTAAAGGGTACGGATCTTGGTTTCGGGAATTGATGTTCGACTTCGACTTTAACTTCAGGTCCAAGCTCACCAAGGAGGTCGGTCGTTCCTTCTGAAAACAAACCGAAGTGGGTAGTGGATCTATGAATGATGAGATAGCCGAGGTGCCAAGATTCTGTGTAACGCCTTGCCCAACGTCCGTAGCTCACACAACTACAACCACATCTATCCATAGGTATCATCTATACCGAAAGCCATAGTATAGGTAGTTATCAGCTCCATACCAGACAGTGATAAGAACATTGCACTTTACGCCGGTGCAGGCCTATAAACGTCTATCAATCTTGCAAATTTTATAGAATAGCCAACGGAAGCTCTCGTACGACCGAATTCGCCTCCGAATATACAAACCGAATATTTTTTTACCAATTACGAACTGCGCCTCCTCCTCCTTTTCTCGATACTTTCAACTACTTTACTCGATTTAGCTTACGGCAATTTGCTTTACACGTTATCCGCGCGCTTTTTTTGCTAGCTAAATCTTCTACACGACTATTACGAAAATATAAATACTCGGACCGGTAGGACACTACGAAGAAGGATGAAATACGTGGCTAAGACGCTTTGAAAGGGCTTTGGATCCGCGGACGTGATAAAGGAAGTGACGTTTTGTTTGGCGATTTCGACGATTATAAAGCCAAAAAGAAGAAATTGGAATGAGAAGAGCTCGTCGGGAGGGTATTTTGAGGATTTTCGGATTTGTGTATGCGCTAAAGCTTAATCGAGCAACTTTTTCTCGACTTAATCGAATAAAAGGCTCGATACCTTTTATCGGACTTATTGAAGGAAAGCTCCGCCGACCTTACCTAGAGTCGAGAAAAAGATATCGCAGTTTAGATTTTAATCAAAGTTTACTTTCTTTCGTATTATCTATCCCGCTCTTAAAGGAAAGGAGTACTTACTCGTTTCGATTCGACACTCTTTTAAATTGCATTCTAAAGTATTATAAGGTGATATTAAGTCGATCTAAGAAAAGATTACAGCTGCGCAAGGGTTTAGCGCCTAGAAGATCGATTTGATAGATTATATATAAACCTTTAGCTTTGCACGTCTCCGTACCTTTTAGAAGGTCCCAGGACGAGGAGCGCATGCTACGCTTATAGTCCGCTAGACTTTAATAAATACAACAACAACAACAACAACAACAACAACAACAACAACAACAACGAACATAATACAACTCAGGCACAAGTCTGACAAATGATTGTAATACCAGCTCCAAATTCCAGCTGCGTCGGCGCCTTCCTTTTCCCTCACCAGACGCACTTCAGTCTCCCGAGTACCTGCACCAGACTATTCGAATCATACAAGGTATCTACTAAGTACCTAAGCTTTCCTAGATATAGGTCAACACTCAGCCTTTTTGTCTTGGCGCTTCCCAATCGCCGTTTCCAATCGCCGCAAGCCCACTAAACACCATGGTCCTTGGATTTGTAGAATTCCCTTCTTCGTTCCTCGCCTTTTCGCCATCGATGTGACTTGTGTTCGAGAAACCACGATTCGAGAGGGGGCTCGGCTGAACATGATGCGAGTGGCAGAAAGTGACGGGAGCTTTTGTTGTCAAGGCTGTAGCATAGGACTCGGTATCCTCTAGTGAGCAGATGGTCGGAATTCCATTGTGAAGCAAGGGTTGTCATGATAGCTACCTTTGCAAGATGGTGTTTGCAACTTGCTGGAGACTGATATTAACTTTTCAAACCCGAATTCCACAGCGGTATGGGAAACATTGAAGAGTTCTTCACAGCCTTGCGGGGGAAGGGGGAAGATTGAGCATTTGGGAGATAATCGTTGGCTCGCTTAGGTGGGCCTTCTTACAACCTTTCAGTCTTAACCGAGCCGACGATTTAGAGGAGCCTGGATTTGTTTGTGAGTGGTTTTGGGAAGCCTGGGAAAGAGTTTTGGGAGCACCATCTCACGGGCGGGAATACCTCGTCATAACTACGGAAGACGAGAAGGTTGAATACATGATTGTTTTTTTGCATTACATTTCGACAACTATGCACTCTCTGCACTACGTGCCTGAGCCGGCCTGCCTCCCGTGCCCTTCTCACCAATGATGATGATACCCTCCAATGTTGATCTTAGAAAAGCGTCCCCTCGTCAATGCAGCAAGTTGGTGTGCGCGGAAAACAGAATGAAAAAGAAAGGAAATATCAGACAGGGTAACCAAACAACCAGCCACTTTTCATCCTCCAATCAATCAGACGAAAGCTTGAACTTGCCATTCCGGAGAGCGAAACGCTACTCAATCTCCGGCATGTCGAGCTTCTTCTCCTCAACTTGGCAATTTGTCGCTCCACCCTCCATCGGTATGGTTTAACGGTCCGATTGCTTATTCACTTAGAGCTCGTGCTTTCTTGGATTTGAATGTATCCATCCCATGGATCTCTTGGTCTAACTCCTGCTTCAGATTGGGAACACAATCAGGAGCTAGTCGGCAGATCCGTGAGATACACGGCGAAAAGGAAAGACGGAGACCTCTTATTAGTGTAGACCGCCTTATGCAAGAGCGTGTTGTGAGTTATAGAGTAGATTTGCTAACAAGTGGGACGTATTCTGGTGCTGCTGTATCAACTACTATGGTTCGTGCAAACCGTGCAGGTATTTACCACGTCAAGATACATGCCACCTGGCTTGACGCGAATTTGTCTTCCTTACATGCATTAACGGTCGGCGTATTGGCATATCCGTACTAAGTCGGTCGAGTTTCGTACGCAGTCTCGCTCACCAGTCATCTCCAAGCACATCGAACGGGTTGTTCGACCTTATTTTGCTGACAGGTGTATCAGTGGCTGCTGCCTCTCTTTTCCGCTTTTTCTTGGACGCCTTATTCTCCTTGGCTGCTGGCAAACAAACTCGTGGCTGGCAATCATAATCCAAGGCGGTCAGGACTCGCTTGATGAAGGCAAGAAACGTTGCGGTTTCAGATTTCCTGGATATCGAAGCCGCACTTCTATTATTCGGGTACTCAATCAATGCCGGAAGAGAATCCAACAGCTGATTCAGTCTGAGTAATGAGTCTGGGATCTTGGTAGAACGGGTTGCGATGACTATGTTGGAGGTCTGTTTGAGCATCCGAAGAGAGAATAACGTGGCCTGCAGTTGAGCGAAGAAATGGACGACGTCCCAGCTGAAGCTCCCTTTTACGTCTGAACATTCAAGTTTGCCCCAAGCCTGTATGAAGAGCTGAATTGAAGGGGTCTTGGAGTTGGAGTGTGACGATTCTATGTCTTGCTGTAACGCAACAGCAATCCAGACTTCGCTTTCCTTCAGGTTTAATAGCTTCAAACGGAGACGCTCAAACCGCTCTATCAAGTATAAACATGCTCCAGGCACTTCAGAGAGTGAAGCGACGTTCAAGCCACGGCCCTTAGATTGATCGATCTGTTTCCGGTGCTCAAAGACCCAGGAGACTTGCTCATCGTCAGGGACAATGAGGTTGACGAGTCCGTATGCTAACTGTCTGACAGCCGATGATACCTCCCAGGCCGTTGTACGAACAGGACAATCAAGTAGAAATGGAAGAAAAACATGAGGTGACACAGAAGTAGCTTGTCTACTCACCGGCGGCTGTCCAGAGATGAGTGCAAGGCTGTTGAACTGGAGCACGTATTCAGAGGTCCGTGGATCTAGAGATCTGAGAGCCTGGACAGTCCCCGCATGTTCAGCGGAGATGATAGGCTCATCAGGTACTTCAGTGTACTCCTTGAGAAAGTCTTGAAATATTTGTGGTTGCTCTGTAACAGCCTTCAGAGAGCGGGCTTTGCTGAGCAAATTTTGAAAACTCCCATGCGGATCGATGTGCATTTCAAACGCCAGAGAAGTCAAGCCGTGGGACTTCGGGAGCCCTAACCGGATACTCAAATCTGCTGGAGAGAACCACTGAGTTCGAAGCTGGTCTGGTTCATCGTTACCCACGGGTGCGATATCACCAAAGAAGCTGACTGCACCCTTAGAGCCCAAGCCATGTACCAGGAGATCCGAATCGCTGGTCAAGACGATACCGCCATATTTCTTCAGGTGGTTTGCACAATACAGATCTGCTTCACCAGGAACGGTCTCAGTGACTCCCCTATAGGTGCTAGATGCATTCAAAGCTTCCAAAATAGCGGGAACCACAAATGGTAAAGCTGGCAGTGTCGTCAGGCATGAAGGTACACTTCGATTCCGAAAAAGTTCGAGGCATTGTGGCATGGCATTGTCAGGTGAGAAATCCCTGCATTGCTCTTTGTATGCAACATGAAAGTTCGACAGACGGTTTGTATTTTCTCTCAGCCTCTTCAACCGTACTTCGAGCTTTCCTGGAGGTAAGAACCCGTCAAAGTATATCTTCATTCTGGGAATATTAGCCAAGCCCTTCCCTCAGAGCCTACAAATGAGTCACTTACATCTGAACATTGCTTTCCCTTAGGCCATCAAGCCACGCAATAGCCACATTTACCAATTCTCTGTACGACGGGGCTGCTTCTAATGCATTTTTTGCACCTGGTGAAGCTTGTAGGCAGATGTAGTAGATCTGATGAGCGAAGGAAGGGCCATCTATCACAACTTTATGGCCACCCAAAGACTCGAGAGTTGTCGCATAAGGACGCAAGAACGTGATCAAATGACGAATTCCCATGGATCAGGAAGAATCAGAGCTTTAGAAGACTTTCGAGACTGAGGTTTGGCTGCTATTTGTATTTGTATTTATATTTGTGTTTGTGCCCGATTCCATTGGTTGCGGTATGGGTTAACAGAAGCCCGGCTGTTTGTTCGGGTGTACGTCGGGCCGGGGTCCTTTCGGCTCTAGCTAAGTCCTCGCCTCAGCTTTTCTCTCCCGCCATTTTCAACATCCCCTCTTCCCCATCCAAACAACACAATCCCCTCTCCCTCGCCATGCGGAATACCCTCATATTCGCTGGCAGCTCCTGCCCGAGCCTCACGAATCAAATCTGCTCGAATCTGGGCATGGCCCCCGCTGCCGTCGAGCTCGGGCAGTTTGCAAACGTAAATCCTGTGCGACCTTTCTCATCGCTGGGCTGATGCTTCTACAGGGCGAAACCAGCGTTAAGATAATGACCAGTATTCGAGAGAAGGACGTCTTTGTTGTTCAATCGGGCAGCAGTAGGATCAATGATAGTATTATGGAGCTTCTCATCCTGATATCTGCTTGCAAGGGAGGCTCCGCAAACAAGATCACCGGTTAGCTCACCTCGCAACTGTTTCGCCCGTCTGCCGTGCTGATAATGTATAGCTGTACTACCATACTTTCCATACAGCAGACAATCCAAGAAGAAGTCTCATCGTGGAGCAATCACCGCGCGCATGCTTGCGAACCTCCTACACGTTGCGGGGATCAACCACGTTGTTACGATCGATCTCCACGCCTCCCAGATGCAAGGCTTCTTCAAGTGCCCAGTCGATAATCTACATGCCGAGCCTCTCATTGCGCGATGGATTAGGCACAATGTTCCCAACTGGTCTGAGGCCGTTTGTGTGTCCAAAAACCCCGGAGGCACCAAGAGAGTAACGTCCCTTGCGGATGCTCTGAAACTCAACTTTGGGATGGTCACGACAGATAAGCGCAGGGCCGGAAACATGAGTGCAAGTATGATTTTGAGCCAAGTGGATGAAACCGACGTGGACGCCGACGTGAGCAAACTCGAAATCGACGACGCAGATGACGAAGCGCCCGTGTCGAAGTCAGGAAAGAAGCCCATACCCAGCAAGTTACAGATTGGCCAGGACGACCAAAAATCAGAGTCCTCGAAGTCTATTACCAGTCCTTCACGGCGAACACATTCGCGTCAAGACAGCCAGCAATCTTCTCGAAAATCTCAAAATATGCCTTCTCCTCTACGCGCAGCACACAAAGGTTCTCCTCTTGTACGCTCAGCGAGTACTCCTGCGGTTGATTCGCCAATCGAGGAAGAAGTGGGTGAAGGTAATGACTACACAGATGAACGAGCTCGAGAAGTCATTCATGGCCGACTGATCCATGGCCATATTGTACCCGATGACTATCCTTCTCCGACGATGTCCGCAATGTCGAACTCTATGATCCTCGAGCGACCGGAAGATGATCCAATGGAGATGTCAAGAAACTCTTCATTTTTCAATCCCGAACCGCATATACTCGGCGGTAGCGCAGACGCCGCGGCAAGCTCAGACGAGGAAGAGCAAGGCTTCAATGATCCAAGACTGGAGCAAATGATTACCCTTGTAGGCGATGTCCGGGGTAGAACAGTTTTTATCGTAGACGACATGATCGACAAGGCAGGCAGCTGGATTGCCGCAGCCGAGTGCGTCGTCAAGCGGGGCGGTGCAAAGAAAGTTTACTGCATTGCCACTCATGGTTTGTTCGGTGGTGAAGCTCTCCAGGAACTCCAAGAGTGTGATTGCATCGATTTGGTAGTAGTCACAAACTCCTTCCCCATAAACCCGGAGAAGGCGCGAAGAACCAGCAAGCTGGTGGTCCTGGATCTCTCGAATCTACTTGCTGAAGCCATTCGAAGGAACCACTATGGCGAATCCGTCTCTGCTCTTTTCGCTCACAGTAACGATTAGAGAGGACTGTTTTTGTAAGCGATTTGATCTTCTCCTATCTGCTTTTGCACAACTACCACTAGCCAGGCGTTGAGGAGGCAACGACTATATCGTTTTGCTGCGGCACAAATGTTCAGGTCGTGATTTAGAGAAAATGATAACGGACTTCGATGATAACCGGTCGCTAACACGACCTTGGTGAAGTTGAGTCAGCTGGCAAGTATTCCACCGTGTTTCCTTTGACGTTTGGGATTCGGGGCCTGTACCGAGCGATGCATTCTGTAGAGAGTGCAGGAGCTACCTTCATCTAGAAGGCAGCTGCTAACGGAGCGTTCGAAGATTGAATTAGCCCTTCGGGGCTTGTCGGGATTAGAAGGCACCTTGTTCTGGCCTTGCTACAGCCTTTTATTAGGATGGGGGACAAGGGGCAAGAGAACTTCCTGAACATCTACTGTTGAATGCTGTGGCAACCCAGTCAGGCCAAAGTTGGCAGTGGCAGGCTAGGGAACGTGGCTGTTATCTTGAAAGGGCTGACACCACCGTACTTGTTTTGTTTGTCCATGATTTCTATCTAGAGAACATCCATAGGTGTGAATGAATGCGAGCTCGTTTATGCTTGTATATACATACGCCGCTAATATCAAATGTGGCATGGTTAGCGTGGAGCATTTTTTCCCTTGGTTTTGTCTTTCATCGCCAGCGTACTAGATATGTAATCCAAGTATGTTGAAGTTTTTCTGTCTGAATACTGGTCGTGTATATATCTATTTTTCAAACTTGCCTTAATTGATTTTTTTTTTGGAGATTTTCTTTTGGGCTCTCCCTCCTCCTCTTCCCCATGAGTCAAGTCTTCAACACCTCGGCTCTCGACCTTCAAACCTCAACCGCCATCTCTCACCAGCCAAATAGCACCCACCTACAGCAGCTGCTTCTCTCCCTCAAGCAAAGTTCCGTTCTCAATGGCATAGCCATGAGCTCTCGCAACAAGCGAGTAGGCCGGAAGATAACTACATCGTATTCCATCAGCGCAAACCCCGAACCGTCCTTCTCTTCGAGGCTGGAGTTTAATGGAAGGAGAAGAGGGAAAGAAGACTCACACATCCAGGAAAGGTAAGACCTCCTTGGCACCGGGCGTGTTCCTCCAATCCCGCATCAGGTCCATCGTGATGCCAAACATGCCCATAAGGTGCACGCCCGCCTGCTCCATGCGGCGGTTTGCGTCAGCGGCCAGCTTGTCAGTGAAAGTGCCCGAAGCGTCAGTGTTTGCCCACACCTCGTACCCTTCGGCGCGGAGGGAGAGCGCCAGGAACGAGGTGCAGACTTCAGTCACGATGCCGGCGAGGATGACTTGCTTCTTTCCAGTGGCCTTGACAGCCGCGCGAAATTCGGCATTGTCCCATGCGTCGACTTCGCCGTTGCGCTCTAGGGAAGGGAAGGGTTAGTGTTTACACTCTCAGAGAGTACGAGGCCTAGGTGCTTGGATCCAGATGGGAGGTCCCTTACTGATGTACGGAGCTGTTGGGTGCATCTTTGTGGGTTTCTCAGCATTGAATTTGGATTTCCGGTTGATGTTTGACTTACAGCAACTATTTCCTTGGGCAAAGCACCGTTAGGACCCGTCTCAGCAGACGTGGTCAAGATCGTTGGCAAGTCGAAGAGATTTCCTAGGGCAGCATGGGCGAGAATGTTGTTCCTGAACTCAACGACGCCGTAGTCTCGCACCAGCTCGCTGAGCCCGATCTGATGATCGACTACCAGAAGAACAGCATCGGTCTTGTTGAGACGGTCGAATGCGACGCTAGTGGCTGCAATCTGGTTAGTCGCCTGCTTTCGAAGTCTCGGAGAAAGAGGGTATAGGTACCCTCGACGGCGGCAGCTCCAGCCAGTGCGGTAGCGAACGCCGAGAACTTCATGTTGGAGAGGAGGCACGAGAGACTGATCTTGAAGCTAAAAGTTGCAAGTGTGCGAGTGGGTTGGAGAGATTCAAAGTGAAGGCCCTGTCCGTCGCTACTTATACTCCTGCTGGCACCTCGACCACTCTCCCGTGTCTTCTATCCTCTCGTAAAAAGGTATCTGGGCTCTCCCGAAAATGGTCGGGCAGATGGCTCGGCGTTGCCCTCTAGTGCATCCTCGTATCCTGGTGACAGGGCGAGCCTGAAAAGCGCTCACTCAGTCTACAAGCCCGAGCGAGTCCCCTGCGAGCGATGAACACCATACAGAAACCGGAAAACAGACGGCATGTATCGTCTGTCTCCCTGTCGTTACCGCTCCTACCCCTTGACTGCAGCACGAGGGATTGGTGGCTCCGGACAGAATCCTGCACGCGAGGCGGAAAGTCGGGACTCGCTGCGGTCGCGGTACCACACAGCCCTCGAGTGTATGTGTATGTGTATGTATGTACGCTGACACCTTTCTCGCTTCCGGAATTGAGGAAGATGGGTTGGGAGATGTTGGCTCGCTCGCTGGCTTGATGATATTGATATCGATACGAGCCCCGATTCCTGACAAAGCAGGCTTGCACGCGATCAGTTCATTGTTCGCAATCAATATACTATTCTGCATGCATGGCATGTAGAATAATCCCGAATCAGCACATCTAAACGAGATGTGGTTTGGTGTGATTGGAAGGAAGACAGCAGGTTGGATGGGTGGATGGGTGGGAAATGCAGAACTCCCTCCCGCTACGCCGTGATGAATAATCGCTTGGAGGATGACCAAGATGGGCGGGAAGCGAGGGTCGAGATGCGTCGAGGTTTCTTAAGCTCTTAGTCAGTCAGTCAGTCAACTTACGTTTGTTTTTACTTTCTGATTGTTTTGCTGTTGCGACTTTGATGAATATGTCTTGTTGTTCATGAGGTTGATGAGTATGTGTTTATAGGGTCTGGCAAGTTCAAGTTCAAGTGCTGCTCGCTAGCTCCCTATTCTAATCTATTCGCTTCAACGACTACGGTACAGGCACATTTTGCTTTTGCGCTTTCTACTTTGGCTTACATATCATATGTAAAGAGAGAGGGAGAGCTATTACCCTTCTTAACGAAATGCTTTTTTTTTTCCAAAGTTGGATATTGTTTCTTTCTATTATGTATGTGTGGCATTAATTAACATTTCCACAGTGGACCAAAGGCTCGAATATGATACTGGCAAAGTTAAGCTCGTATTCGCCTGTCTATACAGCAGTTTCGTCACGTACAATTTGATCAAGTCCCATCTCGCACGCCTAGCACTACCGTCAAACCCTCCAACATCCAACATCCAACCGCCCCCTCCCAATCATGGCGCAACAACTCCCAAGAACACCTTATCAACCCAGCTACTATACGTCGGCAAGATGGTACCGATGCTATACGCACTACTCAGGGCCTTGGCCCAGCCGACCCGCGTCCCCGCGGCGTTGGAATTCGCATACTCGGCAAAGTAGACGTTAGTGAGGACCTGGGCCGCGTTCCACGGCATCCAGCCCGCGGCCACGATGATTTTCTCAAGGTTCGAGTTCTGGAAGACGACACGCGCGTAGTCGCCCCACGGCCGGCCGAGGTAGCTGGTGCCTTTGGCAGCTGTTGCTCCGCCGGCGCCGACGACGAGCTTACTTTTCTCCCCCCATTCCCTCCCGGGAGAGAGGGAGAGAGGGAGGGGTTAGCGATGGCTTTTGAATTTTGACTTTTGCTTTTGCTTTTGCTTGCGTGTAGGAAGAAGCCGGTGTGGAATGGGAAGGGAAGGGCAGGGAAGAGGAGAGAAGTGGGAATACTCACGCTCTGTCAAAGACAAAGAAGCCATCCGTATTCGAGGCGTCCCGGCCCTGCGCCGTAACGACCGACCCACTCCGCATGACGCCGACGGTGCAGCCCTGGAACCAGGCCTGGCCGGTCGTGCCGAAGATGAAGTCGACAGCGCCCTCGATGTAGCAGCGGCCGTAGAACTGCGAGCCGGTGTGGGCGTACAGCGTGTCCTGCCAGCCCTTGAACGCGCAGGCGTAGAAGCCGCCGTAGAGGCCGCGGGCGGAGACGGCCACGGCTTGGGAGGCCGTGCCGGCGCTGTTGGTGATGTTCATGTTGTACATCTTGAAGCTGTTGCTGTTGACGAGCAGCGTGGCCGAGGCGTCGTTGCTGCCGACGGCGCTGGCGTAGGTGGCGTAGGTTACCAGGGCGAGGTTGGCGGAGGGGTTGGTCGAGGGGTAGGCGGAGCCTTTGATGGTGATGCTGTCTTTGGAGATGGTGAGCTTCTCCTTGTAGGTGCCTGGGTAGACCTTTATGGCACGTATCAATCAGCGGGATCCTGTAGATACGGTTGATGATATATTTTATCGGTGATGATCAGAGGAAAGGCAAGATAGGTAGACTTGCATAGATAGTATCGCCTGCCGAAGCAGCGTTATAAGCAGCCGTGATCTACGATACACCTGTTAGTCTACATACTTACCCATGACAAGATCAAAATCAAAATCAACAACGACAATACCGATACCAGGGAATCTATCTCACCGTCGTATAAGTCTTCCCCGACCCAACATTCAGCGTCGCAGCCTCAACACTCGACACGACCACCGCCACCGTCGACAGAAGAGATAGCTTCATTTTTGCCTCAGTCAATCAATGCGATAATAACCAAAAACCAAAACCCAAAAAACCCTCCTCCCCATTCCCTCTTCATATACTACCAATTAATCTACTCACTCACCTAGGCGACACAAAAAAGGGGGAACTCGGAGAAATAGGTAGGTAGCCCCATCCCGTCCCATCCCCGCCGTGTACGACGGCGGTCAGCCAAAAAAGCGTACATGCAAGCAGGCTGCAAGCAGCCACAGAGTGACCTCCCCTCCACTATCTCTCACTCGTAACAATCCTCCATCTTAGCTCCTCTCGCGGGGTAAGTTCAAATTTCGCACCAATGATAAATTCGTCCCCCATCTCGCTTTGCTGGTCGTACGACCAGCCCAGCCCGCGCAAGCGAACCGTGCCGTTGAGAAAGAAATACTCGGGCTGGTTAGCTATCATCTATCCGTTTAATATTGGATTTTTTTTTCTATTGGAGGAGAAAATGGTTTTTTTTTCTTTTTTTTTTTTATAAAAGCGGTAGGGAGAGGGGGGCAATTGCGTCGACAGCCGACGGTCGGATACGTCTTTACGTTTTGATTATATTATATGTTTGGATAAAGCAGCGAGTGGGTTAAGCGAGAGAGGAGAGAAGGAAGGGAGGACCAGAAAAGTAGCGAGATTGTTTACGTTCCACTCTTTCGCTCGAGAAGATCACCTTTTTTTCAATCCCCCTTTTCTCTTCTTCTTCTTTTTGATGGATAAATGAATAAATAAATGAATAAATTACTCTATTTCCAAATTTTCGCTCGAGAATATCCTATCCGTCTATCTATTACTGAATTATTGTGACAGTCTATACATAGCGAGAATAGGTAGATCGAGGGGGTTGTTGATTTCTGAGATGGATAATTAATCCCGTTTCAAGCTTTGACCCACAAGCCACAAGCCACAGACACAGAATCCAGACGCCTACGCAACCTACGATACGGAGGTGCTCAGGGCAAATTGTGGTTTTCTCTCTCTCTCTCTCTCTCTCTCTCTCTCTCTCTCTATCCCTGCAACAGAATACTCTTCTCATCCTTAACATTAACCCACACGTACTCCACACACCGCGGGTCCGTCTTCCCAGCGCCCAGCGTCACAGCGAGCAGGTTGACCTCCAGCCAGGTAGGCCGCATGCCAAAGTCCTCGAGGCGCTCCCACCACTTGGTGAAGCGCTCAAAGTTGACGTGCGCGTCGTCCACCAGGTGCAGCTCGATCATAACCTGCCCGACGGGCATGACCCCCGTCTTGTCGCAGGCTTCCATGAAGGCGTCGAGCGCGGCGTACTCGCCGCCCTCGATGTCGATCTTCAGGATATCGATGTAGGCGTGCTTGTTCTGCTGCATCAGGGTCGCCAGCGTGAGGAACTGCGGCGTCTTGGCGAGCTCGTCGGTGCCGCCGAGGCCGACCTTCCGGAAGTGCACGCGGGCCGAGTGCGCGGCCGGGATCTGGGAGCCGATGCGCTCGACCGAGTAGTCGTAGGCGTAGATCTGCGCCGACGGGATCCGGGCCAGCATCTCCGCCTCGAAGGTGCTCTCGTCGTTGACGCCGAAGCTGTAGATGACCGTGTCGGGCCAGGCCAGGAGATGGGTGTTGGAGACGGCCGGGCGTGGCTTGCTCTCGTAGATGGACATGCCGCAGACCCATTTCCCGCCGTCGCCGAGCCGACCGATGCGCTGGATGTCGTGGGGGCACGTCCACGAGGCGGGGAAGAAGTCCCAGAGCGTGTACGGCGTCTTCCCAAAGTCCTCCATGTGCTGTGCTGGGAAGAGGGGTATGCGCGGATTCTGCGGATGCGCAATGGCCATCTCGTGGCGTAACGCGACGGACGAGCGCCAGGATGATTCGGAGCGCGCCATGCGTTGGTGGGTGGTGAGGACTCGCGGGGAGGAGGTCTGGAGCGGTTGTGGCGAGGAGGAGATGTGGAAGAGGGTTTTGGATTGCTGCATGAGGACCATCATGAAGAGGATGAAGGCGACCCAGAACCAGAGGCCGCAGACTATGTATGACCCATTAGAGAACCTTTAGGACGGTTGAAAAAGGGCTGACATACCTTGAACTATTCGGAGCGACATGTTGCCGCGTGCTGGCTGTCCGACGAGATAATCACTGCTACCGGGAGACAGATATACTCAATATAACAGACCAGAACCAGATAAAAATCTCGACAACAGTAAAAGAACGGAACCGGAAACAGAACCTGCTGTAATTAAAATCCAAATCCAAATTCCCAAACCCCGAATATCGACTCGCGAAACGCAAAGAATCAAGATGCCACAGAGGTAGGGGAAGGAATAAACAAGAACGAAAACAACCCGTTTCAGACCGGAGAGAGATGCTTTAGCCTTTTGTAGAGAGAAATCCAAATAGAAATCACATTAGGGCAGGCAGATTGTCCGATCCGACATCAAACGCCTCACGCCCATCGTTTCACCCACCGGCCAAAAGAAAACCGAAGTAGTGTTTTCTGGAACGCGCTGCTTGCACGTTATGCCGGCGATCAGTCGAAGAAAAGTTGGGACGGGGGGTGACGGTACGGCCCTCAACGTGGTCTGAGCCCATGGCTCAAGGTAAAAGGTAAAAGGTAAGGAAAGGGGAAGACAGGTAAAAGGGTTTGTATTGTTTGTATGTAAACGGCTGTGCAGAAAAGAGACGTAGATAAATCTGGCGATATAGTCATCTTGTTTACCTCCCCCCCTTCCCCCCCACCCCTTTTTTTGAAGAGGCAGGAAGGGGAGCGCTGTGAGGGGTGTAACGTCTCGCTTACTTCGCCGTACGAGGGACCGGACGCCGTTGGAATGGGGGACTCGATAACTTACATACTCAGGGGACGCACCAGAACTCACAGGAGTAAAGGGGATAGAAGGGAAAGCAAGTTGAGATTTTTATTTGGCCCTCTCCAAGAGCTACAAATATTCGTTTTCGTCCAGTTTACGAAAAAGATACGCAATATCGCTCGCTATGCAGCAACTGTAACGCCCAACAATGCAACCTGCCATTCCACCCTCACCCCAAATAAATCTCCCCTCATATACACACAGACCTGCAAGATAACTCTCGCGTCAAATAGTTCAACCTGTCGTCATAGCATTCCGTGCTCAATGTATCCACAATGTTCGTTCCAGTCGTATCTCCTGGCAAGCCAGTCCTGTCATCGTCGTCAATAGTCGTAGCTACGCAAAGTCATCATCTCATCAATAAGCAAGTGTGCAAGTGTGCAAGTTGCGGTGCCAATAATGAAGTGCGACCACTTAGTCCTCGTCTTCCTCCTCCACAAGAGCAGGTGTTCTCCGCTCATTTCTTCTCTTGGGTCGTCGGTGTCGAGCGCTGCTGATGTTGCTTGCTGAATCATCAGGTGCCAACTCGCTCATCAGCTCTGATTCGGGCTCCCAATCACTCTCACTGAAGATCTCACTTCCTTCTCCCCAGTTCTGTCTCTCGTATCCCGGTCCCAATCCGGAAGGGGGACAGCCAGGTGTGCAAGCGCTGATGATATTTGGAGCCGGCCGTCTGGACTGCAGAGACATCGAAAGACCTGCGCCGCGTTCCCGAAGAGCCCGACGGACCGTCTCAGCCTTGCGGTGCAAACCTTCGAAAGCATCCTCCAAAGCCTCCATGCTGAGGTAGATCTCGCGCTCGACTTCGGCAAGTACGGCGATCTCAGTTTCTTCATCATTAGAAACGGGTTGGCGGTTTTGAGCAAAGGGCGTGGGACCGCGGGACTGGAAGCCTCCGATGGAAGGAGAGAACGTGTGGTTACGCATGGGCGAGAACGGCGTGTTGTTTCGAGACATTGGGCCGCGGAATGGCACACCATTTGCTGGCGTTGGTCCCCGGGATGGAGGGTTCGCTGAATCATCAGCTCCAGACCACAAGAAGCCATCAAAGCGACCCGAAGTCAGAATCTCCCATTCCGAAGCGTTGATGCTTGACATCGTCGCCAACAGGTTGTGGAGGTTAGGATTCTTCAGCAAGTAGATCGCCGCCTCAGGGTCTCGGGGAGGGTGGGGAAGTCGGTACAGTCTCTGAATCGAGTGTACTGTCTTGACCATGAACTCCGAGCGGGGCTTTGCTTGAGGTGCCCGGGAAACTGGTTGTATAACCGTAGATCCAGAAACCAAGGCATTGAAGATTGGTCGGTCGTGCTGATCCAGATGGGTGAGGATGGCAAAGGACAAGGTCTCGTCATCGACTTCCTGAGGAGGAGTAGCCGCAGTTTGAGGACAGCTCGAGAGCCATTTATCAATAGCAAGCTTTTTCTTCTTGTACTGTGCAAGGTAGTGCTCGCGGAATTGCTCACCAATATCGGGATCCATCTTGACGGGGGAGCTCGGTCTCTCAGGTCCACCATCTCCAGAAATACCAAGTCCGCTTGACAGATCCTCTCCCGCCCGAACACCCAAGGTTGCAAAATCAAAGGCTGGCCAAACAGGATGCTCACGTCGACCGCTGACCCACTCCAAGACCTCTCCCCATCCCAGGCCTCGACTGCCCTCGTGAGTTGCAAGGTCTGGGTGTTGACACATCACACACGCACAGCCTTCCGAAGAGAGGTCCCGGTTGAAGACGTTCTCCAATCGATCAAGCAATCTACGAGCAACAGACCGATACCCAGTAGCAACGGCCAGCGACCCGTTCTTGTTAATGACTGTCTCATACTGATTCAACACGCTGTAGAATGGTCCGAATATCTTCTCGATCTCTGAAGGAATGGTCGCAGCCTCTCTCGCGCCGTTGTGTTGTGGAGAGTGGGCCGGAGCGGCAGAGAGCAAGGTCTTGGGAACCGGACGAAGTAGACCGCCATTCTGCATCAAGTAGTCGACCCGAGGAACATTGACCGGTACATTTGGAGGCGGTGGAGGTGGGGGGGGCTGTGGTGAGTCGTCTGCACAAGAAGCAGCATCTTGACCTCCCAAGTGAAAGAAAGCTGACGGAGCGGGCTTGATACTGGCAGCAGTGGGCGGGGGGATTTGAGGAGTCTGCGTCGGAGTTCTTGGTGACGAGTCTTGTGCGGAGTCCGGCGAAGAGTCCGTGTCCAAGACAGGTGGGCGCTTGCTCGATGTATCTTTCTTCCCCTGGTCCCGCTTTGGAGCAACCGAGGTGACATTCGAATCTACCCCAGATCCAATCCCCGAATCCCGAACTCTTAAATCATCAGTCGACTTTCCATTCCGCATAGGTGGAGATTTGATGGGAGGGTCGGGCTTCGAGCTCTTGGACTTTGTAGAAATCTTTGATCGGGTGGTCGTCTCCTTGATTTGGTCCTGGCTTGCCAATTTGGCGAACCACGAATTTCGCGACTCCGGTCTAGCCTCTTTCTCTGCATCCTCTTGAACCTTGGGCATCCGGCTGAAAGAGGCCTTTCTCTGCTGCGAGACCTCGGTTTCGGGGGGGCTTGGGGGCCGACCGTCCTTCTGGACGTTTCCAGGCTTTGGATTCAGGGTATCGGTGGATCTGGTTCTGCCCTTCTCTGGGGAGCCGAGGTCGGTGGAATCCGGGGTATATGGGTTCTTCTTATCCGCGGCAGGCAATCGAACGTCGTCTCTGCTGACCGCCTCCTTGCTATAGGTCTTATTGAAGCTGGGATATGGCAAGCTGCCTCTGGATGTCGCACCAGGTGCAGACGCCGTCCGCGACAGCTCGGGCACCAGGTCTGCCATAGAGGTTGATGGTTCAGAGCCTCTCTCACTGCCTTTCTCCGACCCTTTTTCTCTCTTGCGTCGGTGGGACGACCTAATAACCTCGCCAGTCTCCGGGTCGATGATTCTGGGTCTCGTCTTTCGAGGACGGTTGGGGTCTCTCTCGGTCTTCGATCTGTGGCGTCTCTCTGACGGTCTCTCTTCACCCTCATTCTCCTGGTCGTTGTGACCCATTATTGGTATTGTGCAAGGTGAGAAGGCGCTGGCGCTTAGAGAGTCAAGCTGTCCGGTCGATCTGCCACACCCGACATGTGGAGCAAGTGTGATTTGGCGTGGGTGGAGGGGGGGGGGGGTAGGTAAGGGTAAGGGTAGGGGCCACCTAGTTGTTGCTGTTATTGTTACGCAGGTGTATCCTACTTGCGACGGTAAGATGTGGTGAGCAAAGATCGAAAGACGAAGGACAAAGAGCAATGATAGACAATTAAAGGCAATCGTGGTGGATTTGTGTTGTCAGTGTCGAGTCGAGTCGAGATGAGATGAGGTGAGGTGAAGTGAAGGGAAGTGAAAGGGAAAGCCGGCAAACGAACAAAGCAAAGTCAAGTCAAGTAAAGTAGTTGGTGGGTCGAGGACTGCGTCGATGTGATGTGTTGGATGGCGCTGATTCGCAGGTTGATACCTAGACTCTTGTAGGATGAGGCTTTGGGCTTTTGGGCCTGGATCTGGGCCTTGGGAGTTGGGCCAGGATTTCGGCGGAGCGACGGTGAGTGAGGCTGCGGCTTATGGCGCGCCAATCAGAGCCAATCCTCGATCGGGCATTCGGCGTTTGCGAGGTGAAGAAGCGCCAGATAATTGATGCAGTACAGTAAAGAGGTGTTGGAAATAAAAGTCAACAAACAATAAAAGGGATGCGATGCGATGCCCTGCGACGAAATTTCGGCGAGAAAAAGAAAAATTGGCCGGCGGACGGTTGTGGTCAGTAAGGGTCCGTCCGCCCATACGGTAGGTTGGTAAGTACGGATGATTGATTGTTTATCATCCCACCTTGAAGATCGGTTCTATTGATTGGTATTGTTGTTTATTTTCAGGACATATTACTACCTACCGGTACTAGGTACTTATATATACTTATATATACTTATATAATCCTTCAATCCCGCATGGTGGGCACGACACACCGGCCCTGGACAAGATGGGGTTTTTTCAGGGAGGCATTTTCGGAGCATTGTTTGGCTCTAGAACCTGTCCGTGACTACAACGCCTTTTGTCAAGTTGTTCACGTCCAAATTATATATGCATGTACGAATATGTATATGTGTATGTATTTGTACATGTATTTATGTATATATACTAATTGGATTCCTATTTACAAAAACAACGCTAAATCGCTCGAGGATATGTTCTGTCAAACAAAGGGCGCGGTCGGTACTCGATCCCGTGACCCATAAACAAGAAGAAAGTAAATAAACAAGCAGGGTATCTATCGTGTCGTCCGCAACCTCATGACTCGTGCCAGCCAGTACATACTTCGTACATCATGATCAATCGTCTCAACTCGCCGTCTGGTTCTTTGCACTCTGAGGGCTTCCACTCTCATAGTAACAGTGCTTCGCAAAGCACGCCGTGCAAGCTGTCGGAAGAGCCGCACCAGTCTTCATCATCATCGCACATCCCAGGCAAGTGGGCCACTCCGGGTCTCCGCCCTGCGTGGCAATGTCCTGACCGTTCTTGATCATCGCCTCCGTCATTTTCTTGGGGTGCGACATCCGCAGCGTTTCCAATCCGGATTCGTAGCTCCATTTCGCGTTGGGGAGATAGACGATGGTGACCTTATCAGGGTCGTCGCATCCGAAGAACGTCGCGTTGATGTTCAGGCCTTTGGCGACGAACGTCGCGGGTGATGGGATGAAGGGCATGCGAGTGAGACCAGCGCGGGCTGATTGCTGGTAGGTCCTCTCGATATGGGAGCCGTTGGGATATTTGGCGTCCGTATCAGCCGAGTTGTCGTTGACCAGGATGACCGACACGTTGCGGCTGGGCTGGAGAAGAGGGAAGATGGGATTGTTCTGCTCACTCAGACCTCCATCCACCAAGCTCAAGCTTGCCTGTGCCGAAATATCTTTGGCGCTATCTGGCGCAGCTTCCGCTGAAGTGTACTTATAGAATGGGTTTGGGTAAGTGGCGGATAGATCCGCAGGCGTGATCAAATCAACTTTGCCGAGGAGAGCAGCGACTTTTTTGCCCAGACTCGAGTTCAAAATGCTCGACCTGCTCCACTTGCTCGACCTGCTCAACCTGCGCGGCTTGCTCGACTTGCTCTGTGCTGGATCCAGGCCGTAGATTGCACAGAATATACTTGAGGAAGTCCCGAGGACGTAGCCTAGATTGTCGAAGTTGGTAGTACAGCTACCGGTTGGCTGACCCCCTTGCATCTTCGTTCCAAGATACTTGGTGGGAGTGAAGGCCGAGAGTTCCTTTCCCCAGCTGCCGAATTCGAATGGGGTGAATTCGTAGGTGGTTGCGTCACGTGCCGGGACGCGTTCTCCCTCCCATGTCTTCAATCCCAATGCAGTGATGATTGGGAATGGGACATTGTGAGAGACAAAGTTCGACAGAGTAGCAACAGACGAGAGTGTTCTCTCAATACCACCCTCTGGTCCTTCCAAAAGCTGATAGGATAGCAGACGTCCCCAAATATCGATGAGCGTGGTATCGAACCCAGCATGCTCTTTCCGGTCGATTTCCGACATGATTTCGGAATAGGTAAATAGAGAAAAGATGTCTGCCGGCAGGACCAACAGATCCTGGAACTCTGGCTTCCAAAGCTTCTCCGTGAGGTAGCTGATGGTTGGGTAGTTGTTTCCAGCCATAGAGGAGAGGAGCCATCCACCACCAGAGAGTCCAGCTTGATAAGTAAGAGCCTGGTACAGGCCACTGGTGCCTAAGCCGCTTTCTTCTCGGCCGTCAAGTGCTTTGATGACACCAGCTCCAGAGAGTAGTGACCGGTAGCCACCGCCGCTGGTGGTCAAGGCAACCTGATCGTTGTCAACACTTCATACATAGTGAACCGGTTTCAGCGATAGACTTACAGTTGGAAGCTCAGCAGTACCGAATTCCGGGTTGGTCTTCATCAGCCATGACTTCAAAGCCTCGTCAGCAATGGCTTTCCTCGTTACTCTGTAAGCCTCCTCGCTATCCGACAGACCATCGGCAGCCCGTACTAAAGGAGTTCCCGGACATTCTGACACTTGGGGAGTGTATTCGATATTGGCGTATACTGTGCCCACGAAGAGCAATGGCAGGAGGGAGGTGGTAAGCATATTGTCTCGATTGAACGGTATTCAAGTAAAACGAGCACGAATTATGATGATGGTTTCAAATCAATTTGCGAACTCCAAGTCTTATACTTATACTTCATAAGAGGCCCAAATCATTGTAACCCGATTATCCGAAATAGGGGTGCTTGCTCAAAGAAAACACAACTATCCTCAAAGGTTATTCTGACCTTCAGAGCCCGGTAACTACTACGCATTTGGCCTCTGACGAAGTATGACAAGATATGAACTCAAGAGAGAGTCCTGTTCAAGACTGAACCTTACCCCGTACATTGACTCGCCTCAGACATGTAGTATCCACTTAAATCTAGAAATGTTTTACACTTTAATATAAGCTGAGACTTTATCTAGACTAAGGCCATCAGGGTCCTTGGCTGACAACCTTCCTAAGCGCGTGCCGGATATCGGCTCTACACAATCAGCTATTCACTTTGTTGCCCCATGAGTAGAATGTTTTGACAGAAATCTTCCAAACGATAGGCAAACTAAATTTGCATGTTTTCGCCTTGTTAAAGTATGCTTCGAGTGACTAAACTCTACCAGTCTACCATAGATCTAAAAGATCGAGAGCCCACTACAAGTAATAATTCGCAAAACTTGCAAAACTAATAACGACTTCCATTCTCTTTCTAATCTGATCCGTTTGCTCTAGTATTGCTTTATCAGTTGTCGTAGATTAGTAGTATACACAGCTTCTAGATTCAGCGACAGCTGAGGCTAAATTAAAGATAAGTGGAACCGAAAAGTTTAAAAGCTCTCGTACTTGGTGTTGCAGGCTTAGCTCTCAAGTAATAGCATTGCGCAAAGCCACCTACCCCGTAAAAAAACCCGCTCGGATCACATCTGGAGATGTCGGCCAGAACTCTCGAACGGATCAGCTGAGTGGAGCATATCAAGCTCAATGTCTCAGGAACCGGGGACTGGGCAGATCTCATACTTGCTCGACTTAGATACCTACCTACTTATCTACCTGACTAACTACCTCCTTCCCTAGCTTCCTACCTCCCTACCCACCTACCTACCTACCTATGTGTATACTAGTAGCACTTCGTAACACAGCTGATCCATACCTTCGATACATTGACAATCCGAGTCTCCAGGGGCGACTTCCTAATTCTAGAGCTCGAGGACGCCGAGGTGGAGAGGCCGGAGCCGCGGGTATGAGCTCCGGGGGCGGGGGCGGAGCCCTCTTCTATTTCTCTTTTAAGTAAGTACGTAGTAGAACAAGAGTCCTGTTACAAAAGCTCAGGCTGTTCTGGACAGAAATGGGGACATGTTGTCGTCATGCGGCAGTGGCAGTGGCAACCGAATTAGCATTTTTCCGATCGCTTTCTGGTAAGCTTTTGGCAAAGGGGTGATTTCTCCCTACTTGGAAGTCGGAAAAGGGCTCTTTGGAGAGAGAAGCTCCGGCTGGCCTGGAACGAGATGAGGTCATGTTCTCGCTACTCGGCAGTGGCAATTCGATTAGGCTTTTCCGATCGCATCTCTGGTAAGCTTTTGGCAAAGGGGGACATTTCTCCATACTTGGAAGTCGGAAAAGGGCTCTTTCAGAGAAAAAGCTCGGGATGGTCTGGAACGAGATGGGGTCATGCTTTCGCTGCTCGGCAGTGGCAACGCGATTAGGCTTTCCGCTCTCTTCGGTAAGCCTGGGAAAGGGGTACCGGTAGGCGGGGGTTTATTTCTCCGTGCTCGTGCAGGTAGCCGGCTAGCCGGCAGAGCTGCCCCTCCACACGTCTAGAACGTGCAACCAAGATCTACCTACGTAGTAATAGCTACCGACAGACATTCAAAGCGTTCCAATATTTGTTTTTCGTTCGTGAAAGTCATCGCATAGGGATATATTTACACTTTCAAGAAATCTTGGGCGTTGGACCTTGGGTCCCGTAACCTACTTGTGCGGCCCGCGTCGGATGTCAAAGGCCGCGCGATACCTGATGTATGTAGTAACGTTCACGGAAGACGTTTGGCTGAAACGAATTTGAAGACCGTGTCTCTTTGTACCTTTTCTACAGATAATAGTCAGTGCGCTGACTTTGTGACCTGCGGGCTCTCGGTCACAGTCAGGACAAGCAAGTGTCCCAGGTCAAGCAAGTGTCCCACTTCAAATTGCTATTCCATAGTAAATCGCATACAATTCCACCACACTTGCGATAGCCATTTTTCCCTCAACATTTCTCTAACCATGCCTCCGCAAACTTCAGAAGCTCTTGTAGCTCTCAATTATTACGGCCGCTATGCTACTAAAAAAGAATACGACCGCGCCTTTTAAGAAGCGCGCGATTGGGCCTTAGAAGATATGGAAACCGATGATGAAGGAGTAAAACGATCGAAAAGCGAATGTGCTGCTACGTCAGCACGTATATTCGGAGTCAAAGAACTTGCTTTACGAAAAGCTGTATACCGAGCTAAAAAGAAAAAGCGCAATCCTATCATAGGTCAATTCAATCGATAGGGAGGAAATAATCAGATTTTGTTGCAAGAGCAAGAAGAAGCGATCCGATAATATTGCTACGAGCAATAAGAGCTTGGTTTAAGAGCAACTCTTCTAATGGTACGCGCTGGAATCAATTACTTGAGAGCAGTAAGTGTTATTATTTTATTTTATTTATAATTATCAAATCGCTTTTAACGTCGTATAGAAACAATAGCCTTCTCTTTCTCTTGTATCACAATCTTGGTTCAAAGATTAGCTCCGCCGAAACCCCGATCTTCATACAATCAAGACCAAACCAATCGAGCGCGTTAGACTCGAATCGCATACCGAAGAGGAGATAAAGAAATGGTTCGAAGAATTGCAAAAGGATATAGTTCTCTACAATATCAACATTCCGAAAAAGCTTTTGAATATAGACGAGTCGGGAGCGCGTGTTGGATGTCCGCCGGGAGAGACTGTGATCGTTCCAAAAGAAGTCAAAGAAATGTATACAAGCTCTCTAAACAATCGCAAATCGATTACAATTATTGAAACTATTCGAGCAGACGGCAAAAAGACTCTTCCGCTATATATTATTACACCGAGCAAGAAGATTATAGAGAATTGGATTACGGATGAGCTTACAAGTGACGAAACGATTGATTGCTCTCTTACAAGATATATCAATCACTAGATTATCTTAAACTACGCCGATCACCTTATCAAATGGACACACGCTAGGCTAAATAAACCATGGAAAATGCTGCTTTTAGATGGCTATGAGTCTCATCGATTAGATGAATTTGTATTGAAGCTTAAAGAAGCGCATATTCATTGCTTTTGGTTTCCTAGTCACCTTACACACGCGCTTCAATCTTTTGACGTTAGAGTATTTCGTCCTTAGAAGCATTATCACGCTCTTGCTGTCTAAAATGCTGTTCGAAGTTTAGACTTCGAATATACTATCACTTCGTTCTTCCGCGATCTTACGAACATCCGCCAACAAGCTATGCAACACTATACGATTGTAAACGCTTTCAAAACCTCGGGAATGTGGCCTTGCAATGTCAACGCTAGTCTTAAAAAGATTCGCTTTTATAATAAAGGAAAGAGATCAATACTCAACGAAAAAAACGATGAAGATAATCTCGAGCTTCCCGCGCTTCGTCCTTCTCGACCTGAAGATTTATAGACTACAATTGCAAAGATCAATTTATTACGCACTCAAGATCCGACACAGTTTTCCGATAATACGAAAGAACTCTTCAAAATTACGATGAAGCAAGCTTCTATCGAGCTTCAAAAAGCATATCTTATTTCGATAAAACATATCAATCTTCAGGAAAAGATTAAAAAAGATAGGAAACGCAAGAGAACATCGCGAAAGAGTATTTATAAAGGAGGTTCTTCTGCTGCAACTAGCGATTTGAAAGAACGAATTCAAATTCGTACGGAAGCAGAAAGGGTAGCGGCGTTACGAAAAGCTGAGAAAACACTTCAAGCAGCTATCAACAAGCACAATAAGCTCTTGAAAGAGCAAGGTATAGCTGCTCGAAGAGCTAACAGAGCTAAAAGAGACCGAGTTCAGCTTGCAATTGCAAGAAATAGCTTGCTTGCACCCGAAGATTTAATCTTAGATCGAGAGCCTGATAAAGCACCTACTACGATCGAAGACGCTCGCTTAACGCGCGAAGGTCACCTTGAACTATTCTATATGGTTCTTCAATTGGAAGCTGAATTAAAAGGAGAAACGAAGAGCTATATCGATTTTCCTAAGCCTGATCTTTTAATTAAGACTAATAATTCACGAGTAGAACAGCTAAATCACGACGAATTCCGCGAATCGAGTCCAATTGAAGGTATTCTACAAGAAAGTTCGGATGTAGAATCAAATGCTAGGTCAATTGATTCTATTCAAAAAAATGCCGACTTTTCTCATGTAATATAATTGTCAAAATTCGTTGCGTTGTGCATTTTTTTTGTATATAGAATGCTAGTATTTTCGATGTTCTGACCATTTGAAGTGGGACACTTGCTTGACTTAGGACACTTGCTTGTCCTGACTGTGACCGAGAGCCCGCAGGTCACAAAGTCAGCGCACTGACTATTACGTAGTATTGTGGAGTTACCATGGCTCCAAGGGTGCTAAACAAGCAAAGGTTATCCAGTTCATAAAAGAGGGGGGTTTATGAATGTCAGAAGCACCACTTCAACTTATGAACTCTACGAGTGTACGGGTCGAGAGAGGACTAGGTACTACGTAGTGGAAAAGTAAGGGAAAAGCTCTGCTTTTAGTAGTACCTACGCACCATGACTCTGGTAGAGTCAAGTGCAAAAACAATTAATTAAGGGACGGGTGGGTTCGAAGAAACCTGTCTCACGGAGATAAGTACGGAGTACAGCTATTTACGCCGGAAGTTCTGCTCAGTTAAGCTAGTTTCCGAAGTGGATCAAGATACTTAATCGCAATACTCTCGCCTCAAGTACTACGTACGCAGTATAATACTGCGAGGGCTCTAACCGGGGCTTGACCCAATCAGTAGTAACCTATAAAGTGATAAATCAGCCCTGAAAAGTATCTTTAAGAAAGTATTTAGTCTGTGCAATAGAGTTGATAGGGCTTTGAACCATTCAGAAACGTACAAAACTTACCTCCGTAAGAAAGGTTTCTTCGAACCCACCCAAACCGTCCCTTAATTTGGTTATTGGTCTTTGGAATTTGCCTTTGACTCTACTCCCCACCATGTTTAGATGTCGGACCCAGTTTAGACCCATAAATCGTAGAGCTGCGCTTTCTGAATGGCTCAAAGCCCTGTCAACTTAAAGGCACAGACTAAATACTAAACTCAAGATACTTTTCGAGGCTGGATTCTTACAAGTTGATTGGTTGAAGCCCTGGTAAGATTCCTTGCAAAATACAGGGTGTGCGAAGCTAAAAGCACAGCTTTTCCCTTACTACGTAATTTTCTACTGCGTAGTACTACGTACGTATCTAGCCCTCTCTCAATCCATATGGAGTTAAAAGCTTCGTCTCTCCAAATCACATGATTCTTCGCCCTAAACGATTGTTTATACTTATGGAGATACTACGTATTTGGGAGCTGCACGAGCAGAGATTTCCCCAGGTCGACTCTTCTTCTTTCATCTCTTCTTCTTCTTCTTCTTAGCCTGGTAACTCAATATCATCTGTAGCAGGTACTGTGAATTGTCTGTGCGCATTGCGCACGCATCAGAAAGAAAATCTCAAGTGTAGTAGGTAAAAGTTACCAACAGCCCGCAGGTAACGGCAGCGCACTGACTGTTAGTATCTTATCCTCGAGTGGCCAGAACACTGGTAGCGCCTTGCTGTCCGTATACAACCCACTTTCATACCCATACCGTTCTGTTCTTCACTTGGTGCGAATCTAGCCCTACTGCAAGGCGGGTGGCGGAGGCGGCGACCACGACTCAGAGACTCAGCGACTCTTGTGCAGATTCGTAAAAGTTGAAAGCCGGAGCTAGATTCGTGATTGTGAAGTCTGGTAGTGTGATAAGATTTGCGATTGGTTTCTCATTGGATGCAGTCTATATGTGTAGGTCTCGGCCTGCCAACCGCTGTGATCGGATCGCCCTGATATGGGCTAGATAATACCACATTACAGCCCTACCCTAATAGTAGTAAATTACCATCTCAGGGTGGCGAAAAAGTTTAAATCTCCCCTTAAAGACCCTGCCATCTGCAAACGGCTTCAGCTAAATCTACCATCGAGGATTGCTAAATCTACCATGCACAATTCTACCTATCTGCCCTAAAATTCGACTCAAATGCAAGAATACCATTCCGTTATAACCCTAACTAAACATACCGTTATAACTTTAACTCACTGACCTTGATCCTAACCCAATTCGAAAGCTCGCCCCAACCTTTTTAACTAAATTGCTTTAAGTAGCTAAATCTACCATATATATACTTCTCCCTAAGTATCTGCATTGAAATTCTATTAGAATACAAGGAAAACATTCCGGTCTAACCTTAACGAACTGACTCTGATCCCAACCCAGCTCGCAGGCTCCCCAGACGGCTTGAGCTAGATCTACCACACACAATTGCTAAATCTACTATACATACTTTCTACCTATCTGCCCTA